AGTGATGAGATGCTAGGTGGAGCATGAAGCACTAATGGTTAGAGGGGAGATTTCCCCCTGGTGCCCCATCCCCTCACTCAATGAATACAAAAAAAAAAAAAAAAGAAGTGATGAAAGGTTACATCTATGAAACATTTACACAGTTCTCCGGACAACTCAGTCTACTGGCTGTGTTACAACTTTTACAAAGTAGGGCTATGAGCAGCTTCATAGTTCTTGTTGCCACTGTGCGTTTGCATGAGAAATGGCATAACTTAGCCAATCAGATCAAAAGGAGGAGCATTTATAGTTTAATCTTATAGCTGTTGTTCATTTGAACAAAATGTTTCCAAGAGTTAAGAGCAAGAGTTTGATTTATGTTTTAAACACATGTTAAACAAGTTAGTTGTAAGTTAACAATGTTCTTTAATGCTCTGTCTGGGTAAGGGTCAAGGGAGGCATCCCTGCTCCTTCATGGTCATCTGAAAAAGCATCGTAGGGCTGGTCTGTCTCTGAAGAGGAGAGGTAACATCAAGGGAACAAGTGGTGGCAGCAGAGGGCACAAGAGCCGTCAGTAAAGATGGCTGTAATTACTTAATGGATTCGTAATGACTTAATGTCCTTGTTGGACATTGTGCATGGAGGATAAAAAGGTTGTGATTTCTGAGAAGTTGTTGGAAATAATGAATTCAACCTTCCCTAGCAAAGCATTCCCAGTGAGATGTTGTTATTCTTATGTGAAGAAGTAGTTTATCAAGACATAACATGATAAAAATCTAAAAGGAAATCACCATGGGTTTGGATTAATCCTGGGTTACCAGCTTCTATGACTGCAGCCTTACTATAAGACACGGCGTAACCACAAAACCAGTTTCCTAGTTACCAGAAATATTTTGATCTAAGCTGTGCAGTGTCATATATCATCTTAGTGACAAATATCTCTTTAGTGACTGGTCATTTATTAGCAAACATTTTTTAGCTTGACTAATTTAGATATAGACCTGCAAGTTAGGTTACCTTGTAGAGCCATATGATGGTAGAAAATTATATATACTGTCATCCAAAAACATGGTATGACAGATTCCCTCACCTGTTTTGTTCTTGTACATGGACCTGCTGTCTTATCTTTCTTTGTAAGAAGCAGAAGCTGTGTAGATGTGGGGCTGTCAGCCCATCTCTTCTACCCCCTGTTGACTGGATGATTTATTTGGCCCCAATGAAGCCTTGATCTATGCTAGAGAAACATTTCCACAGCAAGTTGTTATATTCAAGGAGGACACCTCTGCAGGCAAAAGTGTATGTGTGTTACACCGGTAGGGTTGGAGGTGGATGTCTATAGACCCCCCTCTGACAGTAGCCTGGTGATAGAGTGTTCATGTTGGAGGTATATCTGCCTTTGAGACTGATGGATGAATTGTCATATCTCCTTGTAGAAATGCCCAGAGAATAAGCCTGACATATTGCTGTGTAATATAGTGGCAAAATGAGGCAATTAAAGACAGGGTGAGAGAAGAAAGAGATAGAGAGTTGTTGGGTATAGTATAGAAAAAAGGAAAAGACATAAAAATCTACGAGAAAAAAATAGTTGCAGTTGATCAAAGGAAATTGTATCAAAGGTGAGTGCATTATCTGAACTTTGTAACTTAAAAATTTAAATAAAAACTTCTCATCCACTTCTCTTAAGATTTTTCTTTTTTTAATGAACAGCACCACTTCTATCACCCCTTAAAGAAAGTTTTTAATGTGTCAGCTGGCTCAACATCATTTATACACTTTTTAAATTTCATGTTTTAATCAACTGGATAAACAGAATCATTTCAGCTCCCAGGTACTTTAAAAGCTTAACTGTTTTCTTCTGTCAATACTGTGTGCCTTTTAAGGAGTGGCAGATAATTTAAATAGCTTAATATTGCTCTAGAGGCCATCCTAGAAATCTTATCATCATCTCATGCAAGTATCACATCAAACTAGTAATACACCTTTCCAATCGTGGAATCAGGTACTGGCTGTATACTCGTCCAAAAGCTAGGTCGATATAGTGACAAAGCGTAGATCCATAGAGCAGATGTATGTTTTTTTTTTTTCCAACAGCCATGTGTGCTAATACATCATCTGCTGGTAGGTCTGTGGATTTTGTAAGGCAGGGAGCTAACGTAGCATGGAGGGAGATGACTGTTGTGGCTCAGCAGTTTAGAGATATTTCAAGCTTGTCAACCAACGACTCCGACAGCAATTTGCTAGAATGAAAAGTTCAATTATTTAGGGATGAAGAAGGGTTAGCGAAATAAGACAGTTCTAAAGTTGCTAAAGAACTTCCTGATGACGTTTTGAAAGTGTGAAGAATAAAAGATGAACTGTTCAGGATGGAAAAAACCTTGATGTACGCCAAAGTGAAGTGAAGCACTAGTCACTTGATTAAGACTGCCATTTAGATTATGCTTGACCAGTGCATATTCTGTTGAATAAAGTGCATGATAGTTTCTTTGCACTATGCCTTTAACTGTGGCATGATGCACTATTTTCAGGCAGAAACTAAACCTAGGTGGGTTGCCTAAATAGCCTATATTTACACCCTCCCAAGTGTAGCTGCTGACCAGTTCAACATTTTTTTGCTTTTCCCTTATTCTAGATTTTACATAAGGATTTTTGGGGCCAATCACTGATTAGAGAGTTTAAATAAACTGATAACTGCTCATGATCCACATGATCAGTGGATCACAGTGTTGTTTTTGGCAGGCATTTTAGATTTAGTTTTAGTCTTAGTCATTTTGACGAAATGCTTCTTCGTTTTAGTCCCATTTTAGTCATTGCTATCCTTGATAGTTTTCGTCTAGTTTTAGTCCGACAAAAACTCAAAAGGTATTAGTCCAGTTTTAGTCGACGAAAAGGTGCCTTTTGAGGTTCGTGGTGTTCTTTCCCGACAGTTTGAAGCTGCAGCATGAGGCAGCTGTGGCTCCACAACTGTCGTCTGTCTCGTCTCCCCGTCCCCGTACAAGACATTGTGTTTTATTGTCACTTGGACTGTATCTGAAGTAGGACCATAAAGCATCCCTCTTTTTTCGGCCACCGGGCACCGCTGCTGTGCCTGCCGTCATGGTGTGTGTGTGTGCGCGCCTCGTCCACCTGCCGCTCTGTGTATGTGTATAAGTGTGTGCGCGAGCGAGGCTTTTGGTGTGTGTGTGATGGGGGCGTGACTGTTAGGACAAAAAAAAGCATTTTTTGAAACTTTGTTCGTCCACCGAATAACAATTTAGTCTCGTCTCGTTCTCGTCTGACGAAGATGAATACAATTTTCGTCACATTTTAGTCTTTACAGAGCTTTGGTGACATTCGTCTTAGTCTCATTTTCGTCAAGGAAAAAAGGGGTCTGACGTCGTCATTTAAGTTTTCATCCTGCCTGACGAAAACAACACTGGTGGATCATGCACACTTGGGTACTGTTTACTGAGTCTCAAAAAAATGTTCTTATGCATTTCTGCCATTGTTTGACAATTTTTATCCCAAACTGACTGAGATGAAAAGGATAAACATCAATGACCTCTAGAGGGCATTCAAGACTGGCCAGATATAAGTTCAAGTATTCTTTGTCTAAGTGCCTAATCTAATGTGTGTCTAATGTATAAACCTCTTTGTAGATGTTTCATGGTACTTTGTATCTGACATATTCAAGATTGAAAAAGTTTTATTTTCCATCATATTGTGAAAAGTGATGAAAACATAAATGTCACAATGACAGTAAACAAACATTTAAATTAACAAGACATGTCTCTTCTCCTAGTTTATTTAAAGCAAAAACAATCATGTCTCATTGGTTTAATGTCTTTGCGACGTTTATGTTTTGGGCCTATCACTATATGGCGGGCAATAACGTGTTTTAAAACTTGAATCATTACTGTCACAAGCATACAAACATGTCAGTGCAGTGAAACTTCTTTGGAGTAAATGAGAGATAAAACACAAGTCACCTACAATCTATGCAATGGGAGCATCTGCAAAAAGTTTCAAAACAACAACGACGTCACTGATCGGATCAGTGAATTGAGACATTAAGGATTATCATACAAGTGACATAAATTGTGAAATATTGGCTCATCTGATGTAGCTGAACAAATCGGTGGAATGCCTATTCTCATACAGTTACCATTGGTTTTAACAGTTTATGATCTGTTGTCACTTTCTGCCCATATGACTGATAACCTGCAGTGCCTTGACACAAGCTCTGGTAGGGAGGGAGGGAGGGAGAGAGAGAGAGAGAGAGATTCATTCATTCATTCATTCATGCATTCATTGGCTTATCCCTTCTATTAATGCACTGATAAAGAGCGATGTGCCATGATAGAAATGAACCTTACAATGCTGCTGTTTGGGCAGTAGATTGTTGCTGATGTCGTTCTGCACCATCTTAGTTTTAGACCCATGAAATATGCTTCGTCATTAACCAGCCTTGTTCACACACAGATTACCTTTTTAAACAACAGAATATTAGATGAAAGATTAAAAAGCATATATTGTTATTTGGGCCTCTTCATGCCAAAATACTCATGCTGATGAGTATTATTAAAACATCAGACACAGAGAAGAGGATTATTTGGGCTCGTCATGTAGGACAGGCTGCTGTATGATGACAGGTTTATAGGTAAGTGTCACCAAAGCCGAGGTATCAGTATCAAAACTTAATCTCTGCATCCCCTTTAAAAAACATGACATTCTGACTCAAAATAGTGCTGTTAAACAAGTTTGAATTTTATTTGAAGTAGCAATGCATCCACTTTACTGTAGGCCTACAAATTGTAATTTTGTTGCCCATGTAGATGTGAAAGAATTCTTCAACAACAAAGCAATCAAGCTGTGCTACATACTTGAAAACTTGTGTTAAACCTATGTTGATTAAATTCAAAAGTAATAGGCATTGATCATCACGTATGTTATTGTTTTTTAAAAGAAAAGAGACAGAAAAATGAATTTATTAGCTTTGGATTTCAGAGAATTTGGAGCCTAAAATATCAGGAACTTTTTCAGACTCAATTGCAGATGGATTCATCAGATTCATCATATGTTTCAAACCCGGTCACTTCCACCTCACACAGAGTCAAAATCCTCTTTCTCTGTGGAATGACAATGTTGACATAGTGACCTTCCATTCCATTACAGTCGAAGGTTTTGGAGCCCCCAGCTGGAATTGAAAAGATCACAGCACATCTAAATAAACCAGAAGAAAAGATTGTTAGTATACTGTTGCCAAAAAACACATTGTAATAATTTTGAAGAAAGATTTAATTTGAAATGAGGATGCTGCTATTATGAAAAAAGGGAACAAAGATGATAAGATATAAAGTAGAATCAAAAGTTTCATAGGACCTACATGGGATTTATATTGCCATTGTCTTCAAGTGAGTCTCCAATGCGGATCTCAGCTCCAAGAATCCTTTTGTGGCAGCAGTCTTGTCTGTTAAAGACGGTAACAGTCTTGACTTTGTACCTCGCGCCAAAGTCCACTCTCCACCATGGCCTGTTTTCTTCTGTTGTGTGGGTACAGGAGCCCTGCGCCCAAACGGCTGCACGATTTCCATCAATAGCTCTCTTTGGATACCCCTCATGGGCCACGGAGGACTGAGTCACTGTCCCCCCTCTAACAATGTTTGTGTCTAGAAAGAGACATATTTCTTGTAAGATATAGTTTGAAGAGGAAAGGGATGTACCAACAAGTGTTGAAACAAAAGCTACAGAGAACAGGCATTGAGGGTTTTAATTGGACTGCTACTGTTTATCCTGGCTAAGATGTCTTTTAACACTTTGTAAGGTTCAAGTCACCAGTAAGGGGAGTGTCTTTTGCAGGTTCTCCAGTCACTTCCACCTCACACAGAGTGAGGTATTTCTTCTCTCCTGGAATTACAATGCTGACGTAACGACCTTCCATTCCTTTACAGTCAAATGTCTCGGAGGCCCCTGCCGGGATTGAGGGGATCACAGCACATCTGAAAAAAGGAAGCGATCAAGTTGTGGCTTCACATTGATATCTCATCAATTCATTGCATTGACATAACAGACAATGCATGAGACACTGATCATTTCACTGTCATAGAGAAAAGTTGATGATGGTGAAAAGATTATCAGGCTGACAAGTTGTTTCATTTTCAAAGTGTAAAGAATTATTTTGAAAAGATAAGATGAAAACAGGATCAATGTTCTGTTAGCCTACATGGGATTGGCATTGCCGTTGTCTTCAAGTGAGTCTCCAACGTGGATCTCAGCTCCGTTGATCCTTTGCTGGCAGCAGTCTCGTCTGTTCAAGACGGTAACAGTCTTGACTTTGTACCTCGCGCCAAGGTCCACTCTCCACCATGGCCTGTTTTCTCTTCTTGTGTGGGTACAGGAGCCCTGCGCCCAAACGGCTGCAGGATTTCCATCAATAGCTCTCCTTGGATCACCCCCATAGGCCACGGAGGACTGGGTCACTGTCCCCCCTCTAGCAATGTTTGTGTCTAGAAAGAGACATATTTCTTGTAAGATATAGTTTGAAGAGGAAAGGGATGTGCCAACAAGTGTTGAAACAAAAGCTACAGAGAACAGGCATTGAGGGTTTTGATTGGACTGCTACTGTTTATCCTGGCTAAGCTGTCTTTTAACACTTTGTAAGGTTCAAGTCACCAGTTGGAGGAGTGTCTTTTGCAGGTTCTCCAGTCACTTCCACCTCACACAGAGTGAGGTATTTCTTCTCTCCTGGAATTACAATGCTGACGTAACGACCTTCAATTCCTTTACAGTCAAAGGCCTGGGAGGCCCCTGCCGGGATTGAGGGGATCACAGCACATCTGAAAACAAGGAAGCGATCAAGTTGTGGCTTCACATTGATATCTCATCAGTTCATTGCATTGAACTGAACAGACAATGCGTGAGACACTGATCATTTCACTGTCATAGAGAAAAGTTGATGATGGTGATAAGATTATCAGGCTGACAAGTTGTTTCATTTTCAAAGTGTAAAAAATTATTTTGAAATGATAAGATGAAAACAGGATCAATGTTCTGTTAGCCTACATGGGATTGGCATTGCCGTTGTCTCCGAGTGAGTCTCCAACGTGGATCTCAGCTCCGTTGATCCTTTGCTGGCAGCAGTCTCGTCTGTTCAAGACGGTAACAGTCTTGACTTTGTACCTCGCGCCAAGGTCCACTCTCCACCATGGCCTGTTTTCTCTTCTTGTGTGGGTACAGGAGCCCTGCGCCCAAACGGCTGCAGGATTTCCATCAATAGCTCTCCTTGGATCACCCCCATAGGCCACGGAGGACTGGGTCACTGTCCCCCCTCTAGCAATGTTTGTGTCTAGAAAGAGACATATTTCTTGTAAGATATAGTTTGAAGAGGAAAGGGATGTGCCAACAAGTGTTGAAACAAAAGCTACAGAGAACAGGCATTGAGGGTTTTGATTGGACTGCTACTGTTTATCCTGGCTAAGCTGTCTTTTAACACTTTGTAAGGTTCAAGTCACCAGTTGGAGGAGTGTCTTTTGCAGGTTCTCCAGTCACTTCCACCTCACACAGAGTGAGGTATTTCTTCTCTCCTGGAATTACAATGCTGACGTAACGACCTTCAATTCCTTTACAGTCAAAGGCCTGGGAGGCCCCTGCCGGGATTGAGGGGATCACAGCACATCTGAAAACAAGGAAGCGATCAAGTTGTGGCTTCACATTGATATCTCATCAGTTCATTGCATTGAACTGAACAGACAATGCGTGAGACACTGATCATTTCACTGTCATAGAGAAAAGTTGATGATGGTGATAAGATTATCAGGCTGACAAGTTGTTTCATTTTCAAAGTGTAAAAAATTATTTTGAAATGATAAGATGAAAACAGGATCAATGTTCTGTTAGCCTACATGGGATTGGCATTGCCGTTGTCTCCGAGTGAGTCTCCAACGTGGATCTCAGCTCCGTTGATCCTTTCTTGGCAGCAGTCTTGTCTGTTCAAGACGGTAACAGTCTTGACTTTGTACCTCGCGCCAAGGTCCACTCTCCACCATGGCCTGTTTTCTCTTCTTGTGTGGGTACAGGAGCCCTGCGCCCAAACGGCTGCAGGATTTCCATCAATAGCTCTCCTTGGATCACCCCCATAGGCCACGGAGGACTGGGTCACTGTCCCCCCTCTAGCAATGTTTGTGTCTAGAAAGAGACATATTTCTTGTAAGATATAGTTTGAAGAGGAAAGGGATGTGCCAACAAGTGTTGAAACAAAAGCTACAGAGAACAGGCATTGAGGGTTTTGATTGGACTGCTACTGTTTATCCTGGCTAAGCTGTCTTTTAACACTTTGTAAGGTTCAAGTCACCAGTTGGAGGAGTGTCTTTTGCAGGTTCTCCAGTCACTTCCACCTCACACAGAGTGAGGTATTTCTTCTCTCCTGGAATTACAATGCTGACATAACGACCTTCCATTCCTTTACAGTCAAAGGCCTGGGAGGCCCCTGCCGGGATTGAGGGGATCACAGCACATCTGAAAACAAGGAAGCGATCAAGTTGTGGCTTCACATTGATATCTCATCAGTTCATTGCATTGAACTGAACAGACAATGCTTGAGACACTGATCATTTCACTGTCATAGAGAAAAGTTGATGATGGTGATAAGATTATCAGGCTGACAAGTTGTTTCATTTTCATAGTGTAAAGAATTATTTTGAAAAGATAAGATGAAAACAGGATCAATGTTCTGTTAGCCTACATGGGATTGGCATTGCCGTTGTCTCCGAGTGAGTCTCCAACGTGGATCTCAGCTCCGTTGATCCTTTCTTGGCAGCAGTCTTGTCTGTTCAAGACGGTAACAGTCTTGACTTTGTACCTCGCGCCAAGGTCCACTCTCCACCATGGCCTGTTTTCTTCTGTTGTGTGGGTACAGGAGCCCTGCACCCAAATGGCTGCATGATTTCCATCAATAGCTCTCTTTGGATCCCCCTCATAGGCCACGGAGGACTGAGTCACTGTCCCCCCTCTAGCAATGTTTGTGTCTAGAAAGAAACATAATTTCTTGTAAGATATAGTTTGAAGAGGAAAGGGATGTGCCAACAAGTGTTGAAACAAAAGCTTCTGAGAGAACAGGCATTGAGGGTTTTGATTGGACTGCTACTGTTTATCCTGGCTAAGCTGTCTTTTAACACTTAGTAAGGTTCAAGTCACCAGTTGGAGGAGTGTCTTTTGCAGGTTCTCCGGTCACTTCCACCTCACACAGAGTGAGGATTTTCTTCTCTCCTGGAATGACAATGCTGACGTAACGGCCTTCCATTCCTTTACAGTCAAAGGCCTGGGAGGCCCCTGCCTGGAGTGAGGGGATCACAGCACATCTGAAAAAAGGAAGCGATCAAGTTGTGGCTTCACATTGATATAACATCAGTTCATTGCATTGAACTGAACAGTCAATGCATGAGACACTGATCATTTTACTGTCACAGGGAAAAGTTGATTATGGTGATAAGATTTTCAGGCTGACAAGTTGTTTCATTTTCATAGTGTATAAAATCATTTTGAAATGATAAGATAAAAACAGGATCAATGATCTGTTAGCCTACATGGGATTGGCATTGCCGTTGTCTCTGAGTGAGTCTCCAACGTGGATCTCGGCTCCGTTGATCCTTTCGTGGCAGCAGTCTTGTCTGTTGAGGACGGTAACAGTCTTGACTTTGTACCTTTTGCCAAGGTCCAGTCTCCACCATGGCCTGTTTTCTTTTCTTGTGTGGGTACAGGAGCCCTTCCACCAATTGGCTGCAGGGTTTCCATCAGTAGCTCCCTTTGGATACCCCCCCATGAGCCACGGAGGACTGAGTCACTGCCCCCCTCTAGCAATGTTTGTGTCTAGAAAGAAACATAATTCTTGTAAGATATAGTTTGAAGAGGAAAGGGATGTGCCAACAAGTGTTGAAACAAAAGCTTCTGAGAGAACAGGCATTGAGGGTTTTGATTGGACTGCTACTGTTTATCCTTGCTAAGCTGTCTTTTCACACTTTGGAAGGTTCAAGTCACCAGCTGGAGAAGTGTCTTTTGCAGGTTCTCCAGTCACTTCCACCTCACACAGAGTGAGGATTTTCTTCTCTCCTGGAATGACAATGCTGACGTAACGGCCTTCCATTCCTTTACAGTCAAAGGCCTGGGAGGCCCCTGCCTGGAGTGAGGGGATCACAGCACATCTGAAAAAAGGAAGCGATCAAGTTGTGGCTTCACATTGATATAACATCAGTTCATTGCATTGAACTGAACAGTCAATGCATGAGACACTGATCATTTTACTGTCACAGGGAAAAGTTGATTATGGTGATAAGATTTTCAGGCTGACAAGTTGTTTCATTTTCATAGTGTATAAAATCATTTTGAAATGATAAGATGAAAACAGGATCAATGATCTGTTAGCCTACATGGGATTGGCATTGCCGTTGTCTCTGAGTGAGTCTCCAACGTGGATCTCGGCTCCGTTGATCCTTTCGTGGCAGCAGTCTTGTCTGTTGAGGACGGAAACAGTCTTGACTTTGTACCTTTTGCCAAGGTCCAGTCTCCACCATGGCCTGTTTTCTTTTCTTGTGTGGGTACAGGAGCCCTTCCACCAATTGGCTGCAGGGTTTCCATCAATAGCTCTCTTTGGATACCCCCCATGAGCCACGGAGGACTGAGTCACTGTCCCCCCTCTAGCAATGTTTGTGTCTAGAAAGAAACATAATTCTTGTAAGATATAGTTTGAAGAGGAAAGGGATGTGCCAACAAGTGTTGAAACAAAAGCTTCTGAGAGAACAGGCATTGAGGCTTTTGATTGGACTGCTACTGTTTATCCTTGCTAAGCTGTCTTTTCACACTTTGGAAGGTTCAAGTCACCAGTTGGAGAAGTGTCTTTTGCAGGTTCTCCAGTCACTTCCACCTCACACAGAGTGAGGATTTTCTTCTCTCCTGGAATGACGATGCTGACGTAACGGCCTTCCATTCCTTTACAGTCAAAGGCCTGGGAGGCCCCTGCCTGGAGTGAGGGGATCACAGCACATCTGAAAAAAGGAAGCGATCAAGTTGTGGCTTCACATTGATATAACATCAGTTCATTGCATTGAACTGAACAGTCAATGCATGAGACACTGATCATTTTACTGTCACAGGGAAAAGTTGATTATGGTGATAAGATTTTCAGGCTGTCAAGTTGTTTCATTTTCATAGTGTATAAAATCATTTTGAAATGATAAGATAAAAACAGGATCAATGATCTGTTAGCCTACATGGGATTGGCATTGCCGTTGTCTCTGAGTGAGTCTCCAACGTGGATCTCGGCTCCGTTGATCCTTTCGTGGCAGCAGTCTTGTCTGTTGAGGACGGAAACAGTCTTGACTTTGTACCTTTTGCCAAGGTCCAGTCTCCACCATGGCCTGTTTTCTTTTCTTGTGTGGGTACAGGAGCCCTTCCACCAATTGGCTGCAGGGTTTCCATCAGTAGCTCCCTTTGGATACCCCCCATGAGCCACGGAGGACTGAGTCACTGCCCCCCCTCTAGCAATGTTTGTGTCTAGAAAGAAACATAATTCTTGTAAGATATAGTTTGAAGAGGAAAGGGATGTGCCAACAAGTGTTGAAACAAAAGCTTCTGAGAGAACAGGCATTGAGGGTTTTGATTGGACTGCTACTGTTTATCCTTGCTAAGCTGTCTTTTCACACTTTGGAAGGTTCAAGTCACCAGCTGGAGAAGTGTCTTTTGCAGGTTCTCCAGTCACTTCCACCTCACACAGAGTGAGGATTTTCTTCTCTCCTGGAATGACAATGCTGACGTAACGGCCTTCCATTCCTTTACAGTCAAAGGCCTGGGAGGCCCCTGCCTGGAGTGAGGGGATCACAGCACATCTGAAAAAAGGAAGCGATCAAGTTGTGGCTACACATTGATATAACATCAGTTCATTGCATTGAACTGAACAGTCAATGCATGAGACACTGATCATTTTACTGTCACAGGGAAAAGTTGATTATGGTGATAAGATTTTCAGGCTGACAAGTTGTTTCATTTTCATAGTGTATAAAATCATTTTGAAATGATAAGATGAAAACAGGATCAATGATCTGTTAGCCTACATGGGATTGGCATTGCCGTTGTCTCTGAGTGAGTCTCCAACGTGGATCTCGGCTCCGTTGATCCTTTCGTGGCAGCAGTCTTGTCTGTTGAGGACGGTAACAGTCTTGACTTTGTACCTTTTGCCAAGGTCCAGTCTCCACCATGGCCTGTTTTCTTTTCTTGTGTGGGTACAGGAGCCCTTCCACCAATTGGCTGCAGGGTTTCCATCAATAGCTCTCTTTGGATACCCCCCATGAGCCACGGAGGACTGAGTCACTGTCCCCCCTCTAGCAATGTTTGTGTCTAGAAAGAAACATAATTCTTGTAAGATATAGTTTGAAGAGGAAAGGGATGTGCCAACAAGTGTTGAAACAAAAGCTTCTGAGAGAACAGGCATTGAGGGTTTTGATTGGACTGCTACTGTTTATCCTGGCTAAGCTGTCTTTTCACACTTTGTAAGGTTCAAGTCACCAGCTGGAGAAGTGTCTTTTGCAGGTTCTCCAGTCACTTCCACCTCACACAGAGTGAGGATTTTCTTCTCTCCTGGAATGACGATGCTGACGTAACGGCCTTCCATTCCTTTACAGTCAAAGGCCTGGGAGGCCCCTGCCTGGAGTGAGGAGATCACCTAAGATGCACTGCGTATGCACTGCATACAGCGTCATTACGTGCATTTGGTCCTGTGTTTGGTCCGGTGAGCTTTCACACTGCTTATGAACGGAACCAGGGTTCACTTGCAAGCAAACCGAGACCCACGTTTTCAGGTGGACCAGAGTTTGCTTGATTGGTCCGCACCAAAGTTCGGATAAGCTTTGACACCTGCCCAAACGAAGCGGACTATCCAAGGAAACAAACTCTGGTCCGTTTAAAGCGGACCAACCAGCTCTGGTGTGAAAGCGACCTTACTTTACCGGTTTAAGTTTTTATCTGTATACATGGAGAAAACACATTTGACCACATTTGAGCAAGAATTCCATAAAAAGTTTGTGTAAAGCCCTGTAAAATATGCTGTGATGTTACCATATATGGACTCTTTCTACCCTCTGCATGCTTAAGATGTAACCTAGATCTGCAAGCAATAAAACCTGGTTGCGGGTTGAATAATGATTCAACTTAGCATTATCATCTGTGTGATATGCTTTTATTTTAAGATTTCCTTCTACTTACCTGTTTCACTGTTTCTGCCTAGGTGTGCCTCTATGTCATCCTGAACTTTAAATTAGTACCATCAGCATTTCCCTTTTTACATACACTACCTGTCCCTTTACTAGTGGTTGGATGGTACAATTACAAGTTTAATTGTAGCAATTGATATGTATAATATATATGTATAATATATATAATATATATGTATATATACTACAGGCCAAAAGTTTGGAAGCAAGATCACATTTGTACAAAACAAATCATAGTTTCATATATATAATTTGCAACACAATAAACATGACTATTGTGTAAAGAGTAACTTTTTAGAAGACATTTTGAATATAATTATTAGGTATTAGAGTTATTGTTGCTTAGACTTTGCTTTCTTTAAAGTAACCTCCTCTGGCTTTAACAGCAGCTTGGCATATACCAGGCATTCGTTCCACAAGTTTTTTAAGGTATGTTCCAGGGATTGCATTCCAAGCTTTCTTAAGTTCATGAAAGAGAGACTGCTAATTCGTGGGACGCGTTTTTCTGACCGATCGATCCAATTCATCCCGCAAAAGCTATATTGGAGAAAGGTCTGGAGACTGAGGGGGCCAAACCATCTTTTGAAGAACACCTTCCTCTTCTTTTTTGTCTAGGTAACCCTGACAGAGCTTGTCTTGCTGCAAAACAAACTTATGAGCCACAAGTCTGAGTCCAGATGGAACAGCATGGTGCTGGAGGATGGAGTGGTACTGTTCCTTCTTCATGATACCCTTTACTTCAAACAAATCTCCTACTCCATCACCTGCAAACATCTCCATACCATGGATCTACCACCTCCATGCTGAATTGTGGGTGTAACACATGGTGCTTTCAAACATTCACCAGTTTGTCTGCGGACATAGACATAGCGTTTTGAACCAAACAGTGCAAACTTGTTTCTAGTCATCATAAGTCCAATTTTTGTGAGCTTTTGCCCACTCATATCTTTTTTCTTGTTCTGTAGACGAAGTAGTGTCTTATTGCAGATACACAACCCTTCAGACCAGCCTTTCTCAAACGTCTTTTCACGGTTGTAAGAGATACGGGTTTCGACCTTGTCATGTTGACTTCCCCCCTTATTTCTGGTGCTGTCTTTTGCCATTCTCTCTTACTGGTGACAATGCTATGTTTATCCTCTGCTTTTGTAGTAACTGTCTTTTGTCCAGGTCTTTTTCTATCATCATAACTTTCAGGTTCCTCTAGTCTCTTCAGAGCGTAGTGGACTCCTTTGTTAGACACCTTTAGGCGTCTAACAAAGGAGGTGTCCTCAATGTACAAATCTGTACTTTTGTTTCTTTACTCAGTTGCTTCTTTCTAGCCATTTTTGCGGTAGTTTGAACACAGTTGAAATTTATTAGGATTTTTGTATGCAGACTCTCAAAACCCAAAAAGTGATGATCCAACTGTGATTTTTTTTTTTTTTGCTTTTGTACAGAAGTTGTGACTCTTGCAAATGTTTTCAACTCTAAATCTAAGCCCTTATCTTTTGTTGACCTTAGCAAAAACCTGAAGTTACTCCAAACTGTACGGCCTATAATGGCCTTGCTTCCAAACTTTTGGCCTGTAGTGTGTGTGTGTGTATATATATATATATATATATATATGGGTCAATGACGTGACGCCTCAATATTCTGTCCGGCTGTATTTTCTTTAAGTTAAAAGTTTTTAATGTAAAAAAAATATACTTTCTATGTGTAGTATCTCTCTAATATATGGAGCCACTTCAACTTTTCAAAAATCTGGAGTTTTTTGTAATTTTTGTGAACTTCAAAGGGTCAAAATATCATGTGGTGCGACCGTCCGGCCATGACTTCTGTTTTGAAAACTTCATAATATACAAACGAATTTTGTCCGATCCTGTCCATTTCATTAAATATCATGTGGTGCGACCATCAAAAAATGACCATTTTTGACACTTTTATGCTGAAAAGGACAGGAAGTTGCATCATTTACCATTTTGTTGTAGAGCTATGGAAGCAGAAAGAGGGTTGGTGGTGCTCTCATTTCTTTAAAAAAAAATACCTTTTCAACTGCTGTAGTGGTGTTGCCACTTTTCGATGTCATGTGGTATGTCCTCAAAAAAAAAACAATTAATTTACGTCATTTCCACAAATATGTTTTTTAATTATAAATTTCATAGTGACCTTTTGTAGGAAGCTAGTGAGCTTTGTTTATGTGACTAATCCTGTATCAGTAAGATTTGACTGAACTTGAAAATGTCATGCAGTGCAACCAATTATGTGGTGCGACCACTGCAGATTGTTTTCCATCATAAATATATGCCCTAGGTTGGCAGTATTTACGCTTTTTATATTCAATTGATGATTGATAAACACTAAGTACTTAACTTTTAGTATTATTTTGAATTTTTTTTGTTATTTGATGAGTCATTTTGCTAATATATCTGAAATAATGGTTAGTTCATCTCTGTGCAAAATAAGGAAAAATATAATATTAAAAGCATGCCATTTCACTTAAGGTATTTATGCCGTTGTTAGCAATTTCTTAACTTTCATGTATCAATTTAAGTCATTTTAATTTATTTTACCAGATGCCACCGCCAAGCAAAGTTAAAAGCGCTCGCCATAGGCAGCGTGTCAACTCTGACCCTGCAGCATGTTATTCATGCCAGGGCTGGTCAAAGATTGGGCCAAGATTGTTGACATCGCTGCACGGATAGTGAGAGGAGCGCTTCGCCGAGAGCGTTATATTCATGATCGCTCAAATCCGTTTGATTTACCTGATGACGTTCTCTATGAACGATACAGGTTTTCCTCGGACGGCCTCAATAGTCAGGTAACATGAAGTCGAAGCAATACACTAATATTTGCCAAGCTCCAGGTTCCAATTTCATGCGGCATATCAGTCATCATTCAGAATTTATTGAAGCAGATTAGAAAACTCCTCCTAACCCCAAATGTGTCTGCTGATGACATGTGACCGTCAGATGATGGAGAAAAAAGAAAAAAAGGCAATGTGAGGAAATCACTGTTAACGTGTTGAAATATGTACAAATAAAATCTTCCAGTAAACCTACTAACCACTTTGAAGGATGTTTTTAGATTGATTTTTATTTTCTCCCACATATTCTTTTCCCCACTGCTGTTGTGTCTGAAATAATGAGGTCAATGATGGTGGTGAGCACACACGCTGCATGACAACATAGGGGCCATAAATTTATGAACGCACAAATGTAATTTACACGATCAATGATTTTTTTGCCAGCAGTCCCTCCGGCTTTTAGCGGCTGCAGCTGTCCTGCTCCTCACTGATATAGTGTTGCGGTACTTGTATTAGCGTAAAATAATGCTCTGTTCCTCGGCTGTGAAATATGACATGCAGCGTTCTCCATTGTGAAGATTGGTCCGGTGCCACTGACCCCACCCCCTTTACGTGTGTGCGCACAGATCTAGACTGACCACAACTGAATTTAGTTAGCTAGTTGATATCCTGCCTCGTAGTACATCTGATCGGGATTACGGAGATCTGGTGAAGTTGAGCAAGTTGTGTCAGAGTTATCCTGGGTGTGTTAATCCAGCTTCGTAGTACAGGCCTCTGGACCACATAGAAAAAGAGTTAAATTTTTGTCAAAAAGGGAAATAAAATGTTTGTGTTCATGTTTGAAATGTTAATAAAATTTGGTTTGAATATAAACTTTGCATGAAATTAATTGTTCATAGGTCTCTTTAAATTGATTTTTAATGATACAAGGTCTTCGGGTCGTTTGGCGCGACCACCAATCATGTGGTGCGACCAATAATAACATTAATTGTATCAAATACAAACTAAAATATCTAATTTCTGTAACTGAGACATAAATACCTGATACAATATGCTTACATGAAAGGTAGTTTCAAAACATTTTTATCAGTATTATGCAATTTGAAGAAAAAAATAGTCAGTGAACTACATTTGATATAGCAACTGTGACATTATAGAGCTAATATATAAGATCATTATTTACAAAAACTCAAATAAAATGCAAAAGCTTTGTTCCTATGTACTTGATATTACCGACAATTTGTAAAAAACTATGGAGTATGTTGAAAAAATGTAATAGTTTTGAGATAAATGATGGTCGCACCACATTACATTTTTTAAGGCCACGGGCAATTCATCTATATGAAAAAACACTAAAATTGCCTAATTTAAAAATTAAACTTTATTTTTTGTATGAATAACATCCTTAGTGTTTGAACTGTTGCAAAAGATATTCTTATTTTTGGTATTTTAAAATTGGCATGTTGAAAAACCTTATACGTCATTGACCCATATATATATGTATACACTCACCGGCCACTTTATTAGGTACACCATGCTAGTAACGGGTTGGACCCCCTTTTGCCTTCAGAACTGCCTCAATTCTTCGTGGCATAGATTCAACAAGGTGCTGGAAGCATTCCTCAGAGAGCTTGGTCCATATTGACATGATGGCATCACACAGTTGCCGCAGATTTGTCGGCTGCACATCCATGATGCGAATCTCCCGTTCTACCACATCCCAAAGATGCTCTATTGGATTGAGATCTGGTGACTGTGGAGGCCATTTGAGTACAGTGAACTCATTGTCATGTTCAAGAAACCAGTCTGAGATGATTCCAGCTTTATGACATGGCGCATTTTCCTGCTGAAAGTAGCCATCAGAAGTTGGGTACATTGTGGTCATAAAGGGATGGACATGGTCAGCAACAATACTCAGGTAGGCTGTGGCGTTGCAACGATGCTCAATTGGTACCAAGGGGCCCAAAGAGTGCCAAGAAAATATTCCCCACACCATAACACCACCACCACCAGCCTGAACCGTTGATACAAGGCAGGATGGATCCATGCTTTCATGTTGTTGACGCCAAATTCTGACCCTACCATCCGAATGTCGCAGCAGAAATCGAGACTCATCAGACCAGGCAACGTTTTTCCAATGTTCTATTGTCCAATTTCGATGAGCTTGTGCAAATTGTAGCCTCAGTTTCCTGTTCTTAGCTGAAAGGAGTGGCACCCGGCGTGGTCTTCTGCTGCTGTAGCCCATCTGCCTCAAAGTTCGACGTACTGTGCGTTCAGAGATGCTCTTCTGCCTACCTTGGTTGTAACGGGTGGTTATTTGAGTCACTGTTGCCTTTCTATCAGCTCGAACCAGTCTGGCCATTCTCCTCTGACCTCTGGCATCAACAAGGCATTTCCGCCCACAGAAGTGCCGCTCACTGGATATTTTTTCTTTTTCGGACCATTCTCTGTAAACCCTAGAGATGGTTGTGCGTGAAAATCCCAGTAGATCAGCAGTTTCTGAAATACTCAGACCAGCCCTTCTGGCACCAACAACCATGCCACGTTCAAAGTCACTCAAATCACCTTTCTTCCCCATACTGATGCTCGGTTTGAACTGCAGGAGATTGTCTTGACCATGTCTACATGCCTAAATGCACTAAGTTGCCGCCATGTGATTGGCTGATTAGAAATTAAGTGTTAACGAGCAGTTGGACAGGTGTACCTAATAAAGTGGCCGGTGAGTGTATATATCTGTGTGTGTGTGTGTGTGTGTGTGTGTGTGTGTATATTAACATACATACATTCATACATATATACATATCAAACCAAAGAACTATTATTAGTTATTGTATTTGCTTGTAGCCAAGGGTCAACTATGATAAATCAGGAACAAAAAAAAGAAAAGGAAATCAGTTAACGTAGTCAAAACAAAATGGTAGGATGGTAGGAGAAGGGGTAACTTAATATTCAGAGTATGTTAGAGGGTTCTACCTTACCCTTTACACCACTTGTTAGTCCCAGAAAAACGAAAGATAGCAAGACCACTGCTGAAGCCATCCTGTGGAGTCAAAGTAACATTCTTCAGTAAATCACATATAAAATATTTAAACCTTGACTCAAAGACCTACAAGAAGCAACATTTCTTTCTTTACCAGTATTAAGTTGTTTTACAAGTTTTTTTGTATCTGCCAAAAAGAAAATCACACAAGCCATATTTGGAGTTATTATTTTCAATACAGTATATATTCTCTTTTTATTTTTCAGTATTTTTTCTTATGACCAATTATAGTCCTCATACATACAGTTGTAGCTGCCAGCCAATCAGTGTAAACTTTCAGTGAACCCCTTAAAAAGAATGAAGCCTGTGTTTTAGAATACAACCTAAAAACATAGAGTTACTTAAATTCAAAGCTGTGCAACGGTTTATAGTTTAATTGTCAACTGTAGGAGTAAAACTTTTTATGATTTGCTTTGAAATCGCTTGAGAGCTTCCTAGATTTTTTTAATTATCTATTTTTACTGGGTTGATTAAAGCATATTAAGGGGTTTGTTAAATATAATAAGAAATATTAAGAATTGTTGCAAAAACTCTTCAGTTTTAATTAACTGTACCGTGGGAGGCAGCAGTTGGTGAAGCATATGAGCGCAAACGACTGAAGTATGCAGACATAGCAGCCGAGGCAGAGAAGCGCGGCTGGAGGGCCCAGGTGCTTCCGGTGGAGGTTGGGTGCAGAGGCTTCGTTGCAACATCCACAACCAAGCTTCTGAAGAGATTGGGAGTACGAGGACAGGCCTTCCGACGAGCCATCAAATCAATATCAGAGGCTGCCAAACAAAGCAGCAGATGGCTATGGATCAAGAGAAAGGACTCCACCTGGGCTGCAAAATGACCACCTAGGGGTAAAAGCAGAGGGGGGCACACCTGGGACGCCAGGTGTCGCCGTTGAGCCCCCTGGAGGTGTCGTGGGCCTATCAATGAAACACCAGTGAAGGGGGGTGCCCACCTGAAGACCCCAGTGAAGCTTTTACCCCCCCCCCCCCCCACTCAATTCCAAGTGCTGATCTAAGGGATTGTAATAACTAGTCCTATGAGCTCAACTGATAAGCTGGAGAAATCCAGTGACTGCTGTGAAAGGGCAGCTGACAACTAGGGAAAGACCATGTGACGGCGTGGAAAGACAGCTGACAGGAGGGAAAGACCCCAACGGGGCTGTCACGGACTAGCTATCCGTGATGGCAGGCTCCGTCGCTTGGCAAGTAGACAAAGGCCACCCCCCATTGCTATGAAAAGTTTAAAGAGGAAAACTCCCCTAGAGTCTGCGAGAGCGGGGGCGGAAGATGACTCATCGGCTGACAACCCGGTAACTGACCCTGGAATGAACACGACAACGAACCAGATAATCGGCACAGAACAAGCAACAACATCGGCTGAAGGACAAGAGCGCCAAGTATGTAGCTGTGGCTGGTCCAAAGTAACCTCCATCAGAGGCCTAAAAATACACCAAGGCCGGATGAAGTGCGTGAAGAAAACGAGGCCAGGACCTCGCATTGACCAATATCTTCTGAGAGAAAGGTCAAGTCAGGCGAGTGAAGCTCAGCGGCAGGATGTAACCCACAGTCCACTGAGCATCAGTACCCCAGAGGCTGAGAATAATTCAAGCACAACATCAGAGAACTTGGAACCCAGCCACTTGCAACCTGCTTTGGAGAAGAACATGCAAGGCCACAGACCTCATGTGAAGTGGCCAAAGTCCAGCAGCAAGAAAGAGTGGGCTACAATTGATGCAGACCTGATCAAGATCTTGGACGGAGTCAAAGGAACAGTGGAGAAGAAACTGGAGAAAATGGGAGACCTGATCTACTCATATGGAGCAGAAAGATTTGGAGCAAAAGAGACAGGGAAGAAGGATATGCCACCAACAACCCCTCCCAAGTCCAGAAGGTAGAAAGAAATCGAGTGCCTGGTTAAAGAGAGAAGGGAATTGAGGAAACAATGGAAGAGAGCCTCAATGGAGGAAAGAGTGGGCATTGACCTCCTGCAAACAGACCTAAAGGGACGCCTGGGAAGATTGCGGAGAGCTGAAAACCTCAGGACTCGACGCAAGAGGAAGGAAAGGGCGAGAACATCCTTCTACAAGGACCCCTTCAGATTTGTAAAAGGACTCTTCACAAAGGAAAAAAGCGGGTCACTTAAGGTGCCAAAGAGGGAGTTGGAAGATCACCTGAAAACCACTCACACAGACAGCCAAAGATTTGAACAAAGGGAGATACCATCAGACATGCCACCAATTCCTCTACCAGAACACCAGCTGGGTGACAGTCCTCCAAAGTGGAGCGAGGTCGAGGAAGCAGTGAGGAAGGCAAGGGCAGCTTCAGCTCCAGGACCAAATGGAGTTCCATATCGGCTGTATAAAAACTCCCCAAACATCTTACGCTTCCTGTGGAGGCAAATGAAGGTGATGTGGACGAAGCAAACCATTCCAAAAACATGGCGTAGAGCTGGAGGAGTGGTAATCCCCAAGGAGAAGGATGCCTCCAACATCGATCAATTCCGGCAAATCAACCTGTTGAACGTGGAAGGGAAGGTCTTTTTTAGCATCGTTGCAAAAAGGATGACAACATACCTGAAGCAAAACAACCTGATTGATACATCTGTGCAGAAAGCTGGAATACCTGGGTTTTCAGGATGCTTGGAACATACAAGCATGATATGGCACCAAATCCAATCTGCCAAAAGGGAAAGAAGGGACCTGCACGTCCTATTTCTGGACCTAGCCAACGCCTTTGGATCCGTCCCTCATTCTCTGATCTGGACAGCTTTCAACTTCTTCCACATCCCAAGTACCATCACAAACCTGGTGAGAAACTACTTCCAAGATCTGCAATTCTGTGTCAAAACAACAGAATATACAACATCATGGCAATCTTTGGAAGTGGGAATAATGGCTGGATGCACCATCTCCCCACTAGCCTTCACCATGGCAATGGAAGTGATAATTCGAGCGTCCAAATGGGTTGTGGGTGGAGAACGTCTGAAGTGTGGCCAGCGTCTACCTCCCATTCGCGCTTACATGGATGACATGACCACCCTGACCTCAACCGTTGCATGCACCAAACATCTGCTAGGAAAGCTTCATGCCAACATCACATGGGCATGGATGAAGTTCAAACCAAGCAAATCCAGGAGCATATCCATCGTCAGGGGGAGACTCACAGACCAGAGGTTCCACATCAAGGACACACCCATCCCATTGGTATCTGAACTGCCAGTCAAGAGCCTAGGGCGACTATACAACGCACATCTCAAAGACTCGGACCAGAGTGATCAGCTGAGGGAAGAAACCATCAAAGGCCTCGTCAGCATAGACAAGACCTTGCTTCCTGGCAAGTTGAAACTGTGGTGCCTGCAGTTTGGATTGCTCCCCCGCCTGATGTGGCCTCTAACAGTCTATGAGATCCCCATGACCAAAGTCGAGAAGCTGGAAAGAACAGTGAGCTCATACATCAAGAAGTGGCTTGGCCTCCCGCGTTGCCTCAGCAACATCGGCTTGTATGGACATGGTGCCCTGGAACTGCCCATCTCTAGCCTCACAGAGGAGTTTAAGTGCACCAAGGTGAGGCTGAACATGACCCTGACTGAGTCGCAAGATGAGGTGATCCGTGCAGCTGCTCCCAGACTGGCAACTGGGAGGAAATGGAACCCATCTGAGGCGGTACAGCAAGCCAAATCTGCTCTCAGGCACGGAGACATTGTGGGACAGGTGCAGCATGGAAGAGGCGGGTTTGGACTCGGAACAAGTCGACCCACATGGCACAAAGCAACATCAACCCAGAGGAGAAAGCTGGTGGTGGAGGTTCGGCAACAAGAGGAGGCAAACAGATGCGCGACAGCAGTAGCACAGTCCAAACAGGGACAGTGGACCAGCTGGGAAAACCTGGAGCATCGTAAGCTCACATGGAAGGATCTTTGGGAAATGGAAGGAAGCCAAATCAGCTTCATCATCAGAGCCACCTATGATGTTCTTCCCACACCCAAAAACCTAAACCAATGGTTTGGAGAAGATCCTTCTTGTGCACTCTGTCAAACACCTGCAACACTGAGTCACATCCTCACCGGCTGTAAAACCAGTCTGTCCCAAGGCCGCTACACCTGGAGACACAACCAGGTCCTAAGACAACTGGCGATCACTCTGGAAGGAAGGAGAACAACCATCAATGCCCTCCCTCCACCAATGCCTAGACGCCCAAACACCACCCCATTTGTAAGAGCAGGACAACCACCGGCAAAACCATCTGCAAGAGTGGAGGCAACCCTTCTAGACTCTGCCTGGGACTGGAGGATGCAGGTTGACCTAGACCAAAAACTCATCTTTCCGCCTGAGATCCTTCCAACTAACCTGGTCTTGTGGTCAACCACCCAGAAGGTTGCGTTCATCATTGAATTAACTGTACCGTGGGAGGCAGCAGTTGGTGAAGCATATGAGCGCAAACGACTGAAGTATGCAGACATAGCAGCCGAGGCAGAGAAGCGCGGCTGGAGGGCCCAGGTGCTTCCGGTGGAGGTTGGGTGCAGAGGCTTCGTTGCAACATCCACAACCAAGCTTCTGAAGAGATTGGGAGTACGAGGACAGGCCTTCCGATGAGCCATCAAATCAATATCAGAGGCTGCCGAACAAAGCAGCAGATGGCTCTGGATCAAGAGAAAGGACTCCACCTGGGCTGCAAAATGACCACCTAGGGGTAAAAGCAGAGGGGGGCACACCTGGGACGCCAGGTGTCGCCGTTGAGCCCCCTGGAGGTGTCGTGGGCCTATCAATGAAACACCAGTGAAGGGGGGTGCCCACCTGAAGACCCCAGTGAAGCTTTTACCCCCCCCCCCCCCTCAATTCCAAGTGCTGATCTAAGGGATTGTAATAACTAGTCCTATGAGCTCAACATTGTTTCAAAACGATTGTTTTCACACTTTTATCAATTGGCTATTTCCCTTTGAACTGTCAACAGCAAGTTTTATAATCTTATGCATAAAATATAGAAAATAATTTAAATTACTCAAATAAATCAAGTATCCAGCGCCAGTGATGGGAAATGTAGACAATAAAGACAATTGTCATGTAGAGTAAATGTAGACAATTATGTTGAAAAATAAAGAAACAACTTAGACAGTGCCTACCTGAAACCACTTAACCAACCTGGATGCAGCTGTTGTCTGCCTGAGTGAGTGAGTGCAAGGATTTTATATTGCTCTGCAGAGCAGGATTGACAGCGATTAGATCAGATAACATCCTGGATAAATACCAAGATTTAGAATGTTTATACAACATTACAACTTTAAATGTTAGTCACACATTTGGGTGGGCACATCCCAGGGATCAATATTTATTGTAGCTTAACCACAACCCATTCAGAACAATTACACATCAAAGACACACCACTGAAAATATTTAGCTGTCATGAGTACAAAAATATATTTTTTACATCTCATCCATTGCGTGTCTCCATCCTTGTTCTCTGGATCAACATATTTTTTATGTCTGACTCCTCAAGCACTCAGATAATTTCTACTCACTGATGTGGCCTCAACTGGTTGGAGCTTTTGCATTCGTGATAGCAAATGGACCAGTATTTTCAAAAATACCACTGCACTTTGGCAATGTTAAAGAGCACTGTACTCTCCCATACCCAGAGAGAGAAGTGGATGGAAATTAATATCATTGGCGATAAATGTAAATACTTCCCATAAATCCCAGTCAAGCCTAAGTTCCTGATAATTGTTATTCATGAACATGCCATCTCCAGGTTAAAGCCAAAAGTCACTATTAATAGCTGGACATTGGTGGGACATGATTTATACTGCTTATTGCTTCTAACTATGTGTTTGCTGGGGTTATCAGCTCTTGGTAGCAGACTGCTTTTCTTTGTTGTGATTCAAAGATTCTCTAATGAAATTTTCTCTCCCAGTTACCTGTAATCTTTTGGATATTGCTCTGCTTTAAACTGCTTTGTTGACTTTGACTTCTCAGGGGACCTCTTCGCTTTGGCTATTTTCCCTCCAGGAAGAGGGGTGCAGCCATATTAGGGTAGCAGCCTTTATTTGTTCATTTAGCTTAGGTGTTGTGAAAAATACTTGAATTCATAGGTAAAACAGATTTTTTTTATAGATCACCCCTCACATTTCAGCAACTTGAATGATACTTCCGGTAAATTCTATTTTCACTGTCAAATTCCGTAGTTCCCTTTGCATATTTCTTACCAATATAGGACAAAAATCCTAAATAATCGATGCACCACACAGCGTGTCATATTAGAAATTAACATTTAGTTTAGTTTAGTCTCTAAACATAGCTTCATTTATAAATTCACATAACTTAAAATCTTTAAGATGGTACAACCTAAGAAAGGCAGCATAGGGGATGATTATTTTGTGTTTGTCTTTTCTATGTTGCTACTTTTGATGCAAATTGACTGACTGCATTTTTCACATTAGTTATTCATAAATGTTGAGGGGTTAAAAACATCCCCAAAATCGCCATAGCAACTGCATGAGCCAATCAACAGCTTTTCTCTTTTTTGGCCCTATTCCACAGCATCCCTGCCTCCTCTTCCCACCCTGCCTCACTCATCTAATATATACACCAGCTCACAGTCTTTTAATTTTTTGTTCCATTTCTGCCTTCTCTCACTATGTACATCAACCTTTCCTAACCTTGTGGTAAAACCACAGGGGGGTTTGTGTCACTCAAGAATATTTCATTAATACATGGCTTCCACAAGTTCATATGTAATCAGAATGACAGTTACAAATTTCTGTCAAAATGGAATAAACTTATCCTCCACAGAAACCCAGCATGTTTTTGACACCCCTAGCTTCAACTGTTGTCTCTTGTAGCTGCTGAAAAGGTGAGGATTTAAAATCACCATGTTTGACAAATGCTGTGTCTGCTCTCTTGACTTTTTCAATGTGTTGCATTAAATCTCATGGAAACACAACAGGTTAAAAAAAAAAAAAAATCCTGCCATTTTTTTTTTGCAGCCGCGTTAGGAGGAACCCTGTAGTTACACAATCACACCACCATTGACACGCAGGCACTCTCTCGCTCGCTCTCTCTCTCTCTCACACACACACACACACACACATATATATTCTACACATAGGTGGCACATTTACATTTTCTTTTGGTATATGTTAATGAACTATATGGATCTTTGGCAGAGTTTTAAACAGAGCAAAGTAATCGTGGGTGTGTCTATATCACTTAAAGAAGCAAACCTCAGATCAATTTGGAAACCTTTCACATACCACATGGCAAAATGCCACAGCACTTGATCCTGTAGGGAGACAATAATGGTTTAAACAGGCTAACGTCACAAAGTGTCCGACAAATTAGCTCTTGTGTGCGAATCAATTACTCAGCTATTATGTTGTGTTTATGTTTGCCTATTATATTATATGCCTTGGCACAGGAAAGTATTACTTCTATATAGAGATGCACCGATTAATCGGCCGCCGATTTAAAAAGCCGGTTTTATATCCAACCAGCCCCAACCGGTGACCGGCCGGTCACTGTCGTAATTTGCCGGTTTTCCCCGAGCAAACTGACCCACATGCGCGGTGCGTATCAGCTCCGAGCAAAACTGCTAAAAATTAGCAAGACTCAGGAGGAAAACATGTCGGTGATTTGACACTGTGTGCCAGAGCGACCCAAAACACGCTGTTTGTAATGCTTGGAAGTCAAAAGTCAGCCGTGGAGGATCAACGCCTAAGACATTTGGAACAACAAACTTAATACGCCACTTGGAAAAGAAGCACCCAGGCTTGTTTAGCAAATATAGGGAATGCACTGCCGCTAAGAGGAGGGATGCAGCAGAGTCGCAGCGACCACAACAACCCTCCACCGTGGCTCCTATGTTCGACATCAGCACTGAAAAGTCCAAAGCCACCACTAGGAAAATAATGGAGTTCGTGGCACTGGAGGACCAGCCGTTTAGCGTAGTACAGGATAAAGGCTTCGTAAATCTGACGAAACACCTGAGTCCACGGTACAAATTACCAAGTAGGGTGTTTCATCAGATTTACGAAGCCTTTATCCTGTACTACGCTAAACAGCTGGTCCTCCAGTGCGACGAACTCCATTATTTTCCTTGTGGTGGCTTTGGACTTTTCAGTGCTGATGTCGAACATAGGAGCCACGGCGGAGGGTTGCTGTGGTCGCGGCGACTCTGCTGCATCCCTCCTCTTAGCGGCAGTGTATTACTTATATTTGCTAAACAAGCCTGGGTGCTTCTTTTCCAAGTGGCGTATTAAGTTTGTTGTTCCAAATGTCTTAGGCGTTGATTGGTACAAACTACCAAGTAGGCGGTACTTTTCTGACACAGCGCTGCCAGAGTCGTTTGAGAGAGGTACTGGAGGGGTAGTCAATAAATTACATTGTACCAGGCAAATGCTGGGACGTTTTTGAATGTTGTTTGAATGTAAGTTAGTTATTGACCTGTAAACTGGACTGAATGTTATGGTCAGTGTTGAAAATAAATCTGCTCAGGAGGCACTGTTGAAACTCTCACTCTATTTCTTATTTGTTAGGTTTTATTCTTGAAAAGGGGGGTTATGATAGCATATAGCCTACCATTAGTTGTGCTTTTAACTGCAGTTAAGCAAAATGTTGTCTGGGAGAGGGGTACTTAAATTAAAATTGGGAAAGGGTACTCAAGCCAAACAAATATGGTGTCTATTATATAATTATAATTATTTCTTAGATAGAAAATCACTATCGGAAAAAAACGGTTTTGGCACGTCAGACCTCCTTTAAAACCGGAAATCGGTGTCGGCCAAGAATATTGCAATCGGTGCATCTCTACTTCTATACTGTCACTCAGCTGCCAAGGCAGAGTTCTTGGCAGATAGCGTTATTCTCCCGAACTTTGTCAGAGAGACTTCACATTTACTCTAATTCATTAGAAATTTTACATTGCCTTGCTGTTGTTGTTGTGTTTTCCAAACATAACTAGCATCATGCAATGTTTATTTTATGGTGATGGTGGTAGAAGTTTGTTGTGGTCTATTGACATACAATTGCTTCTTCATTTCGCAGCACACCTGTCCCTTATCTGTGCAGAGGAAAGAGAGTGAGCTGAGGGGCTGGTCCAGTTTGATATGACTACTGCAGATGGTCTGCCCAACACACTTAATAAGAAACATTTGCTTTGTGTCATATGGAATTATTGTAAAAAAAAAAAAAAGAGTTTAGATGCAAAATTTTTGCTTATGATGAGTGCCACCCCTGTGAAAATTTGATATTTGGTGCAGAATACCCGCAATCTTGATATTAAGACCCTGTTGCATGTACTATTTACACATCCAAAACCCAATGAGGCAAAAGTGCGAGATTACATGGGGTGTTATCAGCTGCACTTGTAGAACAACAATTAAAGAAGTTACACAGGACAGTTCGCATTACAGGAGAGATGCTGTAGAAGTGTTTTCTTGTAAAAAGTGTGTCCGTCACAATGGACAGAAAGATAAGTTGAGGGTGTGAATAAACAAACAAATTGGTTGCCAAATGAACTTGAGCCATTAGGGTAGGGTTAGGGCTCTGGTTTCATAATTAATTCTCTCGACTACATTTAAGTTTCTTGCTGTCTTTGCTCTACTGTGGCCATCCATGCAGTATTTCAACTTTGCCTGTCTCTTAATAGCTTCCCTGTCACCTCACCACCCTGTGTGACCTCTTCCTCTCCCTATCTCTCTCTCTTTTTTTTTTGTTTCCCTCTTTGCTAGCTCTCTTGTACATACTCCATATTCAGTTCCTTATCTTGCCTATGCCAGTCTCCCACTTAATCCCATCCTATACCTCTATTCCTATGTGTGTTCCTTCTGAATTGTATGCAATTGACGAGCCACACACTGACCACAAATGATACCTAAAAGTAGGTCGTGTCTGCATTTCTAATGATGCCACGGTCTGCTGACCCCACTTATATTTCTCACTCACGAGGGATGTCAGGTTACTCCTACAGTCACATAGCTATGTCATGTAGGGCCAGCGCTGATCCCTAGTGTAGACTGTTGTGTATTTTGGGTTATGATAGGACCCATAGTTGACATGCACCTGGTGCATGCTGGGTGAACTTCGCTATGTTGTTGTTGTTAGAGTACCCATGTGCTAGCACGTTATGCCACTGCCAATAAACCTTTAACATTACATTGTGGTTCGAGAAATCATTGTAATATTTAGTAACACTACAGTGAAGGATAGAACATAAACAATGGTAGCCATTGCTGCTAATGGACCCACAGATTTGTAGAGAAGTTGCAAAAGTTGTAAATTAAGTGTTTAAAGTAGCAACAGACTCACAGTGCTTGGTGTCTCTTGTGCACCATAGTTTTGCAAAAACTCACAAAATGAAATAGAGAATATAAGACGCAAAAGAAATAGAAAAAAAGAGGAAAAAAAACTCCTCAGAGTTCAGGGTTGTAATGTTGTAAAGGGCTGCCATTTGTTCAGGGCTAGAGGGCTTAATCTTGAGCTTTGTTCAAATACTGAAGACAGATTTTTTGGAAAGGTGATTCACTCTCTAAGCACATTTTCCTCTGTCCCAATACAGCCTATTACTCAGTATTTTCAGAGTATTTCCTGTTGAGTCCTTCACCTTAACTCATTGCACCAACAGGATATCCTTTTGGCACAGACTGGTTTCACTACATCTGCTCCATCTCCTTTCATAACAGACAAGACATTGTAGCCATAACACAACTTTCATTAGAAGTATTAACACACTTTAGAGTCATGCAGTAAACACACCAAGCAAACAATGTTAAGTGTTGAATCACCTTTCCAAAGAATCTGTCTTTAGTATTTGTTTGACGGATTGTTAAAATTACCAAACCTGCTGGTGTTGTTGGACAACTATGTTTAAGCTTGAAAATCCTAAAATTATGACAACAAAGCTCAAGATTAAGCCCTCTGGCCCTGAACAAATGGCAGCCCTTTACAACATTACAACCCTGAACTCTGAGGAGTTTTTTTCCTCTTTTTTTCTATTTCTTTTGCGTCTTATATTCTCTATTTCATTTTGTGAGTTTTTGCAAAACTATGGTGCACAAGAGACACCAAGCACTGTGAGTCTGGTGCTACTTTAAACACTTAATTTACAACTTTTGCAACTTCTCTACAGGTCTGTGGGTCCATGAGCGACAATGGCTACCATTGTTTATGTTCTATCCTTCACTGTTGTGTTACTAAATATTACAATGATTTCTCGAACCACGATGTAATGTTTAAGGTTTATTGGCAGTGGCATAACGTGCTAGCACATGGGTACTCTAACAACAACAACATAGCGAAGTTCACCCAGCATCCACCAGGTGCATGTCAACTATGGGTCCTATCATAACCCAAAATACACAACAGTCTACACTAGGGATCAGCGCTGGCCCTACATGACATAGCTATGTGACTGTAGGAGTAACCTGACATCCCTCGTGAGTTATGGAGGAGGATGCAGGGTTGCTGTGCTGGGACTAAATGCCGCAAAGTAAGAGAGCTTAACGACCAACCCTTGTCCATCATCATGGGAAACATAAGATCTCTCCCCAGAAAGATGGATGAGCTGGCGGCATTGACTCGATACCAATAGGAGTTCCGACAGTGCAGTATGCTGTTGTTTACGGAGACATGGCTGAGCACATTGCACACAGACGCGACCGTAGAGCTGCACTGATTGTCATTCATACTGGTAAACTGGACAGAGAGGAGTGGTAAGAGGAAGGGAAGGAGATGGCAGTATTTGTGAACAGTAGATGGTGTAACTCCAGGCACATCACTTTCAAAGAGCAGCACTGCTACCTGGACATCGAGCTGTTGGCTGTTAGTCTGAGGCCTTACGATCTACCACAGGGGTTCTCACATGCAATTGTGGTGGCAGTGTCTATTCCTCCCTCTGCTAACGCCGATGCAGCCTGTGACATCATTAACACCATGATCAACAGGCTGCAGGCCTTCTTAGTGATCCCTAGTAGGGATGTGCGCGGTTATTCGGATATTCGTGTAAACGGGGTTGTCCTTACTATCCATGTAGGAAATAACATTCATTTATTCTATGAACAAAAAAAGAAAAGGGAAAAAAAAGAAAAGCAATAAAAAGCAGTTTTTTTTTAATTTGGTTTTTACCATCAAGTCTTAATAAAAGTGTGCATTAAACAAGCTAAAATGTGTGGATCATTTGCATGCGACTCTTTCTGCCTGGCTCGCTGCTCTGGGCTTGCAGCACTGGCCTGCACCTTGCATGACATCTTGGGTTAACTTCCTGAGAGTAAATCAACACATGCGATCATCCAGAGCGATGTTGGTGAGAAAAAAGAGCAAAGTTTGCGGGTATTTTGATTTAGATGAAGTGTGCTTATGGTGTGAAGCGGGCCGATGACGCAGCAGGCTGCTTGGCTTGAGCGCAGCTCAATTGCTTTGCTCTTTCACATACTTTATGTCATTCTCCAGTAAGGCTGCACGATATTGGAAAAAAATAATATTGCGATTTTTTCAACCCTGCGATATATATTGCGATATTAAAAATACAGTATTTTCACCAGATGACCTGAATAGCACTTAATGTTATGCTGCACTGCTGAAATCTTGAGGACAGTTAATCTGCTCTGATCTTACCTCTTTTTGTGAATGTTAGTAGAACGGCTTCTGTCTGTCTCAGAGATATTTTTAGCTTTTATTGTGCTGGGACGTTATTGTGGAAACAGATGAACACAGAAGACGTGTTTTGGTCGACATCATCCTTTTTTAACCGAAATAATTCCAGATAACTGACTTTCCTTTTCTTTTTGGCAACAAATCTTCATTTTCGGTGGTTTTCGCTTGTTCGTTGTTCATTTTGCGATCGTTGTTGTTGTTGTTAGCGGTGCTGTACCGAGAAACGCATGTCCTCCGAGAATTGCATGCACCTCGCAAAACGCGCACTGCTTATAGTAGAGTGGTCCACGGAAATGTACAATTTAAAACCCATACAGTTCTTATTTGTTGGGCTTAATAGTCATGAGTAAAGTTCCGAAAGTAATTCTCAGCGGACACACGTCTCCCTCCATGTGCAGAACATGTGCAGGGGTGGGTTTTCTCCTCCCTGATTTTGATTGACAGCTGGCAGGGTAGTCTGATTGGCAGCTGAGAAGTGAGTCTGATTGGCAACTGAGTAAAGGACAAAGGTGATTGGTGGATGGCTGCACAGCACATGCAGAGTCACATGGAGTGTATCTCAGTCGCTTACCCTTGAAATTAAATGAGTTCATTCACCTCCAATATCGCAGGCTCTGCGATGTGACTATCGCACACACGTACATCACGATGACGATAGTCAAACGATATATCGTTCAGGCCTATTCTCCAGCACTAAAATAAGATTCTGTAACATATTTTAATATCATAAGCATGTGCTCTTAAATTTTATTTCAGATGATATCTGGCCATATAGATCGACATGGGCTCAATTTGGGCTATTTTCTGGGTAGGGATGCACGATATAATGTTTGAGCATCGTCATCGCGATGTACGTGTGTGCAATAGTCACATCGCAGAGCCTGAGATGGAGGTGAATGAACTCATCTAATTTCAAGGGTAGCTGACTGAGATACACTGCATGTGACTCTGCATGTGTTGTGCAGCAATCCACCAATCACCTTCGTTCTTTACTCAGTTGCCAATCAGACTCAGTTCTCAGTTGCCAATCAGACTACCCTGCCAGCTGTCAATCAAAATCAGAGAGGAGGAAACCCACCCCTGCACATAGAGTGAGTCGCTGGTGCGACCGGAGTTGAGCAGAGAAACGCGTGTCCGCTGAGAATTACTTTCGGAACATTCTTCATCACTGTTTAGCCCAACAAATAAGAACTGTATGGGTTTTAAATTGTATATTTCCGTGGACCACTCTACCATAAGCGGTGCGCATTTTGTGAGGTGCATGCAATTCTCGGAGGACATGCGTTTCTCAGCACAACCCGGTTACAACAACAACAACAACAATGGCAAACTGAGCAACAAACAGAGAAAACCACCGAAGATGAAGACTTGTTGCCAAAAAGAAAAGGAAAGTCAGTTATCTCGAAATTATTTCGGTTACAAAATGGATGATGTTGACCAAAACACGTGTTCTGTGTTCATCTGTTGCCACAATAACGTCCCAGCACAATAAAAGCTAAAAATATCTCTGAGACAGACAAAAGCCACTCTACTAACATTCACAAAAAGAGGTAAGATCAGTGCAGGTTAACTGTCCTCAAGATTTCAGCAGTGCAGTATAACATTAAGTGCTATTCAGGTCATCTGGTGAAAATTCCTGTATTTTTTAATATCGCAATATATATCGCAGGGTTGAAAAAAATCGCAATGTTAGTTTTTTCCAATATCGTGCAGCCTTATTTCTGGGAGTTAATTAATTTTCGTGTATTCGAATATTCAGTTTCAAAATGGTAATTTAAACGTCAGTGAAATTAACCTCTGGGAACATCCCTAATCCCTAGGGACTTAAATCATGCCTCTCTGTCTTATACTCTGCCCAAATGTATCCAGTACGTCAAATGTGCCAACAGAGACAACAAAACACTGGACTTATTCTATGCCAACACCAAGGAGGCATAGGACTCATCACCCCTCCCCCCTCTGGGAAGAGCTGATCACACCTGGTTCATCTCCAAAATTCATCTTGAAAATTGTATCAAAGGTGAGTGCATTATCTGAACTTTGTAACTTAAAAATTCAAATAAAATCTTCTCATCCAGTTCTGTTAAGATTTTTCTCTTTTTAATGAACAGCACCACTTCTATCACCCCTTAAAGAAAGTTTTTAATGTGTCAGCTGTCTCAACATCATTTATACACTTTTTTAATTTCATGTTTTAATCAACTGGATAAATAGAATAATTTCAGCTCCCAGGTACTTTAAAAGCTTAACTGTTTTCTTCTGTCAGTACTGTGTGCCTTTTTTAGGAGTGGCAGATAATTTAAATAGCTTAATATTGCTCTGAAGGCCATCCTAGAAATCTTAACATCATCTCATGCAAGTATCACATCAAACTAGTAATACACCTTTCCAATCATGGAATCAGGTACTGGCTGGATACTCGTCCAAGCTAGGTTGAATATAGTGACAAAGGGTCGATCCATAGAGCAGATTTATGCTATTTTTGTTTTTCCAACAGCAGTGTGCGCTTATACATCATCTGCTGGTAGGTCTGTGGATTTTGTAAGGCAGAGAGCTAATGTAGCATGGAGGGAGCTGACTTTTGTGGCTCAGCAATTTAGAGATATTTCAAGCTTGTCAACCAACGACTCTGACAGCAATTTGCTAGAATGAAAAGCTCAATTATTTAGGGATGAAGAAGGGTTAGCAAAATAAGACAGTCGTGGAGCTGCAGAAGAACTTCCTGGTGGTGTTCTGAAAGTGTGAAGAATAACAGATGAACTGTTCAGGATGGAAAAAACCTTGATGTACCCCAAAGTGAAGTGCTACAAGCTTAAAAAAAACTTGGGAATCACACACTAGTCACTTGATTAAGACTGCCATTTAGATTATGCTTGACCAGTGCATATTCTGTTGAATAAAGTGCATGATAGTTTCTTTGCACTATGCCTTTAACTGTGGCATGATGCACTATTTTCAGGCAGAAACTAAACCTAGGTGGGTTGCCTAAATAGCCTATATTTACACCCTCCCAAGTGTAGCTGCTGACCAGTTCAACATTTTTTTGCTTTTCCCTTATTCTAGATTTTACATGATAAGGATTTTTGGGGCCAATCACTGATTAGAGAGTTTAAATAAACTGATAACTGCTCATGATCCACATGATCAGTGGATCACAGTGTTGTTTTTGGCAGGCATTTTAGATTTAGTTTTAGTCTTAGTCATTTTGACGAAATGCTTCTTCGTTTTAGTCCCATTTTAGTCATTGCTATCCTTGATAGTTTTCGTCTAGTTTTAGTCTGACAAAAACTCAAAAGGTATTAGTCCAGTTTTAGTCGACGAAAAGGTGCCTTTTGAGGTTCGTGGTGTTCTTTCCCGACAGTTTGAAGCTGCAGCATGAGGCAGCTGTGGCTCCACAACTGTCGTCTGTCTCGTCTCCCCGTCCCCGTACAAGACATTGTGTTTTATTGTCACTTGGACTGTATCTGAAGTAGGACCATAAAGCATCCCTCTTTTTTCGGCCACCGGGCACCGCTGCTGTGCCTGCCGTCATGGTGTGTGTGTGTGCGCGCCTCGTCCACCTGCCGCTCTGTGTATGTGTATAAGTGTGTGCGCGAGCGAGGCTTTTGGTGGGTGTGTGATGGGGGCGTGACTGTTAGGACAAAAAAAAGCATTTTTTGAAACTTTGTTCGTCCACCGAATAACAATTTAGTCTCGTCTCGTTCTCGTCTGACGAAGATGAATACAATTTTCGTCACATTTTAGTCTTTACAGAGCTTTGGTGACATTCGTCTTAGTCTCATTTTCGTCAAGGAAAAAAGGGGTCTGACGTCGTCATTTAAGTTTTCATCCTGCCTGACGAAAACAACACTGGTGGATCATGCACACTTGGGTACTGTTTACTGAGTCTCAAAAAAATGTTCTTATGCATTTCTGCCATTGTTTGACAATTTTTATCCCAAACTGACTGAGATGAAAAGGATAAACATCAATGACCTCTAGAGGGCATTCAAGACTGGCCAGATATAAGTTCAAGTATTCTTTGTCTAAGTGCCTAATCTAATGTGTGTCTAATGTATAAACCTCTTTGTAGATGTTTCATGGTACTTTGTATCTGACATATTCAAGATTGAAAAAGTTTTATTTTCCATCATATTGTGAAAAGTGATGAAAACATAAATGTCACAATGACAGTAAACAAACATTTAAATTACCAAGACATGTCTCTTCTCCTAGTTTATTTAAAGCAAAAACAATCATGTCTCATTGGTTTAATGTCTTCGCGACGTTTATGTTTTGGGCCTATCACTATATGGCGGGCAATAACGTGTTTTAAAACTTGAATCATTACTGTCACAAGCATACAAACATGTCAGTGCAGTGAAACTTCTTTGGAGTAAATGAGAGATAAAACACAAGTCACCTACAATCTATGCAATGGGAGCATCTGCAAAAAGTTTCAAAACAACAACGACGTCACTGATCGGATCAGTGAATTGAGACATTAAGGATTATCATACAAGTGACATAAATTGTGAAATATTGGCTCATCTGATGTAGCTGAACAAATCGGTGGAATGCCTATTCTCATACAGTTACCATTGGTTTTAACAGTTTATGATCTGTTGTCACTTTCTGCCCATATGACTGATAACCTGCAGTGCCTTGACACAAGCTCTGGTAGGGAGGGAGGGAGGGAGGGAGGGAGAGAGAGAGAGAGAGAGATTCATTCATTCATTCATTCATGCATTCATTGGCTTATCCCTTCTATTAATGCACTGATAAAGAGCGATGTGCCATGATAGAAATGAACCTTACAATGCTGCTGTTTGGGCAGTAGATTGTTGCTGATGTCGTTCTGCACCATCTTAGTTTTAGACCCATGAAATATGCTTCGTCATTAACCAGCCTTGTTCACACACAGATTACCTTTTTAAACAACAGAATATTAGATGAAAGATTAAAAAGCATATATTGTTATTTGGGCCTCTTCATGCCAAAATACTCATGCTGATGAGTATTATTAAAACATCAGACACAGAGAAGAGGATTATTTGGGCTCGTCATGTAGGACAGGCTGCTGTATGATGACAGGTTTATAGGTAAGTGTCACCAAAGCCGAGGTATCAGTATCAAAACTTAATCTCTGCATCCCCTTTAAAAAACATGACATTCTGACTCAAAATAGTGCTGTTAAACAAGTTTGAATTTTATTTGAAGTAGCAATGCATCCACTTTACTGTAGGCCTACAAATTGTAATTTTGTTGCCCATGTAGATGTGAAAGAATTCTTCAACAACAAAGCAATCAAGCTGTGCTACATACTTGAAAACTTGTGTTAAACCTATGTTGATTAAATTCAAAAGTAATAGGCATTGATCATCACGTATGTTATTGTTTTTTAAAAGAAAAGAGACAGAAAAATGAATTTATTAGCTTTGGATTTCAGAGAATTTGGAGCCTAAAATATCAGGAACTTTTTCAGACTCAATTGCAGATGGATTCATCAGATTCATCATATGTTTCAAACCCGGTCACTTCCACCTCACACAGAGTCAAAATCCTCTTTCTCTGTGGAATGACAATGTTGACATAGTGACCTTCCATTCCATTACAGTCGAAGGTTTTGGAGCCCCCAGCTGGAATTGAAAAGATCACAGCACATCTAAATAAACCAGAAGAAAAGATTGTTAGTACACTGTTGCCAAAAAACACATTGTAATAATTTTGAAGAAAGATTTAATTTGAAATGAGGATGCTGCTATTATGAAAAAAGGGAACAAAGATGATAAGATATAAAGTAGAATCAAAAGTTTCATAGGACCTACATGGGATTTATATTGCCATTGTCTTCAAGTGAGTCTCCAATGCGGATCTCAGCTCCAAGAATCCTTTTGTGGCAGCAGTCTTGTCTGTTAAAGACGGTAACAGTCTTGACTTTGTACCTCGCGCCAAAGTCCACTCTCCACCATGGCCTGTTTTCTTCTGTTGTGTGGGTACAGGAGCCCTGCGCCCAAACGGCTGCACGATTTCCATCAATAGCTCTCTTTGGATACCCCTCATGGGCCACGGAGGACTGAGTCACTGTCCCCCCTCTAACAATGTTTGTGTCTAGAAAGAGACATATTTCTTGTAAGATATAGTTTGAAGAGGAAAGGGATGTACCAACAAGTGTTGAAACAAAAGCTACAGAGAACAGGCATTGAGGGTTTTGATTGGACTGCTACTGTTTATCCTGGCTAAGATGTCTTTTAACACTTTGTAAGGTTCAAGTCACCAGTAAGGGGAGTGTCTTTTGCAGGTTCTCCAGTCACTTCCACCTCACACAGAGTGAGGTATTTCTTCTCTCCTGGAATTACAATGCTGACGTAACGACCTTCAATTCCTTTACAGTCAAATGTCTCGGAGGCCCCTGCCGGGATTGAGGGGATCACAGCACATCTGAAAACAAGGAAGCGATCAAGTTGTGGCTTCACATTGATATCTCATCAATTCATTGCATTGACATAACAGACAATGCATGAGACACTGATCATTTCACTGTCATAGAGAAAAGTTGATGATGGTGAAAAGATTATCAGGCTGACAAGTTGTTTCATTTTCAAAGTGTAAAGAATTATTTTGAAAAGATAAGATGAAAACAGGATCAATGTTCTGTTAGCCTACATGGGATTGGCATTGCCGTTGTCTCCGAGTGAGTCTCCGACGTGGATCTCAGCTCCGTTGATCCTTTCTTGGCAGCAGTCTTGTCTGTTCAAGACGGTAACAGTCTTGACTTTGTACCTCGCGCCAAGGTCCACTCTCCACCATGGCCTGTTTTCTGCTGTTGTGTGGGTACAGGAGCCCTGCGCCCAAACGGCTGCAGGATTTCCATCAATAGCTCTCTTTGGATCACCCCCATAGGCCACGGAGGACTGGGTCACTGTCCCCCCTCTAGCAATGTTTGTGTCTAGAAAGAGACATATTTCTTGTAAGATATAGTTTGAAGAGGAAAGGGATGTGCCAACAAGTGTTGAAACAAAAGCTACAGAGAACAGGCATTGAGGGTTTTGATTGGACTGCTACTGTTTATCCTGGCTAAGCTGTCTTTTAACACTTTGTAAGGTTCAAGTCACCAGTTGGAGGAGTGTCTTTTGCAGGTTCTCCAGTCACTTCCACCTCACACAGAGTGAGGTATTTCTTCTCTCCTGGAATTACAATGCTGACGTAACGACCTTCCATTCCTTTACAGTCAAAGGTCTGGGAGGCCCCTGCCGGGATTGAGGGGATCACAGCACATCTGAAAACAAGGAAGCGATCAAGTTGTGGCTTCACATTGATATCTCATCAGTTCATTGCATTGAACTGAACAGACAATGCGTGAGACACTGATCATTTCACTGTCATAGAGAAAAGTTGATGATGGTGATAAGATTATCAGGCTGACAAGTTGTTTCATTTTCAAAGTGTAAAGAATTATTTTGAAATGATAAGATGAAAACAGGATCAATGTTCTGTTAGCCTACATGGGATTGGCATTGCCGTTGTCTCCGAGTGAGTCTCCGACGTGGATCTCAGCTCCGTTGATCCTTTCTTGGCAGCAGTCTTGTCTGTTCAAGACGGTAACAGTCTTGACTTTGTACCTCGCGCCAAGGTCCACTCTCCACCATGGCCTGTTTTCTTCTGCTGTGTGGGTACAGGAGCCCTGCGCCCAAACGGCTGCAGGATTTCCATCAATAGCTCTCTTTGGATCACCCCCATGGGCCACGGAGGACTGGGTCACTGTCCCCCCTCTAGCAATGTTTGTGTCTAGAAAGAGACATATTTCTTGTAAGATATAGTTTGAAGAGGAAAGGGATGTGCCAACAAGTGTTGAAACAAAAGCTACAGAGAACAGGCATTGAGGGTTTTGATTGGACTGCTACTGTTTATCCTGGCTAAGCTGTCTTTTAACACTTTGTAAGGTTCAAGTCACCAGTTGGAGGAGTGTCTTTTGCAGGTTCTCCAGTCACTTCCACCTCACACAGAGTGAGGTATTTCTTCTCTCCTGGAATTACAATGCTGACGTAACGACCTTCCATTCCTTTACAGTCAAAAGCCTGGGAGGCCCCTGCCGGGATTGAGGGGATCACAGCACATCTGAAAACAAGGAAGCGATCAAGTTGTGGCTTCACATTGATATCTCATCAGTTCATTGCATTGAACTGAACAGACAATGCGTGAGACACTGATCATTTCACTGTCATAGAGAAAAGTTGATGATGGTGATAAGATTATCAGGCTGACAAGTTGTTTCATTTTCAAAGTGTAAAGAATTATTTTGAAATGATAAGATGAAAACAGGATCAATGTTCTGTTAGCCTACATGGGATTGGCATTGCCGTTGTCTCCGAGTGAGTCTCCGACGTGGATCTCAGCTCCGTTGATCCTTTCTTGGCAGCAGTCTTGTCTGTTCAAGACGGTAACAGTCTTGACTTTGTACCTCGCGCCAAGGTCCACTCTCCACCATGGCCTGTTTTCTTCTGCTGTGTGGGTACAGGAGCCCTGCGCCCAAACGGCTGCAGGATTTCCATCAATAGCTCTCTTTGGATCACCCCCATGGGCCACGGAGGACTGGGTCACTGTCCCCCCTCTAGCAATGTTTGTGTCTAGAAAGAGACATATTTCTTGTAAGATATAGTTTGAAGAGGAAAGGGATGTGCCAACAAGTGTTGAAACAAAAGCTACAGAGAACAGGCATTGAGGGTTTTGATTGGACTGCTACTGTTTATCCTGGCTAAGCTGTCTTTTAACACTTTGTAAGGTTCAAGTCACCAGTTGGAGGAGTGTCTTTTGCAGGTTCTCCAGTCACTTCCACCTCACACAGAGTGAGGTATTTCTTCTCTCCTGGAATTACAATGCTGACGTAACGACCTTCCATTCCTTTACAGTCAAAGGCCTGGGAGGCCCCTGCCGGGATTGAGGGGATCACAGCACATCTGAAAACAAGGAAGCGATCAAGTTGTGGCTTCACATTGATATCTCATCAGTTCATTGCATTGAACTGAACAGACAATGCGTGAGACACTGATCATTTCACTGTCATAGAGAAAAGTTGATGATGGTGATAAGATTATCAGGCTGACAAGTTGTTTCATTTTCAAAGTGTAAAGAATTATTTTGAAATGATAAGATGAAAACAGGATCAATGTTCTGTTAGCCTACATGGGATTGGCATTGCCGTTGTCTCCGAGTGAGTCTCCGACGTGGATCTCAGCTCCGTTGATCCTTTCTTGGCAGCAGTCTTGTCTGTTCAAGACGGTAACAGTCTTGACTTTGTACCTCGCGCCAAGGTCCACTCTCCACCATGGCCTGTTTTCTTCTGCTGTGTGGGTACAGGAGCCCTGCGCCCAAACGGCTGCAGGATTTCCATCAATAGCTCTCTTTGGATCACCCCCATGGGCCACGGAGGACTGGGTCACTGTCCCCCCTCTAGCAATGTTTGTGTCTAGAAAGAGACATATTTCTTGTAAGATATAGTTTGAAGAGGAAAGGGATGTGCCAACAAGTGTTGAAACAAAAGCTACAGAGAACAGGCATTGAGGGTTTTGATTGGACTGCTACTGTTTATCCTGGCTAAGCTGTCTTTTAACACTTTGTAAGGTTCAAGTCACCAGTTGGAGGAGTGTCTTTTGCAGGTTCTCCAGTCACTTCCACCTCACACAGAGTGAGGTATTTCTTCTCTCCTGGAATTACAATGCTGACGTAACGACCTTCCATTCCTTTACAGTCAAAGGCCTGGGAGGCCCCTGCCGGGATTGAGGGGATCACAGCACATCTGAAAACAAGGAAGCGATCAAGTTGTGGCTTCACATTGATATCTCATCAGTTCATTGCATTGAACTGAACAGACAATGCGTGAGACACTGATCATTTCACTGTCATAGAGAAAAGTTGATGATGGTGATAAGATTATCAGGCTGACAAGTTGTTTCATTTTCAAAGTGTAAAGAATTATTTTGAAATGATAAGATGAAAACAGGATCAATGTTCTGTTAGCCTACATGGGATTGGCATTGCCGTTGTCTCCGAGTGAGTCTCCGACGTGGATCTCAGCTCCGTTGATCCTTTCTTGGCAGCAGTCTTGTCTGTTCAAGACGGTAACAGTCTTGACTTTGTACCTCGCGCCAAGGTCCACTCTCCACCATGGCCTGTTTTCTTCTGCTGTGTGGGTACAGGAGCCCTGCGCCCAAACGGCTGCAGGATTTCCATCAATAGCTCTCTTTGGATCACCCCCATGGGCCACGGAGGACTGGGTCACTGTCCCCCCTCTAGCAATGTTTGTGTCTAGAAAGAGACATATTTCTTGTAAGATATAGTTTGAAGAGGAAAGGGATGTGCCAACAAGTGTTGAAACAAAAGCTACAGAGAACAGGCATTGAGGGTTTTGATTGGACTGCTACTGTTTATCCTGGCTAAGCTGTCTTTTAACACTTTGTAAGGTTCAAGTCACCAGTTGGAGGAGTGTCTTTTGCAGGTTCTCCAGTCACTTCCACCTCACACAGAGTGAGGTATTTCTTCTCTCCTGGAATTACAATGCTGACGTAACGACCTTCCATTCCTTTACAGTCAAAGGCCTGGGAGGCCCCTGCCGGGATTGAGGGGATCACAGCACATCTGAAAACAAGGAAGCGATCAAGTTGTGGCTTCACATTGATATCTCATCAGTTCATTGCATTGAACTGAACAGACAATGCGTGAGACACTGATCATTTCACTGTCATAGAGAAAAGTTGATGATGGTGATAAGATTATCAGGCTGACAAGTTGTTTCATTTTCAAAGTGTAAAGAATTATTTTGAAATGATAAGATGAAAACAGGATCAATGTTCTGTTAGCCTACATGGGATTGGCATTGCCGTTGTCTCCGAGTGAGTCTCCGACGTGGATCTCAGCTCCGTTGATCCTTTCTTGGCAGCAGTCTTGTCTGTTCAAGACGGTAACAGTCTTGACTTTGTACCTCGCGCCAAGGTCCACTCTCCACCATGGCCTGTTTTCTTCTGCTGTGTGGGTACAGGAGCCCTGCGCCCAAACGGCTGCAGGATTTCCATCAATAGCTCTCTTTGGATCACCCCCATGGGCCACGGAGGACTGGGTCACTGTCCCCCCTCTAGCAATGTTTGTGTCTAGAAAGAGACATATTTCTTGTAAGATATAGTTTGAAGAGGAAAGGGATGTGCCAACAAGTGTTGAAACAAAAGCTACAGAGAACAGGCATTGAGGGTTTTGATTGGACTGCTACTGTTTATCCTGGCTAAGCTGTCTTTTAACACTTTGTAAGGTTCAAGTCACCAGTTGGAGGAGTGTCTTTTGCAGGTTCTCCAGTCACTTCCACCTCACACAGAGTGAGGTATTTCTTCTCTCCTGGAATTACAATGCTGACGTAACGACCTTCCATTCCTTTACAGTCAAAGGCCTGGGAGGCCCCTGCCGGGATTGAGGGGATCACAGCACATCTGAAAACAAGGAAGCGATCAAGTTGTGGCTTCACATTGATATCTCATCAGTTCATTGCATTGAACTGAACAGACAATGCGTGAGACACTGATCATTTCACTGTCATAGAGAAAAGTTGATGATGGTGATAAGATTATCAGGCTGACAAGTTGTTTCATTTTCAAAGTGTAAAGAATTATTTTGAAATGATAAGATGAAAACAGGATCAATGTTCTGTTAGCCTACATGGGATTGGCATTGCCGTTGTCTCCGAGTGAGTCTCCGACGTGGATCTCAGCTCCGTTGATCCTTTCTTGGCAGCAGTCTTGTCTGTTCAAGACGGTAACAGTCTTGACTTTGTACCTCGCGCCAAGGTCCACTCTCCACCATGGCCTGTTTTCTTCTGCTGTGTGGGTACAGGAGCCCTGCGCCCAAACGGCTGCAGGATTTCCATCAATAGCTCTCTTTGGATCACCCCCATGGGCCACGGAGGACTGGGTCACTGTCCCCCCTCTAGCAATGTTTGTGTCTAGAAAGAGACGTATTTCTTGTAAGATATAGTTTGAAGAGGAAAGGGATGTGCCAACAAGTGTTGAAACAAAAGCTACAGAGAACAGGCATTGAGGGTTTTGATTGGACTGCTACTGTTTATCCTGGCTAAGCTGTCTTTTAACACTTTGTAAGGTTCAAGTCACCAGTTGGAGGAGTGTCTTTTGCAGGTTCTCCAGTCACTTCCACCTCACACAGAGTGAGGTATTTCTTCTCTCCTGGAATTACAATGCTGACGTAACGACCTTCCATTCCTTTACAGTCAAAGGCCTGGGAGGCCCCTGCCGGGATTGAGGGGATCACAGCACATCTGAAAACAAGGAAGCGATCAAGTTGTGGCTTCACATTGATATCTCATCAGTTCATTGCATTGAACTGAACAGACAATGCGTGAGACACTGATCATTTCACTGTCATAGAGAAAAGTTGATGATGGTGATAAGATTATCAGGCTGACAAGTTGTTTCATTTTCAAAGTGTAAAGAATTATTTTGAAATGATAAGATGAAAACAGGATCAATGTTCTGTTAGCCTACATGGGATTGGCATTGCCGTTGTCTCCGAGTGAGTCTCCGACGTGGATCTCAGCTCCGTTGATCCTTTCTTGGCAGCAGTCTTGTCTGTTCAAGACGGTAACAGTCTTGACTTTGTACCTCGCGCCAAGGTCCACTCTCCACCATGGCCTGTTTTCTTCTGCTGTGTGGGTACAGGAGCCCTGCGCCCAAACGGCTGCAGGATTTCCATCAATAGCTCTCTTTGGATCACCCCCATGGGCCACGGAGGACTGGGTCACTGTCCCCCCTCTAGCAATGTTTGTGTCTAGAAAGAGACATATTTCTTGTAAGATATAGTTTGAAGAGGAAAGGGATGTGCCAACAAGTGTTGAAACAAAAGCTACAGAGAACAGGCATTGAGGGTTTTGATTGGACTGCTACTGTTTATCCTGGCTAAGCTGTCTTTTAACACTTTGTAAGGTTCAAGTCACCAGTTGGAGGAGTGTCTTTTGCAGGTTCTCCAGTCACTTCCACCTCACACAGAGTGAGGTATTTCTTCTCTCCTGGAATTACAATGCTGACGTAACGACCTTCCATTCCTTTACAGTCAAAGGCCTGGGAGGCCCCTGCCGGGATTGAGGGGATCACAGCACATCTGAAAACAAGGAAGCGATCAAGTTGTGGCTTCACATTGATATCTCATCAGTTCATTGCATTGAACTGAACAGACAATGCGTGAGACACTGATCATTTCACTGTCATAGAGAAAAGTTGATGATGGTGATAAGATTATCAGGCTGACAAGTTGTTTCATTTTCAAAGTGTAAAGAATTATTTTGAAATGATAAGATGAAAACAGGATCAATGTTCTGTTAGCCTACATGGGATTGGCATTGCCGTTGTCTCCGAGTGAGTCTCCGACGTGGATCTCAGCTCCGTTGATCCTTTCTTGGCAGCAGTCTTGTCTGTTCAAGACGGTAACAGTCTTGACTTTGTACCTCGCGCCAAGGTCCACTCTCCACCATGGCCTGTTTTCTTCTGCTGTGTGGGTACAGGAGCCCTGCGCCCAAACGGCTGCAGGATTTCCATCAATAGCTCTCTTTGGATCACCCCCATGGGCCACGGAGGACTGGGTCACTGTCCCCCCTCTAGCAATGTTTGTGTCTAGAAAGAGACATATTTCTTGTAAGATATAGTTTGAAGAGGAAAGGGATGTGCCAACAAGTGTTGAAACAAAAGCTACAGAGAACAGGCATTGAGGGTTTTGATTGGACTGCTACTGTTTATCCTGGCTAAGCTGTCTTTTAACACTTTGTAAGGTTCAAGTCACCAGTTGGAGGAGTGTCTTTTGCAGGTTCTCCAGTCACTTCCACCTCACACAGAGTGAGGTATTTCTTCTCTCCTGGAATTACAATGCTGACGTAACGACCTTCCATTCCTTTACAGTCAAAGGCCTGGGAGGCCCCTGCCGGGATTGAGGGGATCACAGCACATCTGAAAACAAGGAAGCGATCAAGTTGTGGCTTCACATTGATATCTCATCAGTTCATTGCATTGAACTGAACAGACAATGCGTGAGACACTGATCATTTCACTGTCATAGAGAAAAGTTGATGATGGTGATAAGATTATCAGGCTGACAAGTTGTTTCATTTTCAAAGTGTAAAGAATTATTTTGAAATGATAAGATGAAAACAGGATCAATGTTCTGTTAGCCTACATGGGATTGGCATTGCCGTTGTCTCCGAGTGAGTCTCCGACGTGGATCTCAGCTCCGTTGATCCTTTCTTGGCAGCAGTCTTGTCTGTTCAAGACGGTAACAGTCTTGACTTTGTACCTCGCGCCAAGGTCCACTCTCCACCATGGCCTGTTTTCTTCTGCTGTGTGGGTACAGGAGCCCTGCGCCCAAACGGCTGCAGGATTTCCATCAATAGCTCTCTTTGGATCACCCCCATGGGCCACGGAGGACTGGGTCACTGTCCCCCCTCTAGCAATGTTTGTGTCTAGAAAGAGACATATTTCTTGTAAGATATAGTTTGAAGAGGAAAGGGATGTGCCAACAAGTGTTGAAACAAAAGCTACAGAGAACAGGCATTGAGGGTTTTGATTGGACTGCTACTGTTTATCCTGGCTAAGCTGTCTTTTAACACTTTGTAAGGTTCAAGTCACCAGTTGGAGGAGTGTCTTTTGCAGGTTCTCCAGTCACTTCCACCTCACACAGAGTGAGGTATTTCTTCTCTCCTGGAATTACAATGCTGACGTAACGACCTTCCATTCCTTTACAGTCAAAGGCCTGGGAGGCCCCTGCCGGGATTGAGGGGATCACAGCACATCTGAAAACAAGGAAGCGATCAAGTTGTGGCTTCACATTGATATCTCATCAGTTCATTGCATTGAACTGAACAGACAATGCGTGAGACACTGATCATTTCACTGTCATAGAGAAAAGTTGATGATGGTGATAAGATTATCAGGCTGACAAGTTGTTTCATTTTCAAAGTGTAAAGAATTATTTTGAAATGATAAGATGAAAACAGGATCAATGTTCTGTTAGCCTACATGGGATTGGCATTGCCGTTGTCTCCGAGTGAGTCTCCGACGTGGATCTCAGCTCCGTTGATCCTTTCTTGGCAGCAGTCTTGTCTGTTCAAGACGGTAACAGTCTTGACTTTGTACCTCGCGCCAAGGTCCACTCTCCACCATGGCCTGTTTTCTTCTGCTGTGTGGGTACAGGAGCCCTGCGCCCAAACGGCTGCAGGATTTCCATCAATAGCTCTCTTTGGATCACCCCCATGGGCCACGGAGGACTGGGTCACTGTCCCCCCTCTAGCAATGTTTGTGTCTAGAAAGAGACATATTTCTTGTAAGATATAGTTTGAAGAGGAAAGGGATGTGCCAACAAGTGTTGAAACAAAAGCTACAGAGAACAGGCATTGAGGGTTTTGATTGGACTGCTACTGTTTATCCTGGCTAAGCTGTCTTTTAACACTTTGTAAGGTTCAAGTCACCAGTTGGAGGAGTGTCTTTTGCAGGTTCTCCAGTCACTTCCACCTCACACAGAGTGAGGTATTTCTTCTCTCCTGGAATTACAATGCTGACGTAACGACCTTCCATTCCTTTACAGTCAAAGGCCTGGGAGGCCCCTGCCGGGATTGAGGGGATCACAGCACATCTGAAAACAAGGAAGCGATCAAGTTGTGGCTTCACATTGATATCTCATCAGTTCATTGCATTGAACTGAACAGACAATGCGTGAGACACTGATCATTTCACTGTCATAGAGAAAAGTTGATGATGGTGATAAGATTATCAGGCTGACAAGTTGTTTCATTTTCAAAGTGTAAAGAATTATTTTGAAATGATAAGATGAAAACAGGATCAATGTTCTGTTAGCCTACATGGGATTGGCATTGCCGTTGTCTCCGAGTGAGTCTCCGACGTGGATCTCAGCTCCGTTGATCCTTTCTTGGCAGCAGTCTTGTCTGTTCAAGACGGTAACAGTCTTGACTTTGTACCTCGCGCCAAGGTCCACTCTCCACCATGGCCTGTTTTCTTCTGCTGTGTGGGTACAGGAGCCCTGCGCCCAAACGGCTGCAGGATTTCCATCAATAGCTCTCTTTGGATCACCCCCATGGGCCACGGAGGACTGGGTCACTGTCCCCCCTCTAGCAATGTTTGTGTCTAGAAAGAGACGTATTTCTTGTAAGATATAGTTTGAAGAGGAAAGGGATGTGCCAACAAGTGTTGAAACAAAAGCTACAGAGAACAGGCATTGAGGGTTTTGATTGGACTGCTACTGTTTATCCTGGCTAAGCTGTCTTTTAACACTTTGTAAGGTTCAAGTCACCAGTTGGAGGAGTGTCTTTTGCAGGTTCTCCAGTCACTTCCACCTCACACAGAGTGAGGTATTTCTTCTCTCCTGGAATTACAATGCTGACGTAACGACCTTCCATTCCTTTACAGTCAAAGGCCTGGGAGGCCCCTGCCGGGATTGAGGGGATCACAGCACATCTGAAAACAAGGAAGCGATCAAGTTGTGGCTTCACATTGATATCTCATCAGTTCATTGCATTGAACTGAACAGACAATGCGTGAGACACTGATCATTTCACTGTCATAGAGAAAAGTTGATGATGGTGATAAGATTATCAGGCTGACAAGTTGTTTCATTTTCAAAGTGTAAAGAATTATTTTGAAATGATAAGATGAAAACAGGATCAATGTTCTGTTAGCCTACATGGGATTGGCATTGCCGTTGTCTCCGAGTGAGTCTCCGACGTGGATCTCAGCTCCGTTGATCCTTTCTTGGCAGCAGTCTTGTCTGTTCAAGACGGTAACAGTCTTGACTTTGTACCTCGCGCCAAGGTCCACTCTCCACCATGGCCTGTTTTCTTCTGCTGTGTGGGTACAGGAGCCCTGCGCCCAAACGGCTGCAGGATTTCCATCAATAGCTCTCTTTGGATCACCCCCATGGGCCACGGAGGACTGGGTCACTGTCCCCCCTCTAGCAATGTTTGTGTCTAGAAAGAGACGTATTTCTTGTAAGATATAGTTTGAAGAGGAAAGGGATGTGCCAACAAGTGTTGAAACAAAAGCTACAGAGAACAGGCATTGAGGGTTTTGATTGGACTGCTACTGTTTATCCTGGCTAAGCTGTCTTTTAACACTTTGTAAGGTTCAAGTCACCAGTTGGAGGAGTGTCTTTTGCAGGTTCTCCAGTCACTTCCACCTCACACAGAGTGAGGTATTTCTTCTCTCCTGGAATTACAATGCTGACGTAACGACCTTCCATTCCTTTACAGTCAAAGGCCTGGGAGGCCCCTGCCGGGATTGAGGGGATCACAGCACATCTGAAAACAAGGAAGCGATCAAGTTGTGGCTTCACATTGATATCTCATCAGTTCATTGCATTGAACTGAACAGACAATGCGTGAGACACTGATCATTTCACTGTCATAGAGAAAAGTTGATGATGGTGATAAGATTATCAGGCTGACAAGTTGTTTCATTTTCAAAGTGTAAAGAATTATTTTGAAATGATAAGATGAAAACAGGATCAATGTTCTGTTAGCCTACATGGGATTGGCATTGCCGTTGTCTCCGAGTGAGTCTCCGACGTGGATCTCAGCTCCGTTGATCCTTTCTTGGCAGCAGTCTTGTCTGTTCAAGACGGTAACAGTCTTGACTTTGTACCTCGCGCCAAGGTCCACTCTCCACCATGGCCTGTTTTCTTCTGCTGTGTGGGTACAGGAGCCCTGCGCCCAAACGGCTGCAGGATTTCCATCAATAGCTCTCTTTGGATCACCCCCATGGGCCACGGAGGACTGGGTCACTGTCCCCCCTCTAGCAATGTTTGTGTCTAGAAAGAGACATATTTCTTGTAAGATATAGTTTGAAGAGGAAAGGGATGTGCCAACAAGTGTTGAAACAAAAGCTACAGAGAACAGGCATTGAGGGTTTTGATTGGACTGCTACTGTTTATCCTGGCTAAGCTGTCTTTTAACACTTTGTAAGGTTCAAGTCACCAGTTGGAGGAGTGTCTTTTGCAGGTTCTCCAGTCACTTCCACCTCACACAGAGTGAGGTATTTCTTCTCTCCTGGAATTACAATGCTGACGTAACGACCTTCCATTCCTTTACAGTCAAAGGCCTGGGAGGCCCCTGCCGGGATTGAGGGGATCACAGCACATCTGAAAACAAGGAAGCGATCAAGTTGTGGCTTCACATTGATATCTCATCAGTTCATTGCATTGAACTGAACAGACAATGCGTGAGACACTGATCATTTCACTGTCATAGAGAAAAGTTGATGATGGTGATAAGATTATCAGGCTGACAAGTTGTTTCATTTTCAAAGTGTAAAGAATTATTTTGAAATGATAAGATGAAAACAGGATCAATGTTCTGTTAGCCTACATGGGATTGGCATTGCCGTTGTCTCCGAGTGAGTCTCCGACGTGGATCTCAGCTCCGTTGATCCTTTCTTGGCAGCAGTCTTGTCTGTTCAAGACGGTAACAGTCTTGACTTTGTACCTCGCGCCAAGGTCCACTCTCCACCATGGCCTGTTTTCTTCTGCTGTGTGGGTACAGGAGCCCTGCGCCCAAACGGCTGCAGGATTTCCATCAATAGCTCTCTTTGGATCACCCCCATGGGCCACGGAGGACTGGGTCACTGTCCCCCCTCTAGCAATGTTTGTGTCTAGAAAGAGACGTATTTCTTGTAAGATATAGTTTGAAGAGGAAAGGGATGTGCCAACAAGTGTTGAAACAAAAGCTACAGAGAACAGGCATTGAGGGTTTTGATTGGACTGCTACTGTTTATCCTGGCTAAGCTGTCTTTTAACACTTTGTAAGGTTCAAGTCACCAGTTGGAGGAGTGTCTTTTGCAGGTTCTCCAGTCACTTCCACCTCACACAGAGTGAGGTATTTCTTCTCTCCTGGAATTACAATGCTGACGTAACGACCTTCCATTCCTTTACAGTCAAAGGCCTGGGAGGCCCCTGCCGGGATTGAGGGGATCACAGCACATCTGAAAACAAGGAAGCGATCAAGTTGTGGCTTCACATTGATATCTCATCAGTTCATTGCATTGAACTGAACAGACAATGCGTGAGACACTGATCATTTCACTGTCATAGAGAAAAGTTGATGATGGTGATAAGATTATCAGGCTGACAAGTTGTTTCATTTTCAAAGTGTAAAGAATTATTTTGAAATGATAAGATGAAAACAGGATCAATGTTCTGTTAGCCTACATGGGATTGGCATTGCCGTTGTCTCCGAGTGAGTCTCCGACGTGGATCTCAGCTCCGTTGATCCTTTCTTGGCAGCAGTCTTGTCTGTTCAAGACGGTAACAGTCTTGACTTTGTACCTCGCGCCAAGGTCCACTCTCCACCATGGCCTGTTTTCTTCTGCTGTGTGGGTACAGGAGCCCTGCGCCCAAACGGCTGCAGGATTTCCATCAATAGCTCTCTTTGGATCACCCCCATGGGCCACGGAGGACTGGGTCACTGTCCCCCCTCTAGCAATGTTTGTGTCTAGAAAGAGACATATTTCTTGTAAGATATAGTTTGAAGAGGAAAGGGATGTGCCAACAAGTGTTGAAACAAAAGCTACAGAGAACAGGCATTGAGGGTTTTGATTGGACTGCTACTGTTTATCCTGGCTAAGCTGTCTTTTAACACTTTGTAAGGTTCAAGTCACCAGTTGGAGGAGTGTCTTTTGCAGGTTCTCCAGTCACTTCCACCTCACACAGAGTGAGGTATTTCTTCTCTCCTGGAATTACAATGCTGACGTAACGACCTTCCATTCCTTTACAGTCAAAGGCCTGGGAGGCCCCTGCCGGGATTGAGGGGATCACAGCACATCTGAAAACAAGGAAGCGATCAAGTTGTGGCTTCACATTGATATCTCATCAGTTCATTGCATTGAACTGAACAGACAATGCGTGAGACACTGATCATTTCACTGTCATAGAGAAAAGTTGATGATGGTGATAAGATTATCAGGCTGACAAGTTGTTTCATTTTCAAAGTGTAAAGAATTATTTTGAAATGATAAGATGAAAACAGGATCAATGTTCTGTTAGCCTACATGGGATTGGCATTGCCGTTGTCTCCGAGTGAGTCTCCGACGTGGATCTCAGCTCCGTTGATCCTTTCTTGGCAGCAGTCTTGTCTGTTCAAGACGGTAACAGTCTTGACTTTGTACCTCGCGCCAAGGTCCACTCTCCACCATGGCCTGTTTTCTTCTGCTGTGTGGGTACAGGAGCCCTGCGCCCAAACGGCTGCAGGATTTCCATCAATAGCTCTCTTTGGATCACCCCCATGGGCCACGGAGGACTGGGTCACTGTCCCCCCTCTAGCAATGTTTGTGTCTAGAAAGAGACATATTTCTTGTAAGATATAGTTTGAAGAGGAAAGGGATGTGCCAACAAGTGTTGAAACAAAAGCTACAGAGAACAGGCATTGAGGGTTTTGATTGGACTGCTACTGTTTATCCTGGCTAAGCTGTCTTTTAACACTTTGTAAGGTTCAAGTCACCAGTTGGAGGAGTGTCTTTTGCAGGTTCTCCAGTCACTTCCACCTCACACAGAGTGAGGTATTTCTTCTCTCCTGGAATTACAATGCTGACGTAACGACCTTCCATTCCTTTACAGTCAAAGGCCTGGGAGGCCCCTGCCGGGATTGAGGGGATCACAGCACATCTGAAAACAAGGAAGCGATCAAGTTGTGGCTTCACATTGATATCTCATCAGTTCATTGCATTGAACTGAACAGACAATGCGTGAGACACTGATCATTTCACTGTCATAGAGAAAAGTTGATGATGGTGATAAGATTATCAGGCTGACAAGTTGTTTCATTTTCAAAGTGTAAAGAATTATTTTGAAATGATAAGATGAAAACAGGATCAATGTTCTGTTAGCCTACATGGGATTGGCATTGCCGTTGTCTCCGAGTGAGTCTCCGACGTGGATCTCAGCTCCGTTGATCCTTTCTTGGCAGCAGTCTTGTCTGTTCAAGACGGTAACAGTCTTGACTTTGTACCTCGCGCCAAGGTCCACTCTCCACCATGGCCTGTTTTCTTCTGCTGTGTGGGTACAGGAGCCCTGCGCCCAAACGGCTGCAGGATTTCCATCAATAGCTCTCTTTGGATCACCCCCATGGGCCACGGAGGACTGGGTCACTGTCCCCCCTCTAGCAATGTTTGTGTCTAGAAAGAGACATATTTCTTGTAAGATATAGTTTGAAGAGGAAAGGGATGTGCCAACAAGTGTTGAAACAAAAGCTACAGAGAACAGGCATTGAGGGTTTTGATTGGACTGCTACTGTTTATCCTGGCTAAGCTGTCTTTTAACACTTTGTAAGGTTCAAGTCACCAGTTGGAGGAGTGTCTTTTGCAGGTTCTCCAGTCACTTCCACCTCACACAGAGTGAGGTATTTCTTCTCTCCTGGAATTACAATGCTGACGTAACGACCTTCCATTCCTTTACAGTCAAAGGCCTGGGAGGCCCCTGCCGGGATTGAGGGGATCACAGCACATCTGAAAACAAGGAAGCGATCAAGTTGTGGCTTCACATTGATATCTCATCAGTTCATTGCATTGAACTGAACAGACAATGCGTGAGACACTGATCATTTCACTGTCATAGAGAAAAGTTGATGATGGTGATAAGATTATCAGGCTGACAAGTTGTTTCATTTTCAAAGTGTAAAGAATTATTTTGAAATGATAAGATGAAAACAGGATCAATGTTCTGTTAGCCTACATGGGATTGGCATTGCCGTTGTCTCCGAGTGAGTCTCCGACGTGGATCTCAGCTCCGTTGATCCTTTCTTGGCAGCAGTCTTGTCTGTTCAAGACGGTAACAGTCTTGACTTTGTACCTCGCGCCAAGGTCCACTCTCCACCATGGCCTGTTTTCTTCTGCTGTGTGGGTACAGGAGCCCTGCGCCCAAACGGCTGCAGGATTTCCATCAATAGCTCTCTTTGGATCACCCCCATGGGCCACGGAGGACTGGGTCACTGTCCCCCCTCTAGCAATGTTTGTGTCTAGAAAGAGACGTATTTCTTGTAAGATATAGTTTGAAGAGGAAAGGGATGTGCCAACAAGTGTTGAAACAAAAGCTACAGAGAACAGGCATTGAGGGTTTTGATTGGACTGCTACTGTTTATCCTGGCTAAGCTGTCTTTTAACACTTTGTAAGGTTCAAGTCACCAGTTGGAGGAGTGTCTTTTGCAGGTTCTCCAGTCACTTCCACCTCACACAGAGTGAGGTATTTCTTCTCTCCTGGAATTACAATGCTGACGTAACGACCTTCCATTCCTTTACAGTCAAAGGCCTGGGAGGCCCCTGCCGGGATTGAGGGGATCACAGCACATCTGAAAACAAGGAAGCGATCAAGTTGTGGCTTCACATTGATATCTCATCAGTTCATTGCATTGAACTGAACAGACAATGCGTGAGACACTGATCATTTCACTGTCATAGAGAAAAGTTGATGATGGTGATAAGATTATCAGGCTGACAAGTTGTTTCATTTTCAAAGTGTAAAGAATTATTTTGAAATGATAAGATGAAAACAGGATCAATGTTCTGTTAGCCTACATGGGATTGGCATTGCCGTTGTCTCCGAGTGAGTCTCCGACGTGGATCTCAGCTCCGTTGATCCTTTCTTGGCAGCAGTCTTGTCTGTTCAAGACGGTAACAGTCTTGACTTTGTACCTCGCGCCAAGGTCCACTCTCCACCATGGCCTGTTTTCTTCTGCTGTGTGGGTACAGGAGCCCTGCGCCCAAACGGCTGCAGGATTTCCATCAATAGCTCTCTTTGGATCACCCCCATGGGCCACGGAGGACTGGGTCACTGTCCCCCCTCTAGCAATGTTTGTGTCTAGAAAGAGACATATTTCTTGTAAGATATAGTTTGAAGAGGAAAGGGATGTGCCAACAAGTGTTGAAACAAAAGCTACAGAGAACAGGCATTGAGGGTTTTGATTGTACTGCTACTGTTTATCCTGGCTAAGCTGTCTTTTAACACTTTGTAAGGTTCAAGTCACCAGTTGGAGGAGTGTCTTTTGCAGGTTCTCCAGTCACTTCCACCTCACACAGAGTGAGGTATTTCTTCTCTCCTGGAATTACAATGCTGACGTAACGACCTTCCATTCCTTTACAGTCAAAGGCCTGGGAGGCCCCTGCCGGGATTGAGGGGATCACAGCACATCTGAAAACAAGGAAGCGATCAAGTTGTGGCTTCACATTGATATCTCATCAGTTCATTGCATTGAACTGAACAGACAATGCGTGAGACACTGATCATTTCACTGTCATAGAGAAAAGTTGATGATGGTGATAAGATTATCAGGCTGACAAGTTGTTTCATTTTCAAAGTGTAAAGAATTATTTTGAAATGATAAGATGAAAACAGGATCAATGTTCTGTTAGCCTACATGGGATTGGCATTGCCGTTGTCTCCGAGTGAGTCTCCGACGTGGATCTCAGCTCCGTTGATCCTTTCTTGGCAGCAGTCTTGTCTGTTCAAGACGGTAACAGTCTTGACTTTGTACCTCGCGCCAAGGTCCACTCTCCACCATGGCCTGTTTTCTTCTGCTGTGTGGGTACAGGAGCCCTGCGCCCAAACGGCTGCAGGATTTCCATCAATAGCTCTCTTTGGATCACCCCCATGGGCCACGGAGGACTGGGTCACTGTCCCCCCTCTAGCAATGTTTGTGTCTAGAAAGAGACGTATTTCTTGTAAGATATAGTTTGAAGAGGAAAGGGATGTGCCAACAAGTGTTGAAACAAAAGCTACAGAGAACAGGCATTGAGGGTTTTGATTGGACTGCTACTGTTTATCCTGGCTAAGCTGTCTTTTAACACTTTGTAAGGTTCAAGTCACCAGTTGGAGGAGTGTCTTTTGCAGGTTCTCCAGTCACTTCCACCTCACACAGAGTGAGGTATTTCTTCTCTCCTGGAATTACAATGCTGACGTAACGACCTTCCATTCCTTTACAGTCAAAGGCCTGGGAGGCCCCTGCCGGGATTGAGGGGATCACAGCACATCTGAAAACAAGGAAGCGATCAAGTTGTGGCTTCACATTGATATCTCATCAGTTCATTGCATTGAACTGAACAGACAATGCGTGAGACACTGATCATTTCACTGTCATAGAGAAAAGTTGATGATGGTGATAAGATTATCAGGCTGACAAGTTGTTTCATTTTCAAAGTGTAAAGAATTATTTTGAAATGATAAGATGAAAACAGGATCAATGTTCTGTTAGCCTACATGGGATTGGCATTGCCGTTGTCTCCGAGTGAGTCTCCGACGTGGATCTCAGCTCCGTTGATCCTTTCTTGGCAGCAGTCTTGTCTGTTCAAGACGGTAACAGTCTTGACTTTGTACCTCGCGCCAAGGTCCACTCTCCACCATGGCCTGTTTTCTTCTGCTGTGTGGGTACAGGAGCCCTGCGCCCAAACGGCTGCAGGATTTCCATCAATAGCTCTCTTTGGATCACCCCCATGGGCCACGGAGGACTGGGTCACTGTCCCCCCTCTAGCAATGTTTGTGTCTAGAAAGAGACATATTTCTTGTAAGATATAGTTTGAAGAGGAAAGGGATGTGCCAACAAGTGTTGAAACAAAAGCTACAGAGAACAGGCATTGAGGGTTTTGATTGGACTGCTACTGTTTATCCTGGCTAAGCTGTCTTTTAACACTTTGTAAGGTTCAAGTCACCAGTTGGAGGAGTGTCTTTTGCAGGTTCTCCAGTCACTTCCACCTCACACAGAGTGAGGTATTTCTTCTCTCCTGGAATTACAATGCTGACGTAACGACCTTCCATTCCTTTACAGTCAAAGGCCTGGGAGGCCCCTGCCGGGATTGAGGGGATCACAGCACATCTGAAAACAAGGAAGCGATCAAGTTGTGGCTTCACATTGATATCTCATCAGTTCATTGCATTGAACTGAACAGACAATGCGTGAGACACTGATCATTTCACTGTCATAGAGAAAAGTTGATGATGGTGATAAGATTATCAGGCTGACAAGTTGTTTCATTTTCAAAGTGTAAAGAATTATTTTGAAATGATAAGATGAAAACAGGATCAATGTTCTGTTAGCCTACATGGGATTGGCATTGCCGTTGTCTCCGAGTGAGTCTCCGACGTGGATCTCAGCTCCGTTGATCCTTTCTTGGCAGCAGTCTTGTCTGTTCAAGACGGTAACAGTCTTGACTTTGTACCTCGCGCCAAGGTCCACTCTCCACCATGGCCTGTTTTCTTCTGCTGTGTGGGTACAGGAGCCCTGCGCCCAAACGGCTGCAGGATTTCCATCAATAGCTCTCTTTGGATCACCCCCATGGGCCACGGAGGACTGGGTCACTGTCCCCCCTCTAGCAATGTTTGTGTCTAGAAAGAGACATATTTCTTGTAAGATATAGTTTGAAGAGGAAAGGGATGTGCCAACAAGTGTTGAAACAAAAGCTACAGAGAACAGGCATTGAGGGTTTTGATTGGACTGCTACTGTTTATCCTGGCTAAGCTGTCTTTTAACACTTTGTAAGGTTCAAGTCACCAGTTGGAGGAGTGTCTTTTGCAGGTTCTCCAGTCACTTCCACCTCACACAGAGTGAGGTATTTCTTCTCTCCTGGAATTACAATGCTGACGTAACGACCTTCCATTCCTTTACAGTCAAAGGCCTGGGAGGCCCCTGCCGGGATTGAGGGGATCACAGCACATCTGAAAACAAGGAAGCGATCAAGTTGTGGCTTCACATTGATATCTCATCAGTTCATTGCATTGAACTGAACAGACAATGCGTGAGACACTGATCATTTCACTGTCATAGAGAAAAGTTGATGATGGTGATAAGATTATCAGGCTGACAAGTTGTTTCATTTTCAAAGTGTAAAGAATTATTTTGAAATGATAAGATGAAAACAGGATCAATGTTCTGTTAGCCTACATGGGATTGGCATTGCCGTTGTCTCCGAGTGAGTCTCCGACGTGGATCTCAGCTCCGTTGATCCTTTCTTGGCAGCAGTCTTGTCTGTTCAAGACGGTAACAGTCTTGACTTTGTACCTCGCGCCAAGGTCCACTCTCCACCATGGCCTGTTTTCTTCTGCTGTGTGGGTACAGGAGCCCTGCGCCCAAACGGCTGCAGGATTTCCATCAATAGCTCTCTTTGGATCACCCCCATGGGCCACGGAGGACTGGGTCACTGTCCCCCCTCTAGCAATGTTTGTGTCTAGAAAGAGACATATTTCTTGTAAGATATAGTTTGAAGAGGAAAGGGATGTGCCAACAAGTGTTGAAACAAAAGCTACAGAGAACAGGCATTGAGGGTTTTGATTGGACTGCTACTGTTTATCCTGGCTAAGCTGTCTTTTAACACTTTGTAAGGTTCAAGTCACCAGTTGGAGGAGTGTCTTTTGCAGGTTCTCCAGTCACTTCCACCTCACACAGAGTGAGGTATTTCTTCTCTCCTGGAATTACAATGCTGACGTAACGACCTTCCATTCCTTTACAGTCAAAGGCCTGGGAGGCCCCTGCCGGGATTGAGGGGATCACAGCACATCTGAAAACAAGGAAGCGATCAAGTTGTGGCTTCACATTGATATCTCATCAGTTCATTGCATTGAACTGAACAGACAATGCGTGAGACACTGATCATTTCACTGTCATAGAGAAAAGTTGATGATGGTGATAAGATTATCAGGCTGACAAGTTGTTTCATTTTCAAAGTGTAAAGAATTATTTTGAAATGATAAGATGAAAACAGGATCAATGTTCTGTTAGCCTACATGGGATTGGCATTGCCGTTGTCTCCGAGTGAGTCTCCGACGTGGATCTCAGCTCCGTTGATCCTTTCTTGGCAGCAGTCTTGTCTGTTCAAGACGGTAACAGTCTTGACTTTGTACCTCGCGCCAAGGTCCACTCTCCACCATGGCCTGTTTTCTTCTGCTGTGTGGGTACAGGAGCCCTGCGCCCAAACGGCTGCAGGATTTCCATCAATAGCTCTCTTTGGATCACCCCCATGGGCCACGGAGGACTGGGTCACTGTCCCCCCTCTAGCAATGTTTGTGTCTAGAAAGAGACGTATTTCTTGTAAGATATAGTTTGAAGAGGAAAGGGATGTGCCAACAAGTGTTGAAACAAAAGCTACAGAGAACAGGCATTGAGGGTTTTGATTGGACTGCTACTGTTTATCCTGGCTAAGCTGTCTTTTAACACTTTGTAAGGTTCAAGTCACCAGTTGGAGGAGTGTCTTTTGCAGGTTCTCCAGTCACTTCCACCCTCACACAGAGTGAGGTATTTCTTCTCTCCTGGAATTACAATGCTGACGTAACGACCTTCCATTCCTTTACAGTCAAAGGCCTGGGAGGCCCCTGCCGGGATTGAGGGGATCACAGCACATCTGAAAACAAGGAAGCGATCAAGTTGTGGCTTCACATTGATATCTCATCAGTTCATTGCATTGAACTGAACAGACAATGCGTGAGACACTGATCATTTCACTGTCATAGAGAAAAGTTGATGATGGTGATAAGATTATCAGGCTGACAAGTTGTTTCATTTTCAAAGTGTAAAGAATTATTTTGAAATGATAAGATGAAAACAGGATCAATGTTCTGTTAGCCTACATGGGATTGGCATTGCCGTTGTCTCCGAGTGAGTCTCCGACGTGGATCTCAGCTCCGTTGATCCTTTCTTGGCAGCAGTCTTGTCTGTTCAAGACGGTAACAGTCTTGACTTTGTACCTCGCGCCAAGGTCCACTCTCCACCATGGCCTGTTTTCTTCTGCTGTGTGGGTACAGGAGCCCTGCGCCCAAACGGCTGCAGGATTTCCATCAATAGCTCTCTTTGGATCACCCCCATGGGCCACGGAGGACTGGGTCACTGTCCCCCCTCTAGCAATGTTTGTGTCTAGAAAGAGACATATTTCTTGTAAGATATAGTTTGAAGAGGAAAGGGATGTGCCAACAAGTGTTGAAACAAAAGCTACAGAGAACAGGCATTGAGGGTTTTGATTGGACTGCTACTGTTTATCCTGGCTAAGCTGTCTTTTAACACTTTGTAAGGTTCAAGTCACCAGTTGGAGGAGTGTCTTTTGCAGGTTCTCCAGTCACTTCCACCTCACACAGAGTGAGGTATTTCTTCTCTCCTGGAATTACAATGCTGACGTAACGACCTTCCATTCCTTTACAGTCAAAGGCCTGGGAGGCCCCTGCCGGGATTGAGGGGATCACAGCACATCTGAAAACAAGGAAGCGATCAAGTTGTGGCTTCACATTGATATCTCATCAGTTCATTGCATTGAACTGAACAGACAATGCGTGAGACACTGATCATTTCACTGTCATAGAGAAAAGTTGATGATGGTGATAAGATTATCAGGCTGACAAGTTGTTTCATTTTCAAAGTGTAAAGAATTATTTTGAAATGATAAGATGAAAACAGGATCAATGTTCTGTTAGCCTACATGGGATTGGCATTGCCGTTGTCTCCGAGTGAGTCTCCGACGTGGATCTCAGCTCCGTTGATCCTTTCTTGGCAGCAGTCTTGTCTGTTCAAGACGGTAACAGTCTTGACTTTGTACCTCGCGCCAAGGTCCACTCTCCACCATGGCCTGTTTTCTTCTGCTGTGTGGGTACAGGAGCCCTGCGCCCAAACGGCTGCAGGATTTCCATCAATAGCTCTCTTTGGATCACCCCCATGGGCCACGGAGGACTGGGTCACTGTCCCCCCTCTAGCAATGTTTGTGTCTAGAAAGAGACGTATTTCTTGTAAGATATAGTTTGAAGAGGAAAGGGATGTGCCAACAAGTGTTGAAACAAAAGCTACAGAGAACAGGCATTGAGGGTTTTGATTGGACTGCTACTGTTTATCCTGGCTAAGCTGTCTTTTAACACTTTGTAAGGTTCAAGTCACCAGTTGGAGGAGTGTCTTTTGCAGGTTCTCCAGTCACTTCCACCTCACACAGAGTGAGGTATTTCTTCTCTCCTGGAATTACAATGCTGACGTAACGACCTTCCATTCCTTTACAGTCAAAGGCCTGGGAGGCCCCTGCCGGGATTGAGGGGATCACAGCACATCTGAAAACAAGGAAGCGATCAAGTTGTGGCTTCACATTGATATCTCATCAGTTCATTGCATTGAACTGAACAGACAATGCGTGAGACACTGATCATTTCACTGTCATAGAGAAAAGTTGATGATGGTGATAAGATTATCAGGCTGACAAGTTGTTTCATTTTCAAAGTGTAAAGAATTATTTTGAAATGATAAGATGAAAACAGGATCAATGTTCTGTTAGCCTACATGGGATTGGCATTGCCGTTGTCTCCGAGTGAGTCTCCGACGTGGATCTCAGCTCCGTTGATCCTTTCTTGGCAGCAGTCTTGTCTGTTCAAGACGGTAACAGTCTTGACTTTGTACCTCGCGCCAAGGTCCACTCTCCACCATGGCCTGTTTTCTTCTGCTGTGTGGGTACAGGAGCCCTGCGCCCAAACGGCTGCAGGATTTCCATCAATAGCTCTCTTTGGATCACCCCCATGGGCCACGGAGGACTGGGTCACTGTCCCCCCTCTAGCAATGTTTGTGTCTAGAAAGAGACATATTTCTTGTAAGATATAGTTTGAAGAGGAAAGGGATGTGCCAACAAGTGTTGAAACAAAAGCTACAGAGAACAGGCATTGAGGGTTTTGATTGGACTGCTACTGTTTATCCTGGCTAAGCTGTCTTTTAACACTTTGTAAGGTTCAAGTCACCAGTTGGAGGAGTGTCTTTTGCAGGTTCTCCAGTCACTTCCACCTCACACAGAGTGAGGTATTTCTTCTCTCCTGGAATTACAATGCTGACGTAACGACCTTCCATTCCTTTACAGTCAAAGGCCTGGGAGGCCCCTGCCGGGATTGAGGGGATCACAGCACATCTGAAAACAAGGAAGCGATCAAGTTGTGGCTTCACATTGATATCTCATCAGTTCATTGCATTGAACTGAACAGACAATGCGTGAGACACTGATCATTTCACTGTCATAGAGAAAAGTTGATGATGGTGATAAGATTATCAGGCTGACAAGTTGTTTCATTTTCAAAGTGTAAAGAATTATTTTGAAATGATAAGATGAAAACAGGATCAATGTTCTGTTAGCCTACATGGGATTGGCATTGCCGTTGTCTCCGAGTGAGTCTCCGACGTGGATCTCAGCTCCGTTGATCCTTTCTTGGCAGCAGTCTTGTCTGTTCAAGACGGTAACAGTCTTGACTTTGTACCTCGCGCCAAGGTCCACTCTCCACCATGGCCTGTTTTCTTCTGCTGTGTGGGTACAGGAGCCCTGCGCCCAAACGGCTGCAGGATTTCCATCAATAGCTCTCTTTGGATCACCCCCATGGGCCACGGAGGACTGGGTCACTGTCCCCCCTCTAGCAATGTTTGTGTCTAGAAAGAGACGTATTTCTTGTAAGATATAGTTTGAAGAGGAAAGGGATGTGCCAACAAGTGTTGAAACAAAAGCTACAGAGAACAGGCATTGAGGGTTTTGATTGGACTGCTACTGTTTATCCTGGCTAAGCTGTCTTTTAACACTTTGTAAGGTTCAAGTCACCAGTTGGAGGAGTGTCTTTTGCAGGTTCTCCAGTCACTTCCACCTCACACAGAGTGAGGTATTTCTTCTCTCCTGGAATTACAATGCTGACGTAACGACCTTCCATTCCTTTACAGTCAAAGGCCTGGGAGGCCCCTGCCGGGATTGAGGGGATCACAGCACATCTGAAAACAAGGAAGCGATCAAGTTGTGGCTTCACATTGATATCTCATCAGTTCATTGCATTGAACTGAACAGACAATGCGTGAGACACTGATCATTTCACTGTCATAGAGAAAAGTTGATGATGGTGATAAGATTATCAGGCTGACAAGTTGTTTCATTTTCAAAGTGTAAAGAATTATTTTGAAATGATAAGATGAAAACAGGATCAATGTTCTGTTAGCCTACATGGGATTGGCATTGCCGTTGTCTCCGAGTGAGTCTCCGACGTGGATCTCAGCTCCGTTGATCCTTTCTTGGCAGCAGTCTTGTCTGTTCAAGACGGTAACAGTCTTGACTTTGTACCTCGCGCCAAGGTCCACTCTCCACCATGGCCTGTTTTCTTCTGCTGTGTGGGTACAGGAGCCCTGCGCCCAAACGGCTGCAGGATTTCCATCAATAGCTCTCTTTGGATCACCCCCATGGGCCACGGAGGACTGGGTCACTGTCCCCCCTCTAGCAATGTTTGTGTCTAGAAAGAGACATATTTCTTGTAAGATATAGTTTGAAGAGGAAAGGGATGTGCCAACAAGTGTTGAAACAAAAGCTACAGAGAACAGGCATTGAGGGTTTTGATTGGACTGCTACTGTTTATCCTGGCTAAGCTGTCTTTTAACACTTTGTAAGGTTCAAGTCACCAGTTGGAGGAGTGTCTTTTGCAGGTTCTCCAGTCACTTCCACCTCACACAGAGTGAGGTATTTCTTCTCTCCTGGAATTACAATGCTGACGTAACGACCTTCCATTCCTTTACAGTCAAAGGCCTGGGAGGCCCCTGCCGGGATTGAGGGGATCACAGCACATCTGAAAACAAGGAAGCGATCAAGTTGTGGCTTCACATTGATATCTCATCAGTTCATTGCATTGAACTGAACAGACAATGCGTGAGACACTGATCATTTCACTGTCATAGAGAAAAGTTGATGATGGTGATAAGATTATCAGGCTGACAAGTTGTTTCATTTTCAAAGTGTAAAGAATTATTTTGAAATGATAAGATGAAAACAGGATCAATGTTCTGTTAGCCTACATGGGATTGGCATTGCCGTTGTCTCCGAGTGAGTCTCCGACGTGGATCTCAGCTCCGTTGATCCTTTCTTGGCAGCAGTCTTGTCTGTTCAAGACGGTAACAGTCTTGACTTTGTACCTCGCGCCAAGGTCCACTCTCCACCATGGCCTGTTTTCTTCTGCTGTGTGGGTACAGGAGCCCTGCGCCCAAACGGCTGCAGGATTTCCATCAATAGCTCTCTTTGGATCACCCCCATGGGCCACGGAGGACTGGGTCACTGTCCCCCCTCTAGCAATGTTTGTGTCTAGAAAGAGACATATTTCTTGTAAGATATAGTTTGAAGAGGAAAGGGATGTGCCAACAAGTGTTGAAACAAAAGCTACAGAGAACAGGCATTGAGGGTTTTGATTGGACTGCTACTGTTTATCCTGGCTAAGCTGTCTTTTAACACTTTGTAAGGTTCAAGTCACCAGTTGGAGGAGTGTCTTTTGCAGGTTCTCCAGTCACTTCCACCTCACACAGAGTGAGGTATTTCTTCTCTCCTGGAATTACAATGCTGACGTAACGACCTTCCATTCCTTTACAGTCAAAGGCCTGGGAGGCCCCTGCCGGGATTGAGGGGATCACAGCACATCTGAAAACAAGGAAGCGATCAAGTTGTGGCTTCACATTGATATCTCATCAGTTCATTGCATTGAACTGAACAGACAATGCGTGAGACACTGATCATTTCACTGTCATAGAGAAAAGTTGATGATGGTGATAAGATTATCAGGCTGACAAGTTGTTTCATTTTCAAAGTGTAAAGAATTATTTTGAAATGATAAGATGAAAACAGGATCAATGTTCTGTTAGCCTACATGGGATTGGCATTGCCGTTGTCTCCGAGTGAGTCTCCGACGTGGATCTCAGCTCCGTTGATCCTTTCTTGGCAGCAGTCTTGTCTGTTCAAGACGGTAACAGTCTTGACTTTGTACCTCGCGCCAAGGTCCACTCTCCACCATGGCCTGTTTTCTTCTGCTGTGTGGGTACAGGAGCCCTGCGCCCAAACGGCTGCAGGATTTCCATCAATAGCTCTCTTTGGATCACCCCCATGGGCCACGGAGGACTGGGTCACTGTCCCCCCTCTAGCAATGTTTGTGTCTAGAAAGAGACATATTTCTTGTAAGATATAGTTTGAAGAGGAAAGGGATGTGCCAACAAGTGTTGAAACAAAAGCTACAGAGAACAGGCATTGAGGGTTTTGATTGGACTGCTACTGTTTATCCTGGCTAAGCTGTCTTTTAACACTTTGTAAGGTTCAAGTCACCAGTTGGAGGAGTGTCTTTTGCAGGTTCTCCAGTCACTTCCACCTCACACAGAGTGAGGTATTTCTTCTCTCCTGGAATTACAATGCTGACGTAACGACCTTCCATTCCTTTACAGTCAAAGGCCTGGGAGGCCCCTGCCGGGATTGAGGGGATCACAGCACATCTGAAAACAAGGAAGCGATCAAGTTGTGGCTTCACATTGATATCTCATCAGTTCATTGCATTGAACTGAACAGACAATGCGTGAGACACTGATCATTTCACTGTCATAGAGAAAAGTTGATGATGGTGATAAGATTATCAGGCTGACAAGTTGTTTCATTTTCAAAGTGTAAAGAATTATTTTGAAATGATAAGATGAAAACAGGATCAATGTTCTGTTAGCCTACATGGGATTGGCATTGCCGTTGTCTCCGAGTGAGTCTCCGACGTGGATCTCAGCTCCGTTGATCCTTTCTTGGCAGCAGTCTTGTCTGTTCAAGACGGTAACAGTCTTGACTTTGTACCTCGCGCCAAGGTCCACTCTCCACCATGGCCTGTTTTCTTCTGCTGTGTGGGTACAGGAGCCCTGCGCCCAAACGGCTGCAGGATTTCCATCAATAGCTCTCTTTGGATCACCCCCATGGGCCACGGAGGACTGGGTCACTGTCCCCCCTCTAGCAATGTTTGTGTCTAGAAAGAGACATATTTCTTGTAAGATATAGTTTGAAGAGGAAAGGGATGTGCCAACAAGTGTTGAAACAAAAGCTACAGAGAACAGGCATTGAGGGTTTTGATTGGACTGCTACTGTTTATCCTGGCTAAGCTGTCTTTTAACACTTTGTAAGGTTCAAGTCACCAGTTGGAGGAGTGTCTTTTGCAGGTTCTCCAGTCACTTCCACCTCACACAGAGTGAGGTATTTCTTCTCTCCTGGAATTACAATGCTGACGTAACGACCTTCCATTCCTTTACAGTCAAAGGCCTGGGAGGCCCCTGCCGGGATTGAGGGGATCACAGCACATCTGAAAACAAGGAAGCGATCAAGTTGTGGCTTCACATTGATATCTCATCAGTTCATTGCATTGAACTGAACAGACAATGCGTGAGACACTGATCATTTCACTGTCATAGAGAAAAGTTGATGATGGTGATAAGATTATCAGGCTGACAAGTTGTTTCATTTTCAAAGTGTAAAGAATTATTTTGAAATGATAAGATGAAAACAGGATCAATGTTCTGTTAGCCTACATGGGATTGGCATTGCCGTTGTCTCCGAGTGAGTCTCCGACGTGGATCTCAGCTCCGTTGATCCTTTCTTGGCAGCAGTCTTGTCTGTTCAAGACGGTAACAGTCTTGACTTTGTACCTCGCGCCAAGGTCCACTCTCCACCATGGCCTGTTTTCTTCTGCTGTGTGGGTACAGGAGCCCTGCGCCCAAACGGCTGCAGGATTTCCATCAATAGCTCTCTTTGGATCACCCCCATGGGCCACGGAGGACTGGGTCACTGTCCCCCCTCTAGCAATGTTTGTGTCTAGAAAGAGACATATTTCTTGTAAGATATAGTTTGAAGAGGAAAGGGATGTGCCAACAAGTGTTGAAACAAAAGCTACAGAGAACAGGCATTGAGGGTTTTGATTGGACTGCTACTGTTTATCCTGGCTAAGCTGTCTTTTAACACTTTGTAAGGTTCAAGTCACCAGTTGGAGGAGTGTCTTTTGCAGGTTCTCCTCAGTCACTTCCACCTCACACAGAGTGAGGTATTTCTTCTCTCCTGGAATTACAATGCTGACGTAACGACCTTCCATTCCTTTACAGTCAAAGGCCTGGGAGGCCCCTGCCGGGATTGAGGGGATCACAGCACATCTGAAAACAAGGAAGCGATCAAGTTGTGGCTTCACATTGATATCTCATCAGTTCATTGCATTGAACTGAACAGACAATGCGTGAGACACTGATCATTTCACTGTCATAGAGAAAAGTTGATGATGGTGATAAGATTATCAGGCTGACAAGTTGTTTCATTTTCAAAGTGTAAAGAATTATTTTGAAATGATAAGATGAAAACAGGATCAATGTTCTGTTAGCCTACATGGGATTGGCATTGCCGTTGTCTCCGAGTGAGTCTCCGACGTGGATCTCAGCTCCGTTGATCCTTTCTTGGCAGCAGTCTTGTCTGTTCAAGACGGTAACAGTCTTGACTTTGTACCTCGCGCCAAGGTCCACTCTCCACCATGGCCTGTTTTCTTCTGCTGTGTGGGTACAGGAGCCCTGCGCCCAAACGGCTGCAGGATTTCCATCAATAGCTCTCTTTGGATCACCCCCATGGGCCACGGAGGACTGGGTCACTGTCCCCCCTCTAGCAATGTTTGTGTCTAGAAAGAGACATATTTCTTGTAAGATATAGTTTGAAGAGGAAAGGGATGTGCCAACAAGTGTTGAAACAAAAGCTACAGAGAACAGGCATTGAGGGTTTTGATTGGACTGCTACTGTTTATCCTGGCTAAGCTGTCTTTTAACACTTTGTAAGGTTCAAGTCACCAGTTGGAGGAGTGTCTTTTGCAGGTTCTCCAGTCAGACAGACATATTTCTTATATTTCAGTTTGGGAAGATAACCTGGACTTGGTCAGTCATGTTAATACTGAGCTCCAATTTTAAAATCTACCCATGTTTATGCTTATTATTGAAACCTCTACTGGAAAGTTCTCTTACTTTATCAGTTTAATTTTTTTTCTGTATACATGGAAAAAACACATTTGACCGCATTTGAAAAAGAATTTCATGAATTCAACTTAGCATTATCATCTGTGTGATATGCTTTTTTTTTAGATTTCCTTCTACTTCCCTGTTTCACTGTTTCTGCCTAGATGTTTCTCTATGTCATCCTAAACTTAAATTAGTACCATCAGCAAGCCGATTATGTTATGCAGATTAAATAAGGTGTAAAGCTAGGTGAAGAATTTCATTTTTAAATACAATTTTGGCTTTCAGTGATCACAAAAATATGGAATATTATGGAACATTGTTAAGTCTTTATATTAAAATTAGGACAGAATGGTATGGTGCTGTTTCCCTTTTTACATACAATGCCCACTTTATTACATAAAATGGGTCTTCCCTGTCCCTCTTCTAGTGGTTGGATGGTACAATTACAAGTTTAATTGTAGCAATCGACCATCTATAATATACATATATATATGTATATATGTATATATATATATATATATATATATATATATATATATATATGTATGTATTCACATTAACATACATACATACATACATACATACATACATATAAAAACTAAAAACTATCATTATTAGTTATTGTTTTTGCTCGTAGCCAAGAGTCAACTATGATAAATCAGGAACAAACAAAAAAAATGGAAATCAATTAACATAGTCAAAACAAAATGTTAGGATATCTTGTTCTCTAAGGGAAGGGGTAACTTAATATTCAGAGTATGTTAGAGGGTTCTACCTTACCCTTTACACCACTTGTTAGTCCCAGAAAAACGAAAGATATCAAGACCACTGCTGAAGCCATCCTGTGGAGTCAAAGTAACATTCTTCAGTAGATCACAGATAAATTATTTAAACCTTGACTCAAAGACCTACAAGAAGCAACATTTCTTTCTTTACCAGTATTCACTTGTTTCACATTTTGTATCTGCCTTAAAGAAAATCATACAAGACGTAGTTGGAGTCATCATTTTCAATACAGTATATATTCTTTTTTTTATTTTTCTGTATTTTTTCTTATGACCAATTATAGTCCTCATACATACAGTTGTAGCTGCCAGCCAATCAATGTAAACTTTCAGTGAACCTCTTAAAAAGAATGAACCTTGTGTTTTAGAATACAACCTAAAAACATAAAGAGTTACTTAAATTCAAAGCTGTGCAACGGTTTATAGTTTAAGTGTCAACTGTAGGAGTAAAACTTTTTATGATTTGCTTTGAAGTCGCTTGAGAGCTTCCTAGATTTTTTTTAATTATCTATTTTTACTGGGTTGATCAAAGTAAATTAAGGGGTTTGTTAAATATAATAAGAAATATTAAGAATTGTTGCGAAAACTCTTCAGTTTTAATACACTGTTTCAAAACAATTGTTTTCACACTTCTATCAATTGGCTATTTCCCTTTGAACTGTCAACAGCAAGGTTTATAATCGTATGCATAAAATATAGAAAATTATTTTCAATAAATCAAGTATCCAGCACCACTAATGGGAATTGTAGACACACAAAGATGTTAAAAAATAAAGAAACAACTTAGACAGTGCCTACCTGACACCACTTAACCAACCTGGATGCAGCTGTCGTCTGCCTGAGTGAGTGAGTGCAAGGATTTTATATTGCTCTGCAGAGCATAATTGGCCACGATTAGATTAGACAACATCCTGGACAAATATGTAGATTTGAAATGTTTATACAACATTATAACTTTAAATGTCAGTCACACATTTGGGTGGGCACATCCCAGGGATCAATATTTATTGTAGCCTAACCTTGTTCTCTGGATCGACAAATTTTTTTTTGAATTTCTGACTCCTCAAACACTCAGATAATTTCCTCTCATTTTTAATGTACATGTCTGCTGTCCCTCACAACCCTTAACTGTTGATTTTATTGAAACTCTGGACTCCTTTAATCTTACCCAGGCAATACAGGAACCAACTCATGTAAAGGGACACTGCTTAGATTTGGTTTTATTTACTGGACTTAGTCCTGGGGAGTTTTTAACTAAGGATATCTGTGTGTCAGATCACAAACTGGTTTTATTCTCAATGGTTTTATCCCAGCCTTCTTTTATTGATCACACTCCTGTTTTTAGAAGGGTTTTTAATGCATCGTCTGCTCGCAAGTTTTCAGAGCTTTTAATCTCTTTATCTTTATCTGCCCTCAACCCAGATTTTAATCCAGTTTTTAACACTGAAGAGCTTGTCTCTCTTTTTAACAGTATGTGTGGAACCATCCTGGACTCTGTAGCTCCTCTGAAAAAGAAAAGATCTAATAAAGAACCCCAACCCTGGCCCACAGAGTCCACTCATGAACTAAAGAGAATATGTAGAAGAAATGAACACAAATGGAAGAAAACTGGGTTCGTGGTTTTCCTTGAAATTTGGAGAGACTCCATGAAAAACCACCAGAAGACAGTTAAGGATGCGAGGGCAGCATTTCACTCAAATTTGATTTTAGCTAATTATTCAAACCCCAGAGTTTTATTTAAGGTTTTAGAGTCTCTTTCCAACCCTTCCCCCTCTTATTTTACTGATGCTTCTCAAGACACCTGCGAGAAGTTTTTAATTCATTTTATTAACAAGGTTATAGTTTATTTTATCCTTTACTTTTATCACATTTTTACGTCATTTAGATATTTTAATATTATTTTAATTCCTTCTATGCCCTAGTCTTTTTAGCTCCAGAGTTTCCTCGTGGGGGCCCTCCACACTGGGAGGTATGTCTGGTCCGCCCCCGGGGGGCGCGGTCCTTGGGATCATCCAGGCCCGGACGGTTAGGGGGCTCTGCACTATGTGCAGGGTGCACCCGGGCTGTCTGGGTCGGGGGGTCTCGGGGGCGGTGCTCCCTGTGGGGGTGGGCTGTGGCTCCTCTCGGTGTGGACGGCTCCCATAGGTGGTCTTTCCTTACCAGAATCATCAGTGCCTTGCCATGTTTTTACTGACAGTTACTGTGTGGGTGTGTGGATACGTGTGTGCGTGTATGTGTGTGTGGGGTGGGCTGCTGTGCATGCCTGTATATGCTGCTGTGGGTGGGAAGGGACGGGTTTTATGCCTATTTAAGTGCCCTATATTTACTGTTGTTTGTTTTGTTTTTTCTTTTTTAACGTTGTTTGTTTTTACCTCTTTGTAAAGCACTTTGTGTTGCAGCTTAAAAGCATGAAAGGTGCTATATAAATAAAGTTTGATTGATTGATTGATTGATTATGGACACCAGGCATCAAATCACCCCTCCCAGTCTCCCTGTACTCTTAAGTCGGGAAGTTAAGTACTATTTAGTAGTTTTGAGCCGCTGTCCTTACAATTTTTATCTGATATTTTAGCCAAAATGAAACCAGCTATGTGCAGTCTTGATTCTATCCTCACCAGATTTCTCAAAGAGGTTTTTAACGTGGTTGGGCCCAGCATTTTATCCATCATTAATAGCTCTCTAGTTGAGGGAATATTTCCCTCTGCTTTTAAACACGCTGTGGTCCAACCCCTTTTAAAGAAGTCAAACCTTGACCCCTCTGATTTTAACAATTTTAGACCAATTTCAAAACTTCCATTTTTATCCAAACTTATAGAGAAGGTGGGTTCTAAACAGCTTTTAGGTTTTATGTCTGAAAACAACCTCTTTGAGAAATTTCAGTCCGGTTTTAGAGCAGGTCACAGCACTGAGACTGCCCTCCTCCGTGTGACCAATGACTTTCTTCTAGCAGCAGATAGAGGGGAGGGCTCAATTTTAATTCTTTTAGATCTCAGTGCAGCTTTTGATACAGTTGATCATACTATTTTAATTGAACGTCTTAAAAACTGGGTGGGTATCAGGGTCACTGCACTCGGCTGGTTTCAGTCGTATCTTTTAGAACGAACTTTTGCGGTCACCATAGGCAATCACACCTCCTCTACTTCTGCTATTGCCTGTGGTGTACCGCAAGGTTCAGTTTTAGGTCCAATTTTATTTTCTATCTACATGCTGCCCCTCGGCCAATTAATTCAGCACCACAAAGTCTCCTTTCACTGCTATGCAGACGACACACAGATATACCTTCCTTTGAGACCTGAGGACCCAAGAGGCCTAGCTGCTGTCATGGACTGTCTAAGTGACATTAACTGTTGAATGGCACAAAATTTCTTTCAGCTCAACTATTCAAAATCTGAAATAATTCTCTGTAACATACAAAACTCCCCCCTCATTCAGTCTTGTCTCGGTCCACATTCAGTAATGATCAAACCAACAGCCAGAAATCTGGGAGTAACCTTCGATTCTGACCTCACCTTCTCCACCCATATCAACAAGATCCTCCAGTCCTGTTTCCTTCACCTGCGCTCCATTTCAAAGATTAAACAGATACTCAGCCCACCAGATCTTGAAAAAATAATCCATGCTTTCATTTTCTCAAGGCTGGACTGCTGTAACTCCCTCCTCCCTGGTTTAAACAAGAAATCACTCTCTCGCCTCCAACTAGTTCAGAATGCAGCAGCTAGGCTTTTAACTGGTTTTAGTCGACGGCATCACATCCCTCCAATTTAAGCCTCCCTTCACTGGCTTCCTGTCAGTTTTAGAATTGATTTTGAGATTTTATTGATTACTTTTAAAGTGCTCAAAGGACCTGCTCCGAGCTATATTTCAGAGCTTTTAATACCTTATGAGCCAACTCGCAGCCTCAGATCCTCTGGTGAAGGCCTCCTAGTCATTCCAAAGTCGAGGCTCAAAACTGAAGGTGATAGAGCTTTCTCCATCAGAGCTCCTCAACTTTGGAACGACCTGCCAGAGGAGATAAGGCGTGCAGAGACAGTCGCTTCTTTTAAGAAGCGACTGTCTTTTACAGACTTCTCTTTTACCTTTTTTTCTCCTTTTTCTTTTATCTCTTTTACCCCTCTTATTTCGACTTGCTATTCTTTTAGCCTTTGTTTTACTTATAATCTTTTCTTATTTTATCTCTTAGGTCCTTCATTGATTTTAATGTTTTTTATTATTCCATTTTATCATTTATATTACCATCATTATTATTTTATTATGATTTTATTATTATAATTAATATCCTCTTTTATACTTACTAGCCTGTTTCCTGCTTTCTGCCCTCCTTTTCTATTTAATTTTATGTTTTTGTTTTGGTCCTCATGGTCCCATTTATGTTTTAGGGTTCTTGAATTGCCTGGGTTTTGGCCTACAATTCAGAGGCCTTGTTTTTAACTGAGCTTTTGATTTTATTTGTTTTTATTTTCATGTGCTGATGTTCTGTGCTTGCAACTGTTGTCAAAGCACTTTGTAAACTTCTGTTTTTAAAGGTGCTATATAAATAAAGTTATTATTATTAACTGTTGTCTCTTGTAGCTGCTGAAAAGGTGTGTATTTAAAATCACCATGTTTGACAAATGTTGTGTCTGCTCTCTTGACTTTTTCAATGTGTTGCATTAAATCTCATGGAAACACAACACAGGTTAAAAAAAAAAATAAAAAATTCCTACCATTTGTTTTTGCAGCCGCGTTAGGAGGAACCCTTTTGTTACACAATCACACAACCATTGACACGCAGGCACTCACACACACATATATATATATTCTACACATAGGTGGCGCATTTACATTTTATTTTGGTATATGTTAATGAACTACATGGATTTTTGGCAGGGTTTTTAATAGAGCAAAGTAAACGTGGGTGTGTCTATATCACTTTGAGAGGCAAACCTCAGATCAATTTGGAAACCTTTCACATACCACATGGCAAAATGCCACAGCACTTGATCCTGTAGAGAGTCAATATTGGTTTAAACAGGCTAACGTCACAAAGTGTCCGACAAATTAGCTCTTATGTGCAAATTAATTACACAGCTATTATGTTGTGTTTGTCTATTATTTGCCTATTATATTATATGCCTTGGCACAGGAAATTGTTACTTCTATTTCATCATTCAGCTACCAAGGCAGAGTTCATGGCAGATAGCGTTATTCTCCCAAACTTGGTCAGAGAGACTTCACATTTACTCTGTTAATTCATTAGACATTTTACATTGCCTTGCTGTTGTTGTTGTGTTTTCCAAACATAACTAGCATCGTGCAATGTTTATTTTATGGTGACGGTGGTAAAGGTTTGTTGTGGTCTTTTGACATACAATTGCTTCTCCATTTCGCAGCACACCTGTCCCTTATCTGTGCAGAGGAAAGAGAGTGAGCTGAGGGGCTGGTCCAGTTTGATGTGACTACTACAGATAAGAATAATAATAATAAGAAGAATAAGAACTTTATTGATCCCCGAAGGGAAATTCAATCATCTGTTGTCTCATATGTCTATAAAAGTTATCTATTATTTACATAAGAGTTATAAAGTCTAATGGCTGTTGGTACAAAAGATCTTCTGAATCTTTCTGTCCTGCAGTGAAGAGAGAGGAGCCGTCCACCACCATTGGCCCTTTGGTCCATCAAGGTGTTGTGAAGTGGGTGATCCATGTTCTTTAGAATAGACTCCACCTTCCTCAGTGTAGATCTCTCCACTACATCCTCCACTGAGTCCAGCTTGAGTCCTACCACAGAGCCAGCCTTTTTCACTAGTTTGTTGAGACGTCTTGCATCTTTGTGTTTGATGCTTCCTCCCCAGCAGACTGCAGCGTAGAGCAGAACACTTGCCACCACAGACTGATAAAACATCTGAAGCATCTTACTACAGATGTCTATTGATTGGAGTCTTCTCAGGCAAAAGAGGCAGCTCTGCCCTTTTCTGTAGATGTAGTCTATATTCTTAGACCAATCCAACTTATTATCCAGATGTACACCTAGGTATTTTTATGATGTCACCACTCTGATGTCCACTCAATAGGTGTTCACTGGCTGAAGAGGGGGTTTGAGTGCCACCCCTGTTAAAATCTGATATTTGGTGCAGAATACCCGCAATCTTGAAATTAAGCCCTTGTTGCGTGTACTATTAACACATCCAAAACCCAATGAGGCAAAATTGCGAGATTATATGGGGTGCTATCAGCTGCACTTGTAGAACAGCAACTAAATAAGTTACACAGGACAGTTCGCATTTACAGGAGAGATGCTGTAGAAGTGTTTTCTTGTAAAAAGTGCATCCGTCACAATGGACAGAAAGAAAAGTTGAGGGTGTAAATAAACAAACAAATTGGTTGCCAAATAAACTTGAGCCATTAGGGTAGGGTTAGGGTTCTGATTTCATAATTAATCCTTTCCACTATGTTTAAGTTTCTTTCTATCTTTTCTCTACTGTGGCCATCCATGCAGTATTTGAACTTTGCCTGTCTCTGAACAGCTGCCCTGTCACCTCACCACCCTGTGTGACCTATCTCTCTCTCTCTTTTTTTTGTTTGTTTTTGTTTCCCTCTTTTGCTTGCTCTCTTGTACATACTCTATTCAGTTCCTTATCTTGCCAATGCCAGTCTCCCACTTAATCCCATCCTATACCTCCATTCCTATGTGTGTGCCTACTGAATTGTATGCAATTGACGAGCCACACACTGACCACAAATGATACCTACAAGTAGGTCATGTCTGCATTTCTAATGATGCCACGGTCTGCTGACCCCACTTATATTTCTCGGTGTGTTTGCGTTAACCCTTGCATTTCTCTGTTTAAATTGGCTTCATGATTGTTGCGTCTCTTGTGTTGTGTTCATCAGCCAACTCAGTTTATTGTACATTGTTTGTACATGTATACAGATTCAAATGTATTTCCTGTACATATTATGGGTGTTTTGCCCAGCCATATAGTCATTATAGGGATGACTTTGATTCCTTGGTTACACATTGACAGAGTACCTTATTAGAGAGTGGTAAAACCAAGTAGACATTACCCTGGTCACAGACTGTCTGACAGTCTGTGTAAGGGACACTCTCCACAGTGACTGCCTTCTCTGAGTAATTAAACTCTTGTTAGAGGAGGGGACAGTTATGAAATGGTGCCTGTTCTTACTGATGTACTTACCATCTGGTCCCTCTTTATGAGCTGGTATATAAGCTGGAAATGGTCAAATGGCACTGGCAAATAAGAGGGATGGATACATCTGAGCATGTGTTTTAAACTTAAGTTAAGAACACAATGATGAGTTCTACTTGACTGAAAAGTAAGGGAAGACATGGATGGTTAAATCAAAAAGAGGTTTGATCAAAAACCTTAGCTAACTTTAGAATGGTTGTTTATTAGTTTCAATCTAGGGGTAAACCGATCACAATTTTCTAGTCGACCACTGATCACCGATCTTTAAAAAGCTTGACCTGCTGATACCGATTTTGGCTGATAGCTTTTTTTTTTAAAACTGACAAGCTACACCTTCAATGCTCCAATCTTACTTTAATGAAAACATTAAACAATACTTGTGGAACAATACAAACTTTTTGTGTTTGTTTTAACTGCACATGAGGTAGTTCTCTCAAATATAAATGAAAAGTTTAGAATATTGCTGTCCTAAATTATATCAGTTCCTTTAGTCTTTCATTTTCCATATCTTAAAAATTACCCAAACTTGCGCAACAGGTCACACTGCAGGCCTGTTTTGAGCCTCTTACCAATAAAGTGCACCGCAGTATTTTGCTTTTACAAATAAAGGAAATCAGAAGGTTTGAGGAAGTTAGTAAAATAATAATCTACAGGTCAAACTGACAACACAACTTAAACAACCAATAAACTGTCCTGAGTTTTAGGTTTCCTAGTAGTGGGTTCAACATGCTTGGTTGATCATGCTCCGGAATGACTGCTGTTTGTGCAACCAGCGCTGACGCACGCTTGCGTGCACATGTGACCTGGTGGGCAGGCCTGTCATTCTGGCAAAGCTAAAAGCTACAACGGCTGACTGTCAGGGTTCGGGGTTCCATTCCAGCCTTTTTTTGTTGGGCCTTGCACAGTTGCTCTGCTACATGCACATTTACTAAACTGAGAATTGACTGAGGCCTGACATAAGGCCCTGGTTATGCTGTAGGAACAGTATGACAGAAGATAGCCGTGATTTTGAAAAAGTGACTTTGACAAACTGTGTGTTACGCCCCAGTCTAGGGGTGCCTAGGGCACAACATGAGAAGGCCTCATCATCCCCAAGTCCCAAGTAGCCACAACAACCGAGATTTCAGCTCAATTTTAAAACACAGATTTATTTACATAATTCAGGAAATAACAAAAGATAGACAAAGGAACTAAGGCTGGATGACTAGACTTCAGGGTGGACCAAGGCCAAAACAACAACCAAAACGATCCTGTCTGTAGAGTAATGCTAACCTAACCAAAACAAAGGAAACAAATGACAAAGACTTACCTCCCTAACTAAAATATACAGGAGAAAATAATGTTAACAAAACTGGCAGTCCACCCCTACTACTGAAGGAAAACAGAACACAATACACCATAGTCTTTAAGCTGCAAAATAGGGTGGCCGGTTGGGAGAGGAGGAGGATGAGGAACGCCTGGCCTCTGCACATGGTGGCTGCCATCTTGGTTCTTGATATAGCTGGTCTCGGCCAATCACCATACAGGGCGTAGTCCATCCCACCAATGACCGCGTTGCTGTGGCACACACCTATTTGCATACAAGATTGACACAGAGAAAACACAGAGCACACACCCCCAGCAGACACTCAACCAATTATGACCCCAGTCATAACACCCCCACACCCAAGAATTAAACATCCCCCTAAATGTTTAATATCTACGGATTTGAGGAACACCGCGACAAAGCGTCTGCTATCACATTTTCTGTGAGGAGTTTCACGCACGGCAAATAACAGAAGAACGAGACCCTCATCCCACTCTCTGTAGGACTCAAGGCAGTATTTGAGCATCATGGATTTTAACCCAGGCCAAAAGAAATTGCGCAACACACGATGATATGTCTTTTTAACACCGAGGTGGCCAGCTAAGCTGGAGTCATGTGCCAGACTCAAAATTTGCGCTCGATAGTCTGTTGGCACAACCACCTGATTAACAACGGGTATCTCCCTGGAGTCGGGACTCCACCGTCTCATCAAGACACAGTTGTCCACGAAAAACACACAAGTCTGGCTGTCGTCCTCGGCGGCTACAACAGAGGACAGACACAAATTTAGAGACGGATCATTTCTCTGAGCATTTATCAACATCTCTCGGGTCACGTTTAAACTCAAGTCTGCGTCAGCAGGAAACACATCAGGCTCAGAGACACATTTTGATACATTTTCACACTCAGTAGCGGGGGACACTGAAAAGGAGGGCTCACCCTCATCTAATGTAGCCATAAACGAGTCAGATAAATCCCCAGCTTTACCCCATTTACGAGCCTGTGCGCGCGTAACTGCGCACACAGGAAACACATTTGGCACAGACACAGCAGAAGAAACAGAGGTGGGGCAGCAGGCAGACGTAACCGAAATGGGATCGTTAACGACCTCTGGCAGAGGAAACACATTTCCTCCGGCCAGATCGTTACCCAAAATAAACGAAATGCCACTAATCGGAAACCGTGGGAGCACGGCAACTTTCACACGCCCCGACGCGAGCGGTGAATGCAAGTGAATCATGTGAAGTGGGGCGTTAAGTTCGCTCATTTTAATTCCCCACACTAACAAATCAGAGAAACATGAAGTTTCATTTGAGAGTGGCAGAACACTAGCCAGAATGAATGAATGATAGGCGGCTGTATCTCGGAGAATAGTTACCGGTACTTTATCCGCTTCCTCGCCAGTTACAGAAACAAATCCTTGCGAAACGAATGGTTTGAAACGAGGGTCAACCTCCACATTTACCTCGGCTTCAGGTAAAGACTCCGGGAGTGTTACAGGCGGGGACACGGTGTTAATGAAACCCACACCTGCAGGAGGTTTACCGTTTTTGTGTGGTCCTTTTTTTCTAAGAGTCGGACATGCAGCGATCAAATGGCCTGGCTCGTGGCAATAAAAACACTCGCGGCTCTCACCCGCAGCTGGTGAGGTGCTTTTACGCATCAGCTTTGGCGATCGGTTTCTGCGCTCAGACATTGGATGTAAAACACGAGGGGTTGGCAAAGAAAAAACGCTTTTATGAGTCAAAATGAACTCATCGGCGAGCACAGCTGCTTTCGTTACCGATGACTCTTTTTGCTCATTCAAATATACAACAATTCGGTCCGGCAAACACTTCTTAAATTCCTCGAGCAAAATGAGCTCTCTCATTTCCGCCATAGTTTTAATATTACACGCGTGGCACCATTTATCAAACAAAACGCTCTTGTCACGCACAAACTCAACATAGGTCTGGTTGGAAGTTTTCTCACTATTTCTAAATTTTTGCCGATAGGCTTCAGGGACCAGCTCGTAGGCCTGCAACACAGTCTTTTTCAAGATTTTATAATCAAGACTATCCTCGATAGACAGACTGGCACAGACTTCTTGAGCTTTCCCCACTAATTTACACTGGAGGAGAAGGGACCAGAACTCTTTAGGCCAACTCAGGGCAGCAGCTATCCGCTCGAAAGCGCTAAAATACGAGTCCACCTCGGACTCACGAAACGGAGGGACTAAAGCAATGTGCTTACTTATGTCAAAAGCGGGAGCAGAAACAGAGCTGCGGTCAACAGGAGGCACTGGGGTAGAGGCTGCAAAGGCTCCTTTTTCCAGCTCGAGAACCCTTAAGCGTAGATGCAAGGCTTGTACCTCTAGCTGTTTGTTTCGGGTCTCGGCCTCCTTTGCTTGTACCTCTAGCTGTTTGTTTCGGGTCTCTGCCTCCTTTATTTGGAGTGCTATGCGGAGATCCTCTGTGGTCATGGTACCCATGAGAGGATCCGTGACCGGCCCAAGTTCCGCACCAGCAGCGAGCGTGCCAGCAGCCCCCGCCGCTTTCACCTCAGCCCCCGGTGCGACACTAGCCACATCACCCGCAGCAACCGCATCAAGCGCTGGTTTAGGTAAGACGCCCTGCTCCACCAACTGTGCACACAGCAACTGTTTGAGCTCTGCTTTGTTGACATTGTATGGTACTTTTACATTAAAGAAATTTGCCACAATCAACAGGTCTGCTTTTTTACACTTTTCAATTTTAGCAACAGAGGGACTGGCCATAAAATCATCCAGTGAAAAATCCATAATTCCCCCCACACACAAAAAAAACTACCAACCAGAAAAACACATACTCACCGAAGAAAACGCGACAAGAAGATCCCGGACGAGCCCCCAATTCATGTTACGCCCCAGTCTAGGGGTGCCTAGGGCACAACATGAGAAGGCCTCATCATCCCCAAGTCCCAAGTAGCCACAACAACCGAGATTTCAGCTCAATTTTAAAACACAGATTTATTTACATAATTCAGGAAATAACAAAAGATAGACAAAGGAACTAAGGCTGGATGACTAGACTTCAGGGTGGACCAAGGCCAAAACAACAACCAAAACGATCCTGTCTGTAGAGTAATGCTAACCTAACCAAAACAAAGGAAACAAATGACAAAGACTTACCTCCCTAACTAAAATATACAGGAGAAAATAATGTTAACAAAACTGGCAGTCCACCCCTACTACTGAAGGAAAACAGAACACAATACACCATAGTCTTTAAGCTGCAAAATAGGGTGGCCGGTTGGGAGAGGAGGAGGATGAGGAACGCCTGGCCTCTGCACATGGTGGCTGCCATCTTGGTTCTTGATATAGCTGGTCTCGTCCAATCACCATACAGGGCGTAGTCCATCCCACCAATGACCGCGTTGCTGTGGCACACACCTATTTGCATACAAGATTGACACAGAGAAAACACAGAGCACACACCCCCAGCAGACACTCAACCAATTATGACCCCAGTCATAACATGTGGTAAACCTTAAAAAAACTGTAACCAGCTCATGCCCATCTCTCTGTTTCCAGCAGTTTCAAGTGTGAAAAGGTTTGCTTGCAGATATACACTACAGGCCAAAAGTTTGGAAGCAAGATCAGACTTGTACAAAAAAAGATCATAGTTTCATATATATAATTTGCAACACAATAAACATGACTATTGTGTAAAGAGTAACTGATCAGAAGACATTTTGACTATAATTATTAGGTATTTGAGTTATTGTTGCTTAGACTTTGCTTTCTTTAAAGTAACCTCCTCTGGCTTTAACAACAGCTTGTATACCAGGCATTCGTTCCACAAGTTTTTTTAAGGTATTTTCCAGGGATTGCATTCCAAGCTTTCTTAAGTTCAATAAAAAGAGACTGCTGATTCGTGGGACGCGTTTTTCTGACCGATCGATCCAATTCATCCCGCACAAGCTCAATTGGAGAAAGGTCTGGAGACTGAGGGGGCCAAACCATCCTTTGAAGAACACCTTCCTCTTCTTTTTTGTCTAGGTAACCCTGACAGAGCTTGGAAGAATACTTAGGGTCATTGTCTTGCTGCAAAACAAACTTATGAGCCACAAGTCTGAGTCCAGATGGAACAGCATGGTGCTGGAGGATGGAGTGGTACTGTTCCTTCTCCATGATACCCTTTACTTCAAACAAATCTCCTACTCCATCACCTGCAAAACATCCCCATACCATGGAACTACCACCTCTATACTGAATTGTGGGTGTAACACATGGAGCTTTCAGACGTTCACCAGTGGGCATAGACTCTGCTTTTAAACCAAACAGTGCAAACTTGTTTCTAGTCATCATAAGTCCAATTTTTGTGAGCTTTTGCCCACTCATATCTCTTTTTCTTGTTCTATGGATGAAGTAGTGTTTTTTTTGTTTGTTTGTTTGTTTTTGCAGATACACAACCCTTAAGACCAGCCTTTCTCAAGCGTCATTTCATGGTTGTCAGAGATATGGGTTTCGACCTTGTCATGTTGATTTCCTCCCTTATTTTTTTGGTGCTGTCTTTCGACAATCTCTCTTACTGATGACATGCTATGTTTATCCTCTGCTTTTGTAGTAACTCTCTTTCATCTAGGCCTTTTTCTATCATCATAACTTCCAGGTTCCTCTCGTCTCTCCAGAGTGTAGTGGACTCCTTTGTTAAACACCTTTAGGCATTTTGCATCCCAAAACACATAAAAATCTTGCTGGATTTAAAAAAAAAAAGCATTGTGAACAAAAACTGTAAGTTACTCCGAACTGTTCGGCCTGTAATGACCTTGCTTCCAAACCTTTGGCCTGTAGTGTATGTGCTTCAAAAAAGTGTGGACATCCTCTTTGCATGCTGTCTGATGTTTGTCTTTTGGGAGTGCAGCATAAAACTCGATGAGATTTTTGGGCTTGAATGCGTCTTTCAAAGCATCACAGTTCTGTAACTTAGCCAACTCAAACTAATAAGAAGGAAGGGCTTTGTCAATATCGGCAACAAAGGGGTTCTGGAAAAGATGGATTTCTTTTGAGTGAAAATGTCATTCATGGAATCGCGCAAGTCATACTCAGTATTTCCAGAGTATTTCCTGTTGAGTCCTTCACCTTAACTCATTGACTGATGTTTCCACCAGGACCACATTCACAAATAGCCCCCCAATAGTCTCATTGCTTCAGATATGTAGGACAGTCCAAGCTTATTTTTGTTTCTGCGACTGCACCAACAGGATATCCTTTTGGCACAGACTGTTTTCACTACAGCTGCTCCATCTCCTTTCATAACAGACAAGACATTGTAGCCATAACACAACTTTTACTAGAAGTAAAAACACACTTTAGAGTCATGCAGCTATGCACTATCAACACACACCAAGCAAACATTGATGTTAAGTGTTGAATCACCTTTCCAAAGAATCTGTCTTTTGTATTTGTTTGACGGAGTGTAAAATTACCAAACCTGCTAGTGTTGTTGGAAAACTATGTCTTAGCTTGAAAATCCTAAAATTGTGACAACAAAGCTCAAGACTAAGGACTTCTGGCCCTGGACAAACGGCAGCCCTTTGCAACATAACAACCCTGAACTCTGAGGAGTTTTTTTCCTCTTTTTTTTTCTATTTCTTTTGGGTCTTATATTCTCTGTTTCATTTTGTGAGTTTTTGCAAAACTATTGTGCAAGCACTGTGGGTCTAGTGCTACTTTAAACACTTCAGTTACAACTTTTGCAACTTCTCTACGAGTCTGTGGGTCCATGAGCGGAAATGGCTCCCATTGTTTATGTTATATCCTTCACTGTTGTGTTACTAAATATTACAATGATTTCTTGAACCCTGATGTAATGTTAAATGAAGCATAGCGTTAGTTCTGTCAGGACACAACGTCATGCGCTGATCCACAGCCAGTGGCTAGTAGCCACCTCAACCAGACGATAGTCAGCTGATTCACTCCTAGCTCCTATTGGTCCTATGCCTGTAGAGTGCCTTATTTAAAACTGCACTAACTCGCAGCGGTTGCAGCAGCTCGCTAACCAGCAAGCTGCTGCAACCGCTCTGCATGCTCCCAATTTTAAGAACACTCAGATCCGCGTTTTTGCTTTTTCCTACCTTGCTCTTCATCATGTCGATCGCTGCCCACGACGAGGATCCATGGCAGAATGAATGCTTTTCTGAAACGCAACAGCAGCAATGCGAAATCAAGGAAGACAGTCCTTGCAATGACAGCTGCATTCCCTTCAGCAGGAGCTCTCCTCTGGCAATGAACGGCCGGGCTCCTGGAAGTCCTTTAAAAAATAACATCACAGCTCCAGATGGTGCCTCACATTAGAAGATTTTCACCTTGTTTATGGAAAATATCCACAAAGAACCTCCACTTGCAGTTCTCTCTTCCTCCTCTGTATCCAGAAAAGGGACCAAGAAAAGAAAACTGCTCCCGCGTCACCGCCACCGCCTGCAAAGCGCGAGGCCCAACCCCAGCTATCAGACCCACGGACCTGGACGACAATCCCATCCTGAAAGCACTATCCAGCATCCAGCCATCGCTCACCCACATGTCTTCAAGGATCAAAACCTCAGAATCCGATTCGGCACGTGCTAAACTGTCTTCCTTCATCTCAGCTGTCACCTGCATTCACCGCACTGAACGATGACGTCACTCCAGCGACAATCGACGACGGTGTCACCATCCCGCGAAGGACCCTGGGAAGTGCAGTCCCCGTCTCCACCGGCGTCACATTCCTCCCTCCCGCGGCTGCAATTACACCTAATCCGCGGAGCCAAATCCTTGCAGGTACTGACATTAATCTTGCTGTGCTCTGACTACAACGATAGATGCATTGTGGATTGTGGAGACGAGTCTGTGATGCTTAAATATTGTGAGGCCTGGCTGTTTAAATCTCCGACCTTAGCTGAATTCATAGCTTTCGGCGTATTTGGAGATTTCATATGTGAAGTGTTTTCAGCACGCAGAACTGAACTGGACACATATCTCGCCATTATTTCTGATTCAGCCATGACTTATGGAGGATCATTATTCTAGGAACATCACAAATCATTTTTAGCAAAGCTGCTAAGTACATTCAAAGATTCAACCAAAGACTTGATTAGTCCGTAGTCGATCTGGCTCTAATCAGTAGACATTTCACCGAGCATCAAGCTTTTTCCTGCTCAATCTGTGGGTCTTTCTCTCACCCAGAGATGAAAGTAAGGCAGTACGCAGCGGTACGCAGTGTTCTCAGTGTGGAGAATACTGTACCCACCAGGACTGCACAGTACTTTGCAAACAGCAAACTCTGGATTACTCCTGACATTAAGGCTCTTTTAAAGGAGAAGAAGAGGGCCCTTAAGTCAGGAAACTAAGAGGATCTGAAGACTGTTCAGAGGGAGCTAAGGAGGGAAATCAGGGAGGAGAAGGACAGATACAAGAAGAGATGCAGGAGTCAAACTCCCAGGCAGCTGGGGACCAAAAGTGGGCGGATGAACTGAACATTGCACCTCATGAAGGAGCAGCTGGTCCTTACCCACATATGCCTCCTGGTGAGCTTGTCCATGGACCCACTGTAGTGTGCGTACAAGACTAGCATCAGAGTGGACGACACCACCATCTTCCCCCTTCAAGCTCTATCGCACCTGGAGTCACCTGGGAGCTCTGTTCTGGTCCTTTTCCTGGACCTCAGCAGTGCTTTCAACATCATCAGATCAGCCATCCTGAGGGACAAGCTGGAGCTCTCCGGAGTGGACCAACACCTCACATGCTGGAGTGTGGACTACCTCACCAACTGCCCACAGTATGTGAGGACCCAGGACTGTGTGTCGGAGACTGCCCTCTGTAGTATAGGGGCCTCCTGAAGACTTTTGTCACCTGTCACCCACCTGCCACCTTCAGAAGTTCTCACATGACTCTGCCATCGTCGGCCTCATCACTGATGGGGATGACCAGGCGTACAGAGAACTTGTGTGGAACTTAGTGAACCGGTGCCACCAGTCCACTAAGATTAAGATTCCGCCTTCAGATTAATGCTAGAAAGGCAAATGAGTTGGTTGTGGACTTCAGCAGGCACCCCCATCTTCCCCATCACCAGTGAACATCCAGGGAAGGAACATTGGGATGGCTGCATCTTATAAGTACCTGGGTGTTCATCTGAACAAATAACCTGGACTGAACTCATAACACCAACACACTTTATAAAAAAGGACAGAGCAGACTGTTTCTGCTCAAGAGGCTGAGGTGTTTTGGGGTGCAGGGGTCACTCCTGAAGACCTTCTATGACTCTGTAGTAGCCTCTACCATTTTATATGGAGTGGTCTGCTGGGGGAGCAGCATCACAGCAGCTGACATGAAGAGGCTGGAAATTTGTAAAGAAGGCCAGCTCTGTCCTAGGATGCCCTCTGGAAATTGTGGAGGAGGTGGCGAAGAGGAGGATCAGGGCCAAACTGACCAAACTGGTAAAGTGTCCCACCCCCTCCAACACACAGTCACTGTGCTGAGGAGCTCCATAAGGGACAGGATGCTCCACCCAAAATGTGTGACGGAGAGGTATTGCAGGTCATTCCTTTCTGCAGCTGTTAGACTCCACAACAAAAACCTCAGTGTGCAATAAATCATATTTATATGTATAATGATCAATTGCATGTAGGGGAAACCCTGCTATCTATCTATTTATCTATCTATCTACCTAATCTTGAATTATGACATTTATGTAGGGCTGGGGCAATTTGTCGGCGTAATCGACGTAATTGACAACAAAAATTGTTGACGCAAAAAACAAGTGTCAATGCGTCGCATGATGATGTAGACAATGACTACTTCAGGTAACGGTGGAGGCACGGACAGCAAACGAGCTCCACCTAATGGGGTCAATTCAAAACCTACTTTACCATGATCTACGAGCAGCTCCTCTCCATCAATGCATGTGTTCTTCCTGGCTTCGTTCACATTTCCAAGCTCGCGCTGCTTTTATTCAAGGAGACATGCAGTAACCTGTCAATCAAATAACCCACCGCTGGTGAAGCAAACGCCACAGTGGAAGCTGCATCATATGCCCTGCATCCCATATCTGATTCGTTCACTTTAAGCAGTTAGCTTGGAGTTAAGGCATCAGTTTTGTGCTTTTATTTGTCCTAAAACTCGCTAATTAATCAGTTGTGTGATCGCTGACGATAGCTCACTAATGCTTATACTCGGCGATCGCGAGCTCCGCTACACACATGTATACTGATACCATACCTGCCAACACTCCCATTTTTCCTGGGACTCTCCCGTATTTCAGACCTATCTCCCGCCCACCTCCTGTATTGTAATTTCTTCCGGGAATGTCCCATAGTTTTTATAGTCCACATTCATTAATGAATTGGATCACTGTATATGTCCAAAGTTTTCAGGTTTCCTGAAAACCAAAGATTGTCCTGTGTTTCTGCTGAGCCTGTTTCTGTTGATACTTCTGCTTTACAATTTGGGATGTTTCAGGTCGGTTTAAGCTGTCAACTATATTTAAACAGTGTTTGCTGCAAAATAAACTCTTCCGTGAAAGGGAAACGAACGTGAGATATAATATTTTCGTTGATCATCTTCCACAGTCTCGGAGTGATGCGTTCAGGGTAGCTTCAGATAAAAGAGTGCTGTATTGCAGTTTATTGTTTTTTTTTTATTGTTGTTGTTAAAACAAAACAAAAAACTGTGCAGCTTCACTTTTTCTTATTTGGATGAGCAATTGTAATACAAATACTCTCATAATTAGCTCCACCATCCACCATACAAGGTTACCTCAAAACTGTCCGGCACACGCCGCAATAATCTCTTGGATTTTATAACCTAAATGTTTTGTTTTGATTGATTTCAAGAGATTCTTGACTAAATCATTCAATTAAATACGAATAGGACTAGTTTTTACTTGCTATTTTGGTTAAATTCATTGTTATATTAATTGGTTGATAAAAAATAACCATTAGAATAATCTATAAATTAGTCAAAGATTAGTTGACTAATCGAAAAAATAATCGCTAGATTAATTGATAGGAAAATAATCGTTAGGTGCAGCCCTACATTTATGCACTTGTTGAAAAGGGCACCACCCACCCTTAATGGTGGGAATTAAATAAAAACAAAAGTTTCAGTCAGAAAATTAAGTCAATCTTACATTAATCAATCTTATATCTCAAGCCGAAATTCTCATTTCAGGGACCCCACTTCTGGGAGAACACTAACAGACAAGAACTTGGAAAAATAAATGTTCTGTTTATTACAGGATAAATTATGGTACAACATACATGAATTTTTTTTGTTTTTATTACTGAGAGTAAAATTATAATTCATGGCTAACATATTTAACTCTTAAAAGTTAATAAAACAGTCTGAAAAGCTGTTGGTCTAAGGAAACTAAAGAATAAAGGATTTATTCTTTCAGAGTGAAAACTTGGCTTCTGGAGCACATAGAAAAATGGGACACATCTCATTTTAACACAAATTTAATGATTAAACAGATTAGTACATTGCTGAATGCAATAAGATGTAGTTATCAGTCATTTGTATTCTTTCTCCAAAGGAATGCCGTTTTTTTCAGTGTATGGTCAAGCAGGGTTTTACGACAGAGGTCTGGTGGTCAGTGTTCTGCTCCTCAGACCTTCCCTTGGAGTCCATGTGTTCACATACTTACAGAGAGTAAATCTCAAATGGAAGACCTGGGTTGAGGCATTAATCTTTATTTAGATGGTCAGTGATGGAGTCAGTGTGAAAGGCAATAAAAACTCTGTCTCTGTGCCAGAATTGACCAATCGTGAAGTCCATGTAGATTCTCATTCATTCAGGTCATGGTTATCTCAAAGACTCCAAAATCAGTCCAACTGGACTGTGTAGAGTTTCTCAACTCTACACAGTCCAGTTGCCTGATTTGTATTAATTTTTATATTATTGTACTTGTGATCACTTATCTATCATACAAATATGCTAATTATAATATCAGATGAACAAAAATGTATCAGGCACCAGTATTCCTGGTCTAGAAGGAATACAAAGGAGTAATGGTCATTTTAAGGAACTGAAAAAAACACATGGAGATATTTTCTCATTTACAGAGTGACATACACTCTTTATCCATTGTTCAGGTTTCGGTTCTGGAATTGTATGCAAATTAGTACATATTTAATTAGATATTGCCTCATTTACAAATTCATACATGGCATTTGACAAAACTTGTGATACAAAAATATTTGTCTTAATGTAAGTTATAAACTTGGGAAGTTTCATGGTGATATCTGTTAGTTATAAATTTTACCCTATTCACCTGGGGTCCATGTAGATTCTCATTCATCCAGGTCATGGTTTTCTTGAAGACTTAAAAAACAGGCGACTGGACTGTGTAGAGTTGAGATGATGTTTCCTCTCTTATCCAAGAAGCTTCTCCAGTCCTAAATATTGCATAGTGAGGAGCAGATAATAATCATACTGGAGAAGGGGACAGACAACAACTGGGAGGAGTTTGGAATGAATGGGTCATAGAAACCCATCTCCGGGTGTTCCCCCCTGAGGGTCGTTAACCTGAAAGGGTCGTTAACCACCCCTGTCATGTGACCACATGACTCATGCCATCTGAGTCATGTGGCCTCAGGTGTGAATGTTTGTGGAGCTTCCTGGGGAGAGAGCTGAGAACTGCATTGTAAGTGCCAGAGAGGTTGTGCCTGAGTCCACCCCCTCTGTTCAGAGAAGGTTTCTCCAGTCTGGTGAAGATGGCTTCTTTAACTCCTCTTTCAAACCATCTGTCTTCTCTAGCCAACACCCGTACATTGCTGTCCTCGAAAGAGTGACCCGTGTCCTTTAAGTGAAGGTGGACAGCTGAGTCCTGAGTTGAGGAAGTGGCTCTCCTGTGTTGAGCCTTGCGCTTGTGAAGCGGTTGTTTAGTTTCCCCAACGTACTGGTCCGAGCATTCCTCGCTGCACTGGACAGCATACACCACATTACTCTGATCCATGTGGACCCCAACAGGACTTTTGACTGCTAACTCTGTCTGAAGGTAACAGCATAGCATTAAGGAACATAATTTACTTTAAGTAAACCTGCAAAAACCCATACTGTAAAATCATGTTGCTTTTTCACATATAGTAGAGAATTAAAAGTCATTGAATTATATCCAAATTAGCAGGAAATAGACCACAGAAAGGAAAAACAACCTGTTGTGAGCATGTTGTTTCCTCTATACTAAGCCCAGCTGACCGGGGCTGCACTACACTTCTGCCACGCTCCAAATATGCATCCTGTATGCGAGGTACATGCTGCTGTATGATGATAGGTTTGTAGGTGAGTGTCACCAAAGCCTAGGTATCAGTATCAAATCTTAATCTCTGCATCCCCATTGTAAACCTTTAAATACCATGACACTCTGGGCTCTATTTTCGTTCGCGCCGGTGAGGCGGCGGAGGGCGGCGAGCCCCGCGCAGTTGTATTTTCGTCTGGTGGAGCCCGGCGTAAGGCGAGTTTGGTATTTTCGTGGACTGATTCGCACGGAGGCGAGCCGAGATCCGCCAAGCTGGGCGTGGTGGCGTGGCAGGGGGAGGTGTTGACAGAATCAGCTGGCGCAGTGACATTTTCGTGCTCGCCACCGGCGTGTAACGTGCGCTGAAAGCTCGCCGATTCAAACCTGGTCAGCTTTCAGCGCAAGGCGGAACGCAGCTGGTCTTGTAGTATTTTGGTAGACCGGCGGCGTATTGACATACGTCACTGATGCCTCACCGGCAGGTTTCCACAGTGTCAGGCACATTACAGTGCAATAAATAATCATCATCAACTATTAATCTGAGTCAGCACATACATTTAGATCTATATCGATATATTCTGATCTATATCTGATCTGATGAGCGCGTTTGGCACGCGTTTGGACACACAACCTGACCGAATCAACACAGCTGAAACCGCATCAAATTAAATTAAATATCTAGTAAATAAACACACATGATGAAGTTAACAAGATATGTAATTCGTCTCCCTCCTTTTCTTTCTTCCTCTTCCTCTTATTTCTCGCACAGCTCGACCTGGACACGTCTCCGTGTCCTCTGTCCGTCTTGCTGCTGCTGCTGCGGCTGAACAGATGATTTGTTTCAGTGCTCAGATGCGTTATCTACTTTAAGCCGACATACGGATATTATAATATTCAGTTTTGTGGGCCAAATTTATTTAATATGCCAACATCTATGAAAGAAAGAGCCAGGCCACGGAGCGCGATGCGTCATTTACGCACAGATGGTTCCGATTTTAATGCCATTTTTGGAGTTTATGTTGTGATCTGTGCGCTCAACCGACCTTTGTCACGTGAGGTTTGAATATGAGCAACTTTATGTGAGTGTCTTTATTTGTGGAAACGGGTGTTTGTCTTACCAGTGGGTCCAACATTACGCACACTAAATCCATCTGTGCTCATATGAGAGAGTGTGGAGGACACTTGTTGAGGAGCTGCCCTCTGTCGCCATCTTGTGGCATTACTGTCTTAAGACATCTCTTGATCTCTTTGACTACTCCATGAAAATAGTATTACGCCTCGCCTGTGGCGGATTTAAAGGCAAGGAGAGGAGCCTATGTGATTGGTGAAAACAGGTCTCGGCTGTGTTAAACCAACTACACGCCCTTTCTACTCCCCTCTACTACTTATGGTGCTGGGAGGAGCTGAGTTAGGGAGGGGGGATACTTACGCCGGGCTGCGCGGCTCACCAAAATACCAAAATGTGCTTGGGAACGCCTTGTCAGCGCGGCGGATCTGACTGACACTGCGCTTGCGGCACGTCTCCGGCGAGGCACCAAAATAGAGCCCTCTGACTCAAAATAGCTGTTAAACATGATTTTATTTTATTTTTAAGTAGCAATGCATCCACTTTACAGAAGGCCTACATATTTTTTTGCCCATGTAGATCTGAAAGAATTCTTCAACTACAAAAAAGTCAAGCTGCGCTACATATTTGAAAACTTGTGTTAACCCTATGTTGATTAAATTCAAAAGTAAAAGGCATTGATCATCACATATGTTATTGGTTTTTAAAAGAAAATAGAAAAAAATGAATTTGTTAGCTCTGGATTTCAGAGCATTTGGAGCTCAAAAATAGCAGGAACCTTTTCAGATTCAGTCGCAGACATACTGAATAGATTCATTATCTTCAAACCCGGTCACTTCCACCTCACACAGAGTCAAAACCCTCTTACTCTGTGGAATGACGATATTGACATAATGACCTTCCATTCCATTGCACTCAAAGGTTTTGGAGCCCCCTGCTGGAATTGAAGAGATCACAGCACATCTAAAAAAAACCATAAGAAAAGATTGTGAGGAATTGTTGCAAAAAATATATAGTATTGATTTTGAAGAAAGATTTAATTAAAAATAAGGATGTTGCTGCTGTGGAAAAAAGGACCATATGATAAGGTATTAAAAAATGGTCAAAAGTTTAATAAGACCTACATAGGATTGGCATTGCCGTTGTCTTTAAGTGAGTCTCCAACATGGATCTCGGCTCCGTTGATCCTTTCCTGGCAGCAGTCTTCTCTGTTGAGGACAGTAACAGTCTTGACTTTGTACCTTTTGCCAAGGTCCAGTCTCCACCATGGCCTGTTTTCTTTTCTTGTGTGGGTACAGGAGCCCTTCCACCAATTGGCTGCAGGGTTTCCATCAATAGCTCTCTTTGGATCCCCCCCCATGGCCACAGAGGACTGGGTCACTGTCCCCCCTCTAGCAATGTTTGTGTCTAGAAAGAGACATATTTCTTGTAAGATATGGTTTGAAGAGGAAAAAGGTGTGCCAACAAGTGTTGAAACAAAAGCTAAAGAGAACAGTCATTGGGGGTTTTGATTGGACTGCTACTGTTAATCTTTGCTAAGCTGTCTTTTGACACTTTGTAAGGTTCAAGTCACCAGCTGGAGGAGTGTCTGTTGCAGGTTCTTCAGGAGCGTCTGTTGCAGGTTCTTCAGGAGCGTCTGTTGCAGGTTCTTCAGGAGCGTCTGTTGCAGGTTCTTCAGGAGTGTCTTTTGCAGGCTCTTCAGGAGTGTCTTTTGCAGGTTCTCCAGTCACTTCCACCTCACACAGAGTGAGGTATTTCTTCTCTCCTGGAATGACAATGCTGACGTAACGACCTTCCATTCCTTTACAGTCAAAGGCCTCAGAGGCCCCTGCCTGGAGTGAGGAGATCACAGCACATCTGAAAAAAGGAAGTGATCAAGTTGTGGCTTCACATTGATATAGCATCAGTTCATTGCATTGAACTGAACAGACAATTCATGAGACACTGATCATTTTACTGTCATAGAGAAAAGTTGATTATGGTGATAAGATTATCAGGCTGACAAGTTGTTTCATTTTCATAGTGTATGGAATCGTTTTGAGATTATAAGATGAAAACAGGATCAATGTTCTGTTAGCCTACATGGGATTGGCATTGCCGTTGTCTTCAAGTGAGTCTCCAACGTGGATCTCGGCTCCGTTGATCCTTTCTTGGCAGCAGTCTTGTCTGTTCAAGACGGCAACAGTCTTGACTTTGTACCTCACGCCAAGGCACAGTCTCCACCATGGCCTGTTTTCTTCTGTTGTGTGGGTACAGGAGCCCTGCGCCCAATCGGCTGCATGATTTCCATCAATAGCTCTCTTTGGATCCCCCCCCATGGCCACAGAGGACTGGGTCACTGTCCCCCCTCTAGCAATGTTTGTGTCTAGAAAGAGACATATTTCTTGTAAGATATGGTTTGAAGAGGAAAAAGGTGTGCCAACAAGTGTTGAAACAAAAGCTAAAGAGAACAGTCATTGGGGGTTTTGATTGGACTGCTACTGTTAATCTTTGCTAAGCTGTCTTTTGACACTTTGTAAGGTTCAAGTCACCAGCTGGAGGAGTGTCTGTTGCAGGTTCTTCAGGAGCGTCTGTTGCAGGTTCTTCAGGAGCGTCTGTTGCAGGTTCTTCAGGAGCGTCTGTTGCAGGTTCTTCAGGAGTGTCTTTTGCAGGCTCTTCAGGAGTGTCTTTTGCAGGTTCTCCAGTCACTTCCACCTCACACAGAGTGAGGTATTTCTTCTCTCCTGGAATGACAATGCTGACGTAACGACCTTCCATTCCTTTACAGTCAAAGGCCTCAGAGGCCCCTGCCTGGAGTGAGGAGATCACAGCACATCTGAAAAAAGGAAGTGATCAAGTTGTGGCTTCACATTGATATAGCATCAGTTCATTGCATTGAACTGAACAGACAATTCATGAGACACTGATCATTTTACTGTCATAGAGAAAAGTTGATTATGGTGATAAGATTATCAGGCTGACAAGTTGTTTCATTTTCATAGTGTATGGAATCGTTTTGAGATTATAAGATGAAAACAGGATCAATGTTCTGTTAGCCTACATGGGATTGGCATTGCCGTTGTCTTCAAGTGAGTCTCCAACGTGGATCTCGGCTCCGTTGATCCTTTCTTGGCAGCAGTCTTGTCTGTTCAAGACGGCAACAGTCTTGACTTTGTACCTCACGCCAAGGCACAGTCTCCACCATGGCCTGTTTTCTTCTGTTGTGTGGGTACAGGAGCCCTGCGCCCAATCGGCTGCATGATTTCCATCAATAGCTCTCTTTGGATCCCCCCCCATGGCCACAGAGGACTGGGTCACTGTCCCCCCTCTAGCAATGTTTGTGTCTAGAAAGAGACATATTTCTTGTAAGATATGGTTTGAAGAGGAAAAAGGTGTGCCAACAAGTGTTGAAACAAAAGCTAAAGAGAACAGTCATTGGGGGTTTTGATTGGACTGCTACTGTTTATCTTTGCTAAGCTGTCTTTTGACACTTTGTAAGCTTCAAGTCACCAGCTGGAGGAGTGTCTGTTGCAGGTTCTTCAGGAGCGTCTGTTGCAGGTTCTTCAGGAGCGTCTGTTGCAGGTTCTTCAGGAGCGTCTGTTGCAGGTTCTTCAGGAGCGTCTGTTGCAGGTTCTTCAGGAGCGTCTGTTGCAGGTTCTTCAGGAGCGTCTGTTGCAGGTTCTTCAGGAGTGTCTTTTGCAGGCTCTTCAGGAGTGTCTTTTGCAGGTTCTCCAGTCACTTCCACCTCACACAGAGTGAGGTATTTCTTCTCTCCTGGAATGACAATGCTGACGTAACGACCTTCCATTCCTTTACAGTCAAAGGCCTCAGAGGCCCCTGCCTGGAGTGAGGAGATCACAGCACATCTGAAAAAAGGAAGTGATCAAGTTGTGGCTTCACATTGATATAGCATCAGTTCATTGCATTGAACTGAACAGACAATTCATGAGACACTGATCATTTCACTGTCATAGAGAAAAGTTGATGATGGTGATAAGATTATCAGGCTGACAAGTTGTTTCATTTTCATAGTGTATGGAATCGTTTTGAGATTATAAGATGAAAACAGGATCAATGTTCTGTTAGCCTACATGGGATTGGCATTGCCGTTGTCTTCAAGTGAGTCTCCAACGTGGATCTCGGCTCCGTTGATCCTTTCTTGGCAGCAGTCTTGTCTGTTCAAGACGGCAACAGTCTTGACTTTGTACCTCACGCCAAGGCACAGTCTCCACCATGGCCTGTTTTCTTCTGTTGTGTGGGTACAGGAGCCCTGCGCCCAATCGGCTGCATGATTTCCATCAATAGCTCTCTTTGGATCCCCCCCATGGCCACAGAGGACTGGGTCACTGTCCCCCCTCTAGCAATGTTTGTGTCTAGAAAGAGACATATTTCTTGTAAGATATGGTTTGAAGAGGAAAAAGGTGTGCCAACAAGTGTTGAAACAAAAGCTAAAGAGAACAGTCATTGGGGGTTTTGATTGGACTGCTACTGTTTATCTTTGCTAAGCTGTCTTTTGACACTTTGTAAGCTTCAAGTCACCAGCTGGAGGAGTGTCTGTTGCAGGTTCTTCAGGAGCGTCTGTTGCAGGTTCTTCAGGAGCGTCTGTTGCAGGTTCTTCAGGAGCGTCTGTTGCAAGTTCTTCAGGAGCGTCTGTTGCAGGTTCTTCAGGAGTGTCTTTTGCAGGCTCTTCAGGAGTGTCTTTTGCAGGTTCTCCAGTCACTTCCACCTCACACAGAGTGAGGTATTTCTTCTCTCCTGGAATGACAATGCTGACGTAACGACCTTCCATTCCTTTACAGTCAAAGGCCTCAGAGGCCCCTGCCTGGAGTGAGGAGATCACAGCACATCTGAAAAAAGGAAGTGATCAAGTTGTGGCTTCACATTGATATAGCATCAGTTCATTGCATTGAACTGAACAGACAATTCATGAGACACTGATCATTTCACTGTCATAGAGAAAAGTTGATGATGGTGATAAGATTATCAGGCTGACAAGTTGTTTCATTTTCATAGTGTATGGAATCGTTTTGAGATTATAAGATGAAAACAGGATCAATGTTCTGTTAGCCTACATGGGATTGGCATTGCCGTTGTCTTCAAGTGAGTCTCCAACGTGGATCTCGGCTCCGTTGATCCTTTCTTGGCAGCAGTCTTGTCTGTTCAAGACGGCAACAGTCTTGACTTTGTACCTCACGCCAAGGCACAGTCTCCACCATGGCCTGTTTTCTTCTGTTGTGTGGGTACAGGAGCCCTGCGCCCAATCGGCTGCATGATTTCCATCAATAGCTCTCTTTGGATCCCCCCCCATGGCCACAGAGGACTGGGTCACTGTCCCCCCTCTAGCAATGTTTGTGTCTAGAAAGAGACATATTTCTTGTAAGATATGGTTTGAAGAGGAAAAAGGTGTGCCAACAAGTGTTGAAACAAAAGCTAAAGAGAACAGTCATTGGGGGTTTTGATTGGACTGCTACTGTTTATCTTTGCTAAGCTGTCTTTTGACACTTTGTAAGCTTCAAGTCACCAGCTGGAGGAGTGTCTGTTGCAGGTTCTTCATGAGCGTCTGTTGCAGGTTCTTCAGGAGCGTCTGTTGCAGGTTCTTCAGGAGCGTCTGTTGCAGGTTCTTCAGGAGCGTCTGTTGCAGGTTCTTCAGGAGTGTCTTTTGCAGGCTCTTCAGGAGTGTCTTTTGCAGGTTCTCCAGTCACTTCCACCTCACACAGAGTGAGGTATTTCTTCTCTCCTGGAATGACAATGCTGACGTAACGACCTTCCATTCCTTTACAGTCAAAGGCCTCAGAGGCCCCTGCCTGGAGTGAGGAGATCACAGCACATCTGAAAAAAGGAAGTGATCAAGTTGTGGCTTCACATTGATATAGCATCAGTTCATTGCATTGAACTGAACAGACAATTCATGAGACACTGATCATTTTACTGTCATTGAGAAAAGTTGATTATGGTGATAAGATTATCAGGCTGACAAGTTGTTTCATTTTCATAGTGTATGGAATCGTTTTGAGATTATAAGATGAAAACAGGATCAATGTTCTGTTAGCCTACATGGGATTGGCATTGCCGTTGTCTTCAAGTGAGTCTCCAACGTGGATCTCGGCTCCGTTGATCCTTTCTTGGCAGCAGTCTTGTCTGTTCAAGACGGCAACAGTCTTGACTTTGTACCTCACGCCAAGGCACAGTCTCCACCATGGCCTGTTTTCTTCTGTTGTGTGGGTACAGGAGCCCTGCGCCCAATCGGCTGCATGATTTCCATCAATAGCTCTCTTTGGATCCCCCCCCATGGCCACAGAGGACTGGGTCACTGTCCCCCCTCTAGCAATGTTTGTGTCTAGAAAGAGACATATTTCTTGTAAGATATGGTTTGAAGAGGAAAAAGGTGTGCCAACAAGTGTTGAAACAAAAGCTAAAGAGAACAGTCATTGGGGGTTTTGATTGGACTGCTACTGTTTATCTTGGCTTAGCTGTCTTTTTACACTTTGTAAGATTCAAGTCACAAGCTGGAGGAGTGTCTTTTGCAGGTTCTTCAGGAGTGTCTTTTGCAGGTTCTCCAGTCACTTCCACCTCACACAGAGTGAGGTATTTCTTCTCTCCTGGAATGACAATGCTGACATAACGGCCTTCCATTCCTTTACAGTCAAAGGCCTCAGAGGCCCCATTTCTCCTCTGGAGAGTATTATGAACACTAGGAGACACAGTGACACCTACATCCCAGATAGTTGTGGGCCTTCCACAACAAATACAAAGCAGCAATCTTTGGAACCTGATTCACTCCTACCATTCTTGATGGACTCTCCCTACCTTCAGTATCCACAGCTTTTAAGCAATCTGTTGATGCGCGAATGGACAAAATGATTCTCGTGAATAAAGTGAATCATTCACTGGAATAAAGTTGAATGAGGCAAGTACATGATTTAATTCGCACTTGGTGTGAACGCAGGTAGACATTTTGGCTTTAAGGCGCCCTTGTTTTTGCCAGCTGAATTGGTCTCCTCCACCTGTACTCTCTGTTCTGGAGAGAGAGTTCCCATTATGTGCATGTGCAGGGCATATGAGTATCACATACCATAGACAAACAGAACTGCAGGTCAAATGTTGCGGTCTATTGCAGTTTATCTAAAAACAATCCGAAAGAGTACAGAGTGGAGGAGGGTGGTAGTGAGGGAGAGGTAGCAAAAAGTGCCAAATACTGATGATGAAAAAGACAGGGAGACGCCAGCACTTGGGTAAAGTTAGAAAGATATGCACAGATTCAGACTTTCTGGGCCAATAACTCATCAATGAAACAACAAAGTTACAAACCCACCCCTCTTTTTAATCACTGTCATGAAGACCATGAGCTACAAACCCATTTTCCTCAAAATGAGCCATCTTTTGAGTCGGACAACTTCAGTTTGTCTCAACAACATAGGGACTGTCAGCAAATCACCACAGTGAAGTAATGCTGTGAAAGAAAAGTCAATAACCATAAAGAAATGTCGCATCTTCAAAACATAGAACACATAAATGACTTGATGTTCATACTTTATGTCATAGTTTGAAAAATTATAAATTAAATAATTGACAATAATAAGCCATTCCATCAAATTTACGAGATCTTCTTACTCACCCTGATGAGTTAAAAAAAAATTTATATTTGATTATGTTGAATCAAATTAAAACCTATTTCTCAAAAGTTAAGAGAAAAATTGACCATCAGAGTAAGTTTGGTGTCACTACAGTGAATAACAGTATAGTTATTACATTTTTTATAGTATTTATCAATTAATGAACATACTTCAACATAAAAAAATCATAGAATTTAAATTTAAAGATTTTCTGTAAAGAGCTGTTGTATAAAGTAAAGGAGCTCAACATTAATCTTTTGAATATTCTGTCATCAGACTTCATAAATTTGATGTCATTGGTTTTATTTTCAATCCAAAAATCTTGTAAAATATTTCAATTTATCATTTTTCAAACTATGACATGTAAAATGAATAAAGTAAGGTCATTTATGTGTACTGTGTTTTTGAAGGCGTTACATATCTATATGGTGAAATTATTAAATTTTCTTTCACAGCATTACTCCGCTATGCTAATTTGCTGACGTTCTCTGCATTGTCCAGCCATCACCTGTAGCTTATTGACACCAATTGAAGTTGCATGACTTGGGAGGCATCTTATTTTGAGGAAAACAAGGATGTAGCTAACAGTCTTCAGGACAGTGATTAAAAAGAGGTGTTAGGTTTGTAACTATGTTGTTTCATTGATGAGTTATTGACACAGAAATTCCAAATCTATGAATATCTTTCTAACTTTACCCAACTGAGACCAGCCAAGCTGCAGGTAAAAAAAGCTCTGAACCAAAATTACTTACGCAGTGCCCATGGTTGTGGTAGGAGGACCAAATCATGAACTTTTCCACTTGTAGCACGAGTCATACCAACTTTATCAGTTGGTCGCACCAGTGCTACCAGTGGAAAAGTTTGTGTAGAGCCCTGTAAAATATGCTGTGTTGTTACCATATATGGACTCTATCTACTTTATGCATGCTTAAGATGTAACCTAGATCTGCAACCAGTAAAACCTGTAAAACTGATCACGCTTATGGTTCTTTCATTCTTTAAGCATGGACTATGAATAGGCATCCTTACAGTAACAAACCATTGTTTTGGATTTATTTACAAATTTGTTGATTTAACTTTTAACTTTAACTAAGCTTAAAGAAAATTGAAACATCAATCTGTATTGTCATCTTTGTGATATGCATTTATTATGAAATTTCAAACTACATCCCTATTTCACTGTTTCAACCTCGGTGTGCTGAACTTCCTGTTCAGCACACCGCTTGCTCATGGCACTGAACTTTCAATCACTGAACTTTCAATCAGTGCCATGAGCAAGCCGATAATGTCATGCAGATTAAATAAGGTGTACAGCTAGGTGAAGAATTTCAGTTTTAAATACAGTTTTGACTTCCAGTGATCACAAAAATATGTAACATTATGGAATATTGTTCATTCTTTATATGAAAATTAGGACAGAACGATATTGTGCTGTTTCCCTTTTTACATCCGATATGGTAAATAAAGTGGGTCTTCCCTGTCCCTTTTCTAGTGGTTGGATGGTGCAATTACAAGTTTTATTCTGACCATCTATAATTAAAAAAAAAAAAAAAAAAAAAAGGAAATAAATAAACATAGTCAAAACAAAATGGTAGGATATCTTATTCTCTAAGAGAAGGGGTAACTTAATATTCAGAGTATGTTAGAGGGTTCTACCTTACCCTTTACACCACTTGTTAGTCCCAGAAAAACGAAAGATATCAAGACCACTGCTGAAGCCATCCTGTGGAGTCAAAATAACATTCTTCAGTATATCACAGATCAAATGTTTAAACCTTAACTCAAAGACCTACAAGAAGCAACATTTCTTTCTTTACCAGTATTCACTTGTTTCACATTTTGTATCTGCCTTAAAGAAAATCATACAAGGTGTAGTTGGAGTCATCATTTTCAATTCAGTATTTTTTTTTCTTCAGTATTTTATCTTCATGACCAATTATACTTCTCATGCATACAGTTGTAGCTGCTAGCCAATCAATGTAAACTTTCAATGAACCTCTTAAAAAGAATGAAGCCTGTGTTTGAGGGTACTATCTTAAAACATAAAAAGTTACACAAATTCAAAGCTGTGCAATGGTTAATAGTTTAAGGGTCAACTGTATTATGATTTGCCTTGAAATCGCTTGAGAGCTTCCTAGATTTTTTTTAATCATCTATTTTTGCTGGGTTGATAAAAGCAAATTAAGGGGTTTGTTAAATATAATAAGAAATATTGAGAATTGTTGCAAAAACTCTTCAGTTTTAATACATTGTTTCAAAGTATTTTTTTCACACTTCTATCAATTGGCTATTTCCATAGACTGTATATACTATCAACAACTTGGTTCCGCCTCCCGCCTGTACACGGATATAAAGCCACATAGCTCTCGGTATTTCTGGGATTTTTCTTCATTTTACTGAAACTAGCGGGAGAGTCGCCAAGAGTCGCTGTGATGACGCTCAGCTAAAACAGCATATCCGCTGGGTGAGCTACGCAATCCCTGAACGCCAATAGGCTGTATCAGGTGGCAATCAAAGAAAACATGAACCCCCTAATAACTTTTAAAAATGGAGCTTCACAGAAAAAAGAGAGCTTGAGCACAAACCAGTCTGATAGTAACTACATGTCAACATCGCAAGCTGGGGGGAGAAAAATGTATGTTCTGTGTAATAAATTTCTAAACTTTGTCCACAGCCCCATAAGCTTTGCTGGCGGAGGCAGGATTTACGACCTTTACTGCAGCCCATCAACAGAGGGTGCTGATCTCAGAGTGGCTTCACCCAGCAAGGAGGCATACGCTGTCCATTCTATATACAGTCTATGGCTATTTCCCTTTGAACTGTCAACAGCAAGTTTTATAATCTTATGCATGAAATATTGAAAATTATTTTCAATAACTCAAATAAATCAAGTATCCAGCACCAGTAATGGGAAATGTAGACACACAAAGATGTTAAAAATAAAGAAACAACTTAGACAGTGCCTACCTGAAACCATCAAACCAACCTGGATGCTGCTGTCGTCTGCCTGAGTGAGTGAGTGCAACGATTTTATATTGCTCTTCAGAGCATGATTGACAGATATTAGATCAGGTAACATCCTGGATAAATACCTAGATTTAGAATGTTTATACAACATGACAACTTTTAAATGTTAGTCACACATTTGGGTGGGCACATCCCAGGGATCAATGTTTATTGTAGCTTAAGCACAACCCATTCGGAACAATTACACATCAAAGACACACCATTGAAAATATTTGGCTGTCATGAATACAAATGTATCAGAGACGACGAGTTTCTCATCCCAACCCCCCAAAAGAATGTAAGGCTTACATCTGCTCACCGGAGACAAGATGGTGTAAACCTTTAGCACCAAATCACAATCCTCCTACAACCTCCTGTCTCCATACAAGATAACCAAAGAGGCCTTGCCAAAACACAAACTTTCTATCCTTTTTACTTCAAAGAGACAAAGACATTGTTTATGGCCAGCAGGAAAGAACTGCAGGACCACTCGATCAGATAAACATCTGTCATCACACCTTGACTAGGAAGCACCAGGTTTATCAGCTCAACCAGAAATCCTACATTTGGTTGATCTTTCCCGTGCTCTCTGTGAGTACAATCCAAAGAGAATAACTACAACTAGTCCAATTACAGGTTGGATGGACACTACACCATTATCTTCTGTCAGT